CCCCCCCCACCACCTTCCACACATACTCTAGTCTTATCCGATCGCGCTCTTTTCAACAAAGAGAGAGCTGCCAAGATCTACCATCCACTTCCATACTACTTGGCAACGATGACCGTGGAGAACATTGTCATCTTCCTCGTGGCCATATTGTTTGGCGGCATCACTTATGCAATTTCCAAGCTTAGATGGGACTTTACCGTGTTCCTATTCGCAATGGTCTGCTTCTACGTGGTCCACCTTCTATCTGACCTCTGTATAATCTTCCTTACCAACTTAACTGGTGCCAGTGATCCTGCCTTTGCCATTGGCTCGACCGTCTCTGTAATCTATCAATTGTTTGCCGGATTCTTTGTGCCTGTCAATCAACTTCCAGCATCCTTTGGCTGGCTACACTGGCTCAACCCATTATACTACTCATTCGCCTCGCTCATGGTAAACCAGTTCCAGGACATCAAGATGGAGTGTCCACCTGCACCCATGCCATGTCTATTCCCAAGTGGCAACGACGTACTACGAGCATATGGACTGGACGACTGGTCACGTGGAGGTGCACTTGGTGTCACCATCATGTGGGGAGTAGTCTACTTTGTGTTGGCCTATCTCGCTCTTGCCTTCCTTCACAAGGAGAAGAGATAATATCGTCATTCCAATCAATCCTATCAATCGAATCAATCGATCACCGAAACTAATAATAAACCTACATGTCCATTCATTACCTCCACCGATGGAGGTCGATGGCGTCTACATTCATACATACCAATGCATGTCGATCGTACTTTGGGACTCTACCTTTATTGCTTGATTGAATGACTATATGATAACCATGGACTACCAATAGGCGAACCTTATGTACAAGAGGACAAAGAACAATAGGAGTATAAGGAGTGGACCATATTTCTTAAAGAACAACTTGGAGGCCAAGTCAATCGTCTGCTTCTCATATCTCATCGAGTCTGCCAACAGCATCTCTGACTTTTGGTTGACATCTACATCATTGTTGTTGTTATTGCGCCAAAGTGTCAGTACATGTCATTCACTCACTTCCTAGCTCGCTCGAGATTAGTACGTACCATTCAACTTCTCGCCTCTTCCAACAATGTCTCTGATGTTCTTTGTCATGATCTTTTGGACGTCTCGCAGTTCGAATGAGACGTCGGACAGGTTGCGCTGCGATCGCGTATCTTTGTACAGTTTCTTTGTCTTGGTGATGAATGTCTCAAACTTGACAAAGTGATAGGGTCGTTTGGCCAATGCAACCTCTGCTCCATATGATGTATCAAACTCCTTGTACAGCTCTTCCAAAAAGTGGAACGCTAACTTCTTTGGGTATGATCGCTCGCATAGACATAGATAACAAACGTCATTCTCTATTATATATCTATTATTATTATGTAATTGATTGTTGTCATGTGATTAGAGTTAGATGTTTGTACCTGGAACATGATCAATCATTCATTCTTGGACACATACGCAAAGTAATATTTATCGGTATCAAGTGTCATTGCCTTCTCTGAGACTCTTGACAACTTGCTAAAGATCATCTTTGCTTGGTCTCTGTATGTCTTGTCGAACGAATCATTCTGTGATGTATCCATTGATTCAGATAGCATCAAGCCATCAATTCTTGACAACATTGCAAATAGTACCATTTTCTACTTTATATTATCTCTTCAATCTATATTAATAATGCTTTGAAGATCCCTGATTCATTCAATCATCATTCATTTATTTGTTTGTTTGTCAAACACACACAGAATTCAATGTTTGGAAAAGTGTTCCAAGTTGACCCAGCTCCACGGTGTTTGTGAGTCATCATCAATGAGTCAACATCACTATCTTGACTTTATTATTTGTTATACAACTACATCTACAACAACAATAATATGATATATATTCAAGATCAGTTATAACTTCATCTCACTCATTCACCTCACTTCATCTCAACGAAGTTCAATTCATGTTGCAATGAACCAGGTAAACAGAGATTGACAACCAACCCCCAAGCTCGAGCTTGACCCCACTTTCCCTTGTCCATACCATATTAGGCAATACTCATAAATTGTGATAATGACCACACTTAACACACTTCAATCTACACCCTACCTTAAGGTAGTGTTAAGATGGGGCTACACAACTACTCCCACACTGACTCTCTCTACACATCTGAAGTCATTCACTCACTTTCAGATTGCAACAACAACACCTTCTACAGATATTCATACACTTGGAAGGTCCACCAACACCCTCCAACACACACATTCCAGACCACATCGAAGAATACTTTGGACTCTCGCCAGTGTCATTGTCTAATTTACTTTACTTTATTTATTACCTCACTACTTATATATTTATATTTGTAAATACATAACATTGTTGATTATTTATTATTATATTATATATTATTTATTTATCCTTTATATTATTTATTATTAATTTATAAATTATCAAATTAGTTTATGATCATAGATCAGATTAGATTTGATTAGATAAGATAGAATGTCAGAATTATTTGTTGACAGTGAATTATTGACCTGTCCAATCTGTGCAGATATCTTCCAGGATGCTTGTGACACAAGTTGTGGACATACCTTTTGTGAGTTCTGTCTCAACAGTTGTCTAGAGACAAAGCCAGACAGATGTCCAGTCTGTGCTAAGGATCCATCACCAATCCATCCAGCATTCACCATTCGTTCAATATGTTCTTTGGCCAGTCCTGCCAAAGGTTCTGTAATTGATCTAGACCATGGGTATGTAGTAATCAACAGTATTGCATGATAATAAAAATTACAAATACTAACCCAGATATATTAGTGTATCTTTGGACTCTGAGAAGGAGTTAGGTAATACAAGTTATTATCAAAATAAGTTTGCAACAGCCATTCTACATTATAACAATGCCATTGACAAGGTGACAAATTCGTCCGATCCAAAGAACTGTGTTCTGTTCAACAATAGAGCACAATGTTACATTCATCTGCGTCAATATAAGAGAGCATTAATGGACTGTGATGAAGCAATAAGATTAAGCAACACCAATGGTATGTGTAATATTACTAAATTCAATACAATTGATTGAATGATCATTTAACTCACTAATTCATATTATTTAGTTAAAGCATATATGAGAAAGGGATTGTGTTTAAGACAACTTGGACATTTTGAAGAGAGTAGACTGGCATATGTCAAGGCAATGACCCTTGATACTCAACATATGTGGACATCACACATTAATGACGGTCTTAACAGTTTGCCAATATTCAAGGCTCCAAGTACAACTGCCAACTCAAACGGACATTCAAGCGGTAGCAACAGCAGCGGCAGCTCCTCATCAAGCGGCCATGCTAGTAGCAACAGTAACACAAGTAGCAGCCATCGTCACCACCACCGCCACCACCACAGCTCATCCTCGTCACATGCATCTGCCCCGGCACAGCAACAGCCTCAGCCCCAAGTGATATACCAACAACAGAGTGGATATCCTGGAAATGCATCAAACTCTAGATACTCAACCTACTCCACCGCTGCCGCCACATCCTCGCGATCCGCAGCTACCCCTCCTCTGGTCCAACCACACCACCACGAGAAGAGGAGGTCAGACTGCAAGACCCAATAAGAGGTCATCAGGGTCTCTCTAATGTACATCCATCGACACTCCTCTATCTAAAGATGTGATTGAGGAACATGTAATAATATATATTAAGATGGTGATTGTAAGGTAACTAACAAGTATTATACATTGTGGCATTTATTGTGTTCTACAACCTGTCCTCTTTGGCTGAATATCAACAAGGTCTTCATCACTTTCGTCGCTATCGAGAGATTCAGTATCCGAGTAATCAGAACTAAAGTCTCCACCAATGCTCAGCATGTAGGTCTTGTCCTCCCATTGCGCAACGCCAAGGTTGAAGTTGAAGTTCCATCTTTGATTGTTGTTCAATAACAGGGTCACGACTGGTCCACACTGGTCTTGAATGTATCTTGTGAATGCCCCTGTTATTGAGTCATTGTCTGCAGGACTGAGTTCGATACCAAGAACCTGCAGTGTACTGGGATCAATGTCATCCTCAACTGTACGTTGTATTGCTCTCTTGTATTTGGAAGACTCATTTATCTGTCGACTATTGGTCAAGTCAATCGTGTAGACTTGTAGCTCGCCATCTACCAGTCGGAGAATTGGAGGTGTACTGAATGATTGTGTTTTAAGACAATGATTCTTATCAATCAATGCGTTGACCTCTGGCAGGTAGTACTCCCAACGACCTTCGTCTTTCCACTGCCATCTAAATGGTGATATCCAATTTGTACTGGCAATATTTATCGACTCTATGATTGGAAGTGAGTTGTATTGCTCAGAGGTAGGGTCATCTGAGAATGACAACACATGTACTGGGACGTTGAAACTACATTTACCATCTTTGGGATTATTGACCACATAACAATATGTACCATGTAATGAAGTTTGAGGTCCATCCAATATGAATGCCAACAACATCTTGCCCTGGGAATGTGAGCAATAGCCCATTGAGACACCGGCATTGTATCCAAAGTATTCTCCAGGGCCGTAAGCCTGAACGCTTCTGTATGAGGGCAGGAATCCATCCTTGAGGATGGAGGGGAAGGAGCCGTGTGATGTTCCATGCCAGACGAATCGTCCATGTACTAAGTCTACGTCCTTATCTGAGGGGTACATTGATTTATACCCGGCAATGAATGAATCTCTAGAGTTGTAGGGTTGTGATGATGGATGAAGATGGGTGTTCACCTGGACGTGGCGGAGGGGTGGCAGATCAAGTGGCCAATTAGCCCAAGCAAAGTCTTCTCCAGCTTTAAATAGTGGCGACAGGTCAAGCTTGGTTACCCTTTTAGGTGAGACCATGTCTATCATCTGTGGTACAATATCAACTATTTCTACTCTGGCTGAGGCCTTCTGATCAATATTGTATAAAGATCGACCAATATCTACGTGACTTCCATATACTGTAATCTTTGAGGTATCTTTGGGACCTTCCTTGTTGTCTTGGATCTCAAACATCAAGTTTCCATCTTGTAAACAATTGACTGCAACTTTAACATCTTGGTCCTTGACGACAAAGGCGATTGGGGCTGTGGTGATGGCCATTAGGTGTGCGGCAAGGTCCACTCGCTCCTGCTCCGATGTTGATGAACCAATGGCAATGGAACCATCTTCATCAGCATGCACAGACATATCTGGGAATCTATCGGCAAAGTTCTTGACAATATTATCAATGATTGTATCATTGAATGCCTCCAAATGTTGAATCGGAGGCGTTGTCTTTGTAAATGAGGTTATCAATTCAGATACGTTCCCTTTGGCAACCATTGGAGGTGGGCGATAATCTACCATGTCACTACTCGGCGGGAAGTCCATCGACTCAACAATTGATGCCACCTGTCCTGGAGTCGCGACATCACATTGTTCGTTTGGTCCGGCTAGCAAAGTTTCAATAGCAAGAGACTTGGTAAATAGTGAAGCGAACATTGAGTTGATCTTGTTGATGACCTTGACCTCTAGGGCTTTCTTCTCCTCTTGGTTGGAGTTGATATTTCCAAGAGCTGTAAGCACCTCCTCCCTGGCCCTAGGGTAGTACGTTCCTTCGGTCGTCTCGGTCCAGATGTCGTTGGTTGTCCTCTTGGTGCCATTCTGATCAAAGAATGTACCTCGAGCTCTTATCTTTAGTGGTTGTTCGGCGCTTACTTGGTAACCCTTGGCCAACTCTGTCACTACTTCAGGCCTCTTCTTCATCCGTGTACAGTTGACCAACAACCACATGTCACCAAACAGTCTCTGGACGCCATTATTGTCAACATAATCTTTAATACATAGTAGTCTGAGTGCATATCCATTTGGTATCTTTTAATCAATGAATAAATTATTATTGTTAGTATCTATTTATTCATTCAATCACGAAACAAATAATAACTAACTCACCTCAATATATTGAGATTGATTATCCACTATTGATATCATTGTTGGAATTCTCTGTCTTTATCAATTATTGGTTTGAATGATTATGAACAACTGTTGTTTCCAAAGGTTAAATTGCAACACAATGAATCAATCAATCATATGATCAAATGATTGTATTCTCAAGTTCTGGAAACTCAAAGATTTAGGTTGGACCACCCATTTCTTCTGACCATTGTGAAGATCAAGATCAAGATCACTTGAACATCAAAGTTTGGATAATAGTTACATATGATTAGTGAGTAAGTTTATAAGTAAAGTAATGTTGTTGAATCATTCATTGATTGATCAGAATTTGAGGATGACTCAGAACATTAATTAATTACCATTAAACAGATTAACACTTAGTTGATGAATACCCAACATGATAATGTCGTGATCAATCATTTCAAGAAACATAATATGTACATGGTATAAATACACACAAACACTATTTAGTAGTACCTTGCTTGTGCTAGGATCGATATATATATTTACAATTGTAAGAAATAAATCCAAAGAATGAAATGAAGAGTGAATGAATTGAACAAGACCCACCCATGTCTCTCGACATTATTATTTGAATTGGCTCTTTTCATTCAAAAAACAACCTCAAAGCATCTAAATGTGGTGAATGAGCTCCACTCTCTTGCCTTTCTCTCTTTAAGTCGCTCGATATATTCCAATCTCAGTCAAGCTCTATGTTTAAATAACATACATATATATATATATTTATACATAACTTAGCAACATAGATCGACCAAACATTCAAACAATCAATTCGATCAGTCAATCAATCAATCAATCAATCAATTTAGAAACACATATATAAGGATGTCTTCATCAACCTCACCAACAAGCGAAGCATTCAATCAATATATAATTGACGACGATGAGGATGTAGTATTGCTCGAAGATGATGATGATGATGATGATATTTCAAATGATCAGAGTGCAGCTGGCGATGCCAAACGCGCAAGTCAGAAATTGACCATCACTGATATCAACACAATGCGTGAGCTGCTCAACAAGGAGAAGCCGCCCCAGAAACAGGAGTATTCGTACAAGGATGACAAGAGTCTGCCGTGGTTCGAGGAGCGTCTGGTCGTCGTCTCTCTGCTGCAGGCGCGCAATGCACTCAAGAAGCTGATGGACGCCAAGATGAACGAGGAGCGTCTTCTCTCGGGCAACCTGTGCGTCTCTGAGATCCAGTCGCTGCTCAACAAGCAGAAGGAGGACATTGAGACTGACTGGATTGCCGAGATCCAGGAACTTAAGCGAAACATGGTGGCTGAGATTCGTCGCAACCATCTCTTGGAGCGAGACCTAAGCAAGCTTGACAAGCGTATTGCCCTCTTGATCAAGCATCGATCTAGTATTAAGGTGAGTAGAGAGTAGTGTTGGAGGATGCTCGCATGCCTGCGGGCGGACGGACTGACGCACGAGACTAACCATCCCATCCCTCTTCCACGGATGAACATACAAACAGGACCTTTTGGGACTGGACGAGAAGAAGAAGAAGAAGAAGAAGGATGAAGGACATGCAGCAATCAATTTGGATACCAAACAGATAGAGTCTTATCAGAACTTGTTCTATCTATTGCAGACTGAACCACATTACTTGGCCAAGTTGGTGACAAAGGTGCAGGCTGATCAGATGGACACCTTCCTTGACACAGTTCTGCTCACACTGTTTGGCGACGCCTTCTCACCCCGTGAGGAGTTCCTCATCCTCAGTCTCTTCCGTCTGGCCATCAGCCAGGAGATGTCCTGCATCAAGTCCGCGGTTGACCTGATTTCCAGTGACTCTGTCGTGCCCAAGATGATCATCACTTACACGCGCAGGAAGCAGGGTCACGAGTTCCTCAAGCAGATCATCGCGCCCATTCTCGAGAATCACGTGATCAACGCACCCGACCTCAACCTGGAGCTCAACGCCGTGCAGATCTACCAGAACATGATCAGCGAGCAGGAGATCCAGACGGGCGCCAAGAGCACAATGAACCGTGGTCTGGCCGAGGACCAGATCCTGCAGATCAAGGAGGTGCAGGACATCCTGGCGCCGCGCGTCGAAAAGTGCTCGCAGATATGCGACCTCTTCTTCAATGGCATCATCGAGTCACTTAACCGTCTGCCCTACGGCATCCGATGGATCTGCAAGCAGATCTACTCCATCGCAAAACAGAACTTTAGCTCATCTGGCGATGACATTGGCAAGGTCATTGGATACCTTGTCTACTACCGTTTCATGAACTTGGCCATTGTCACACCCGACTCTTTCGAGATCATCAAGAAGGAATTGTCAATGAACTCCAGGAAGAATCTTGTTACAGTATGTTTGAATGATTGATTGAGCGAGTGAGGCCAAGAGCCCGACTGACACCTACCCATCAAACACAGATTGCCAAGGTATTGCAGAACTTATTCTCATTGAAGACATTCCAGAATCAAGGAGGTGAGCGATGGATGCAGCCACTGAACACTTGGATCATGTCAAAGATGAACTTTGTTAGACAGTACTTTGATGATTTGATTCAGGTGACAGACCCTTCGGAATACCTGCGCGTCGATAAGTACAACGAGCTGACGCTCAAGCTGAATCCAGTGATCATCGTCTCTTTGTCCGAGATATCACAGACACACAAGCTGTTGCTGCTCAACCTCAAGTCGCTGAAGCTCAAGGAGAAGGAGGACCCGCTCGAGCTGATACTCAAGGCACTGCCCGAACCCCCCGCCGTCAACGAGGACAACGACAGGGAGATCCAGCTCACACTGACCAACCGCTTCAAGGAGCACATGGAGCGTGAAATCTCCACCTCGGCCACGCTGCTCGAGGAGACCAAGGAGCTGCTGTTGTACATATTCAGGATGATCCCGCCACAGGACCAGAGGTCCCATCAGGACGACATTGTCGCCATCCTCAAGACGGCCGTGCAGCACGGTCAGTCGAGCGGAAACGCGCAGCTGACTGCCAACGCCGAGAAGGTGCTGGACAACCTAAAGAAGATGGAGGCCGATGGAACTGTCAACTCTAGCAACGAGTCGTTCATTAGAATGATATCAATGGAGGTCATCAACAGACAAGAGATACGCGAGCATCAGAGAAAGGAGAGAATGCGTCTGACAATCGCTCTACGTGATCTAAGGAAGCACCAAAGCTATCTCAACGAGCAGATCCAACATTACACATCCTATCTCAAGGATGTATTGCTACACTATTCATCCAAAGAGTATGTATACTTGGCTGGCGGCCATATGGAGTCACCGCCCTCATTACTGACATACTCAATCAATCAAACCAATGTAGCAAGAAGAAGACAAAGCCAGTCAAGCTATCATATAAGGAGTTGGTAAAGAAGGGCATCATTGTTGAGTCGGACATTCCAAAGATATCACATGGTTCAACGAACTTCTATATCTCCACAGACACGCCAGGCATATTTGACATTGAAGCCAAGATTGGTTTGGCCACAGCTGGTTCAATCCAACTGGAGCTGGACGATCTGCTCGAGAAGGCATCAGTCGGCATCCCTGTATTGAAGCTGGACAGCATGGTGTTGGATGTCAACATGACATTGCATCTTCTTAACAGGCACTTCTTGAAGAACATCAAGTAATCCCTACTCTTCCTTAGCAACACCACAGACACATATTCATACAGATATATCCAGACATACAGCCAGAGAGATACAAATGCATGGGTGGAGGAATAAACACCAGCCTATCTATCATTCACACTTGATTCGCGTCATTGGAAGTTTGAAGTTGACCAAAGTCAATCAATGAGGATGATCTTACAATTTATTGTTCTAGTTCATGTTCGATGATGACTCCGCTTCCAGTGCTCTCGTCCTTGACCTCGACGGAGAAGGTGTCCATACTGACCGAGTTGGGTTGTGGGCTCGCGCTGCCGCTGTTGTTGCTAGAGTCGTCAAAGTCGCCGAGGTCTAGGGCAGTCTGCATGCCCTTGGACGAGTTGCCAGAGATCTGGCTCGGCTGGAAGCTGACGTCACCAAACTTCCTGCTCGAGATGATGCTCTTGAAGCGGAAGTAGTTGAGTGGACGATCGGCAATGGCCAGCATGACGGCGCCCTCGGTGAGCGTCTCGGCCAAAAAGATGAGGAATGATGATACGTGCTTGATGTTGCTGTCGTCGGGAACGGGCTTGATGTACAGCACCAGGTTACGAATGACGATCACCACGACGGACAAGGCCACCACGTACGACAGGTACTTGATCTTCTTGATCATCACTTCGATCTTGTCGCCGCCATTCTGTGCGCCCTGCACCTCGGACTGATGCTTCTTCAGTCGGCTCATGAGGATGGGGCCGTTGATCAGGATCAGCAGGCCACCCAGCAGCATCATGAATACGAATGCAGCTGTGTAGTAAACGTCCAGAATCTTGAATTTGACAAATGGTGACATGATCAAGTAACTGATGTGGAATGCTGCGGCGAATGCAATGAGGCCCCACGAGAACCTCCAGCATCTCTTGGCATTCTCCAATCTAATCTTCTCCGATATGAAGTAAGTGTACAGTAACATCATCCAGAAACAAATCACAAAGATATAAATAAAGAACTGGAAGAACTATTTTGATTGGTTAGTGTGTGAAGGGGGTGATGGTAATGGGGGTTTCGTCTGATCATATGTGTCGTGAGAGTGAGGCTCAAGTCTCCAGTGTACCTACAGTTGATCCAAGTGAACAAACAAGGACTCCATAGTGTCCATAGTCATATCTATGATCGACCAAGATGAATATAATATAAGAGAAACGGACTATGTTTGATTGAAAAATTGAAAGAATGATTGAGTCAGTATTCTAGTTTGATGTGATCACATCCAATGACTAATGTACTTACATAGTGGGAAACAACATAGACCAAATAGAGTGTACCAACGCGCATTGGGTGCCTTCTTCTTTTGACGGAAGTATTGAGCATCCATTATCATCTGTGGTACACATACTATCTCTTGAGTGGCCAGAATTGTAAGACGAAGTACATAGAATACCCATACTACTACATCCCAACTGGGATTGCCTGTCAATGAATCTGGTGTAATGGACATTGTATGATTGTGTATGTTGGTGTGATGGAGATGGTGATGGTGATTGGTCGCTCGATAAGGGTAGGGTAGGGTAAGGGTATTTACAAGGGTGTGTGAGTGTGCGATGACGATTGTGAACGTCGGTGAAGTGATTGAATTACAATTACAACAATGTTGGTTGTAATATTATTAAAGTTTAGCAAATGAATGAATGAATGAACAATTCACGTGTAGAAAGGAATGCTTGAACAGATCGAGGAGGTGTGTGCAGCAAGCAGGTTGAACCAACTTGAGTTGTTATTGTCAATACCACTACCACCACCAAAGCTATCATACTGTCCCGGTCATCCACATCGTAAGTTGTTCATGCCTTGCTCATGAGTTGCAGACACGGTCTGTTCTCTTTGTGTTTCTCTCATCTGTACATAGATCAGAATTGGAGGAGAGAGGTAAGGTAACGCGTGTGTAACTGACCAATTAACAAAACGCCTTGTCGGCGGTGTGGGATATTTTTGCTTTGCATCCATTGTTGTTTTGGTGGTAGGCCGGCCTCACCGAGAGTGGGCCTTACTTTGCCTAGTTCCTCAAGCCCGATCCTTTTCAATTTTGAAAAAGTCAAAATAAAAAAATCAAAAAATCGGACTGTTCACGATGGAATGCGATCGACAATTAATCAAAATTGGGGCTGGTTGACTGCTGTGAGTGCAATGAACACAAGAAGAATGGGGCAAGGCCGCAGCGCTGGCTAGGCATACACCTACGTCCTTCTACAAGTAGATCATTATGTGTGTGTAATGGTAGGTTACCATAGTTTCCCCAATGATACATCCAATTATGGGCATGAATATAAGATTTATCTATATCTCTAATCAATAATAATACAATGTGTGAGTTAGGTCAAGTTAAGATGACTTGACAAGGTATGGCTACTGGAAGTGTGTCCTAATATTGTACCATCCAGCACCAGTACTACCACTGACAAATGTGTTGTTATCACTCTGTCCAGTGCTACCTCCTCGACTATGACCTGACACGCAGCAACTGTGTCCAACAGCACCAGCGCCACTACTAACACCAACAACACTGCTGCATCCAGATGCGGATAGATTGTTTGGCTCGTGAGTGTGATGGTTGATGTGATCGTAGGGTGCTGGTTGTGACCTTAGGTAGTCGTCTGGAATGCTCTTGCATGGATAGACATGTTGTTGTCCACAGTCGCAGTAGAAGTGACCGTACTTCCTCACACCAATGTCGTGGCCCGCGTGGCACTTCTTGGCGCACTCCTCGCAGATGGCGATCTCTGAGCGGCCCAGTATCTTGCGTGGCTCTGAGCATGTCTTGCACTCGTACCAGTGTTGGGGGTGGTAGTACTGGCGCGTGTAGGTCAGTGTGCATACGCTGGCCTGCAGTGCGCGCTCGACTAGGTAGGAGACGGGCTCAAGCTCGCCTGGTGCGCTATTGTTCTTGATGTTCTTTAGACGTTGGCTCATGGTCTCGCGACCTACACGTTCGATGTACTGCACATTGCCTTCGGGTCCATTCGCCGAGAAGTTATTGATCGTCTCAAAGTCGTTAGGCATTGAGTCTTGATAGAATGCCAGTCCTGTCTCCCTATTCTTCCTTATTATATTATTCTGGAATACCAATGCCTTGCTTCCAGAGTATATCTCTACACCTGTCTCTCCATTATTTGATATCTCATTTGACTACATTATAATAATCGAATGAAAGAAGAGAGTGAGTTGAGTTGAACTTGTTGAGAGTGTAGTGTGTGTGGCCTGTGTTGCCGCCAGAGTGTCTTCAGAAACACATTTCCTAGTTCGTGGAAACACGGAAATACACTTCTCGCGCCAGGCACTATTTTCGCGAAACATACCTTTATCTCTACTGTTGCGTAGTCAGATACATAGATTCCTGCACATGTGTTGTCAACTATCTTGTTGTTGGTGATGATTGTGAGCGCTCGAGTGTAGACCTGCATGCCTGCATTCATGTTGCCGTAGATGAAGTTGTTGGAGATGATGCCTTGGCCCTCGCGATATATATGTATGCCAACGCGTCTGTTCTCACAAATGTGATTCTCGGTGATGATGGGATTGGCGCGGATCACCAGTCTGATGCCATCGCCCTGGTTGTGATGTATGATGTTGTTGGAGATCTGCGGGTTGGACCGCGAGATGCGGATGCCGTCCAACTTCTGGCCGTAGATGAGGTTGTGCTCGTACACGCCCTTGCCGTCCTCGTGGATATATATGCCGTCTTCAAAGTTGTTAAAGATTCGGTTGTTGACTACGGTGGGTGACGCGTTGCCCCAGCAGCTGATGCCATCGCTGTCGTTCTCCTCGATGATGTTCTCGCTGATGATGCCGCCGGCCTGGCTGTGGACATGGATGCCATATCCCTTGTTTCGGTATATTCTGTTCATCTTGACGATGGGCTTGGCTGTGGCATACACGATCTCCACCGATCCATAACGGTTGCCTGTAAAGACGTTGCCGCAAATGGTGCCCTCGCCTCCAAACACGGCGATGCCAGCCTCCTTGCAGTCGTGGATCAAGTTCTCGGTGATCCATGGCGCGGCATTCTTGCCAACCTTGACTGCGCTAAGTGTGTGATTGGTGATGTCACACTTGCTGATGGTGAAGCCGCCCTGTTCAATGTCGATCGTGAACCAATGTCCAGACTGACTGACGGCAACATTGTTAATCGATCCATACTGCGCAGAGATGACCAATGTGTTGGCCAGTGATGATTCGATCAATACATCAGTGGCAGCCCTTCCTTCACCAATTATATCCACTGGCTTATCAATCACCAAGTTCTCCTTATATACTCCAGGTGCCAATAATAATGTTTCGCGCTTTCCAAGGACCAACGAGGCCAAGGCCTCAGTAATAGTGCTATAATCGCGTCTTCTCTGGAATGTCTGTTTAGGGCTGGATAAATCAAAGTTTGGTGGCAGTACCATCACTTGTTGTCTCTCTGATCTAAGAAGTCTTTGCCTAAAAATTGATTTATAGAGTGAGTGGGATAATTCCAAGAGCGAAGGAATAATTCCCAATACTATACTAGGACATACCATAGGAAACGATCGTTGGAAAGTCGGTAGAATGTTCGACTGACTTGGGACATTTTGAGAAGTGATCGATGATCCAGATATTGAAGTATTGATATCCAGTGTTCATCAGATATTGATAACATTAAGGAAAATAGTTTGGATGACATGGACTTGAACTCAAATGGTACATGTTGTTCAAGATGTGTTGATGTTGATGTGGATGTTGTTGATGATGGTGATGTTATTGGTGTCTCCATCTCTGTGGCAATGTCCATTGCTTTCTTTATCACCATGCCTCCATGATGAAATGTTGATTTAGTATGTTCATGTTCATAATCCATTGAGGTCGATGTAGTTGTAGTAGTATTCGCGCCATCTAGACGACGAGGTGAAATGACCATTGGCTGGTGTGGTGATACATCAGGTGATATTGAAATATGATCCATTCTTATCGAGTTTGAGTTTGTATTTATATTGTGTGTGATTGAGTTTGAGTTTGAGTTTAAGTTGGGGTTTGTAATGTTATTTGATCTTGTGAACAATGCTCGAAATGTCACTTTCCAACAATGATTGAAGGTACTATAGCAAGATCTACTACTTCTACTCTTCTTTCGTCTTTGATTGATTGTGGCTGTATGTTGATCAATTCTCTAAGTTGTCGTTCAATTGTAATATATTTTTATATATCTTAATGTAATAATCAATCGATCAATCAATCAAAGATAGGTAGTAATGGGAGGATAGTAATAATAATAATAAGTATTGTTGACAATGACTGTGATGGATAGGGACCAAGTTTGATTGATCCCCTCCTCCTTCTTTTGCCTCTAACCCCCACACATACTCATTCAAAAGAAGACGAGTGACGGCAAATAGGGTCCTAATTCATAGATTGATGGATAGATAGATATTTAGACTCCATAGGGTACCACACACACATACATCATGATTGATTGAAATCAAACGAACATTCGTTTCGTTATGCGATTGCGATAACAAACCACTGTGTGGCAGTTAGGCTGTCCTTAATCAGTCCAACGAAGAAGGTGGCACAAAGGTGGGAGGACCCAAATTGCCTCACCCACTGGTGTGAAAAAACCATCAAAACACCCAATTCCATCTATTTTGATCCTTTTTGCAAAGACCAGACAATGGCACAAGTCCCTATCTGTGACACAAATGATTAGTTTGTTGGGCTACAAATGTGCGACTTTCGCAACTTGCTCGCACGTATCCATTCATTGTTCTATTTGTACCAACTAACTGCCTGGCCTCCATCCAGGTCGCAGGATGTTAGTTAATCTCTGATGAGTGGTCGAGGTCCAGTTGGCCATCACCCATATCGTTGTCATCATCATCAACATTGTCGTCCACATCTACCTCTTCTTCCTCCTCCACTTCGTCATCAACTTCTACTTCCTCTTCCTCTTCCTCTCCATCTCCATCTACATCGCCATCGCCTTCATCGCCGTCGTCGTCGTTGTTGTGATTGTATTCATAGTCCAGGTCAAAGTCATCTTCTGATTGTGAGCTATCTTGGTCTTCTTGATCTTTCAGCTTGACCAGACGGCCATAGACCTCGAAGCAGCATACGCACAGCTCGTAGCCATCTCGTTGGTTCAGTCCAGTCATCTGTATGCGTAGGTATCGGTATGAGTGTGTCGAGTCCACTGGCCACGCTCCCACAGCAAAGCCCTCCTTCAGTGTGAGGTCGTCAACATGGTCGCGCAACACATCCCATTGGCATCCATCCAGTGAGCCTTGCAGCTGCCATCGCTTGGGTGCTGCGTATATAGAGCCCTGACTGTCGCCAGCGTATCGCATTGAGTAGTAGGTGGGACAGATGACGAAGCGCTCGGTCAAGTCGACGGTAAAGTGGGAGTTCTCCAGCTTGTCAGTGTACATGTTGGTAGGCAGCCGACTGACGAATGGGTGTGGGTAGCCAATGCTCATCGCCGAACTTGACACGGTCACAATGTTTCTTGCCACCGGCGACTCGTACTCGGTCGTATCTTCACAAGTGCCAAAGTAGTAGAACAGGCCCTTCTCGTCGCCAGGCGAGCCGAAGCGGAAGTCCTGCACGCCCTGTCGAAGTGTGCCCGAGCTCTCATCACGTCCCACCGCGTCCTTTGACGCCAGGCCTCTATATACATCGAACATGATCTCCTTGTCCACTAAGCCTGACGCCTCGATGTGGTTGCTGAGCTGGTGTGTTGTCATGTTGGCAAAGCGCACGCACTCCAGTGGTCGTTTCAGCTTGCGTCGCAAAAAGTCCTGCTCGAACGCGTCCACTGCGTCGCTGGGCGTTGTCGCCTGGTCTGCGATCTCCTGTAGCACTGCAAACTGCTTACGAGCCCATCGCACCAGTGAGTCAAATATCTCCACCTCGGGGACACGAAGATTGTCCTGTTTCAGTATAGTGATGACCGACTCCTCTGTCAGCAGATGCCAGTTGGGTGAGGACAACAGAGTGTCCATTGAATGTTGTGTGATGTACTCGATGCACATTGTTCGTATCTTTGCCAGGCCATATTGTTCAGCGGCGAACAGCACCTTGCAGATATCCATGTCCTTGTCGCCCTCCATGCATACTCGTAGTGAATACCATCCACAGTACTCTAGCAATTCTTCCAAGCTATAATAATCCGCAACTGACATTATATCGAGAACAGTACATGAGGTCAGCTCGATGAGTCCAGAGTACAAGTATTTGAGCATGGCGCGCACAGCAGTCGCCGGGAAACGAATTCGCAACACTGATGACGATGCCTCCACCATTGAGCTTGACAACATCCTCTTGATAACAGGTGACCGAGCACATAATATAAACTTGTGAGCATAATATATTGTATCGCTATCCAAATAGCAACAGACTCCAGATGTGCTGCGATATTGTTTCCACCTCGCCGACCTGATGGATGGGGAGTTGTCCACTGTTGTGGTGTCTGATATTGGTTGGCTATCCACTACATTGCCCTGTGAGTCTAGACCAATGACTTGACCTGCGACCTGTGGTGAGGGAGTTTGTCCAGATGGATATCCAATGGCCTGTACCATAATATCCGACATTTCCGAATTATTAAAGTAATAAGAGAAGTCTGTTATCATCCTCCTACTCAGTCGACCATTATTATTTCCTGTCTCCAATGACATGTTGTTGTTATATATTGTTATAATATTATTATTATTATTATTAATTGTTTGTTTGTTTGATTGAATGATTGATTGATTAATTATTGGGATAGATATGACGATGATGATGATGTTGTTGTTGATGATGATGTTCCCAACTCTATCTCTCTCTCTCTCTCTCTCTCTCTCTCTTTGTCGTTATTTGTTGTTCTACTTGATTGTGTATAGCTAATAGATTGGCTACTGTGAGTGTAATTGAGCAACATTACACTTCTCTTTAGAGATTGAATAATAATGATAATGAATGATGTCTCTATCTGTTCATGAACAAACAGAACAGACTGTAGAGTAACCAACCAAACGCCTGGCGCGCCAACAACAACAACAACTACAGAGTAAAGGTAGTGTAGCCACTCACACACAACGAGCTCGTTGACATATTGACACATTGTGATTGATAGAGACGACGAATTGTCAACAAAGTCAAGCATGTCAAGTCGTCGCGACCCTCTTGTGTATGTGTTGTGTGTGAGTGAACATTTGTGTTTCCAGTCCAACTGGAAACACCGTCACCCCCCTATCACTCGGAGTGATCGTGATGAGTGTGAGTGAGTGAGTGAGTGAGTGTGTGGTAAGGAGAGAGGGAGGACATGAGGTGTGTGTATCGTTGCTGTCGTCAGGGTGATGGTGATGTTATTGCGTAGGTCGGTCGGTTATTGATTGATTGATTGTTTGATTGACATCTCTGGTGTTGTGGTGTATGGGGATGGCAGCCATCAATCAATCAATCAATCATCAAACAAAGAATAGTTGTCAACAAGGTACACCACTGCACTACTAACATTGTTATCATCATCATCATCATCATGGTTGGTTGTTCTCTTAAAGGAATGACATTGATCAGTACCACTCTCTTGACTACGACGGCGAGATCGAGATTGAGTTACCGTTGTTGGGCCGGGGGCAGTCTCTTGGAGATCTACTACGACATTGTTGTATATTGTTCCGTTGGATTGATTGATTGAAGGATGGAAGGATGGAAGTATGGTCGCTTTATTATCGAGCATGTTGTTGAATTGAGCTATCTATCACCAGCACCACCACTGCTATTGTTGTTGCTGTTTGTTGTTGTTGGCACCTGTACATTGCTGCTGCTGCTGCCACCTTTATCCCATTTGCTCTCCTTCACTGGCTTGTCGGTCAATGAGTATGTAATATCACCTGTTGCCACTGGATTGATATGTGGAGGTACGCCTTGGGTGGTGGCATAGGCTGGTGGAGGCGGTCGGCCTCTCTCTCCTCCACCGCCTCTATATCGCTCTCTGGGAGGGTAGTCTGGCATGCCTCGTCCTCCCCTCTCGCGACCCGGCTCCATCTCCCATTCGCGTCGCCACTCCCTGTCTCGTCTGTCGTACTCTCTTTCTCTTTCTCTTTCCCATTGTCTGCGTTCCAAGTCCCATTCGTCGCGCTCCCAGCCAGGAAGAGGAGGAGGCGCAACGCCATACGGAGGTGGGGGTGGCGGGCGGCCGTACGGGTCTCCTCGAGGAGACAGGTTGTCATAGTATGGTCCAGGTCGTTTGTATCCTTCTACGTACGGGTCCCTGACTCTGTCGATGTATTCACCTCCACCGCCTGGCATTGGCAAAGGTGGGGGGTAGCCGTCACGCGGGTCACGAGGACCGCGTAGCGGGGCGCCAGGGGGCGGGATGGGGGGATGTCCATAGTCGCGCTCCCTTCCAAATGATGCGCGATACCTCCTCTCCTCTTCGAGGAAGTCCTGTTTGGCGTGCAGAGGCGACACCCTTCCCTCGCTGAGATGGTGCGCCAGTGGAGGATGTGCGTACAGTGGATCGCCAGGCTTGATTGGATAAGGTGGCAGTGATCCATTGGATAGTTTCAGATAGTCGTCGACGCCTGGCTTGCCAACAGAACCAGCAGCACCGCCATAGGCGCGATAGTGGTCGTCCAACATCTGTGTGCTCGCAGCCGAGTATGCACTTGGCTTGTACGGTGCTTCGAAGCTCGAGTACTCATTGAGATGATGATGATGAGGTGGTAACTGCTGCTGAGTGATTGGCGATGGTAGTGGTGCCTGTGAGGGAGGCACGACAGGTGCGGAAGTGGACGCCGACTTGTCGATCGGGTCGACGGACCATGGCGAGTGTGTAGTCTGTGTGTTCTTGGATATGATGATGTTTCTGGGTGGCTCCTTGTAGTATGGCGTTGTTTCTTCGATTGTGAATGAGCTGGATGTCGGTGCGGTTGCTGTCGACCGATTGATTATCGTTGTGGTTGTGGTCGTCGTCGTCATGGACTTGGATGAGAGTGAGGGAGGAGGTGGCGATGATGTGGCCAAAGGCTGGAGTGGTGGTGATCGGATGTTGATATTGTTTCCACTGCTGCTCAGTCTATTGGCTGTCTTGGCAGACGTGGGCGCAGAGGATGTCGATGATGTGAGTGATGGCGCTGCCGAGGATGATGAAGATGTCGATGATGTCGATGAGGACAACACAGACGATGACTTGAGTTTCCTCTTCACATTTGCATCATCCGCGGCAGCAGCAGCAGCGGAAGGAGAAGAGTCCTTCATCTTCTTCAGCCTCTTGTGGTGGCTCTTTTTGACATCCTGATCCCGACCACGCTTTGGACTTGGCAAGTCGTCCGATCCAAAGCTGCTGCCACTGCTGCTGCGGTCGCTGTCTTCATCGCTGCTGTCGCTACTTTCACTGCTGCTCTCCTTTTTGCGCATTTGAGCCTTGCGTTTTGCCTCTTGCCTCTTCTTCTTCTTCTCTGCCAGTGATGCCTTCCTCTCTGACAGGGTCTTGACCCTGTGTCCACTATTATTGTTTGATGATGATGTTGATGACGATGACGTCGTCTTCTTGATGACCACAGGAGAAGGTGTTGTTGTCGACATTGATGGTTTGCTCGCAGTAGGTTTCTTCTTGATTGATGATGGCGTCGATGATGATGAGGAGGTTGAGGAAGTCGAGGTAGTTGAAGCTCTAGATGTTGGTTGTTTGTCCGACGCCTTCTTCTTTGCCCTGTCCCTCTCCCTCTCCTTCTCTTTCTCCTTTTCGCGCTCACGTTCACGTTCACGTTCTCTCTCCCTCTCCTTCTCCCTCTCCCTTTCCTTAACCTTCTTCTCTTTCTCCTTGACTGACCTCAGTTCCTCTTCAATGTCGCTGACCTGCTCGTAATCATCGCCACTGTTGTACTCGGATCCAGAGTCGTCAGATCGTTCATCCTCATCGGATGATGATGAATCCTCATAGTCAGCCTGCTCTCCATTCTTGATATACCTCAGAGCAGACTTGTATGCTCGTTGCCATGATTTCTGTGTTGGTTTCTTCTTCAACGTCGTCTTCTTGAAGTCAAACACGCAGTCAGGTGATAGCCAAGCACTATAATAGTATGCTGTTAGTCATATGTGTGCCATAACCAACATCCTCAACATTGACTTACTAGTCATCACTCGAGAAGAAGTGTAGTAGGACTACTGTTTGATTCTTTGGCTGTGCCTTCTTGACCTCACTTGATATTGAATGTGCTGGATTGTGTATCTATTGTGTACCATTCCATGTCAGTGTCAGACAATGAATGGAGAATGAATGAATAGGATGATGCTTACTCTTGCAGGCCATAGTGGATAACCTGGCATTCGACCATAGACACTCTGTCCATACTTGAAGTTTAGACCTGGTATCATGTCCTTGCTGTCCTTGTTGTCATTCTTTGTATCACTTTTCTCCTCCTTCTTTGCCTTTATCGGTGTCTTTATGTTGTTGCTACTTCCATTCATTCCCTGAGTCGATGGTTCGGTCTTTGTAGTAGCAACAGATGGTGATGATGACGATGATGTATTGGTGCCTGAACCCTTCCTGCTATCCCAATCCTCTGTTATTATAATGATTGATTGTTAGTATTTGTTATATGATTGATGGATCGAGACCCAAACAACACATACCTGTCTTTGACTTCTTCTTCAACATGCTCATCATGATGATATAATATATAATGCTAAACAAACTAATAAGTGACTACAACTACAACAACAACTACAACAACAACAACAACTTAATCAGTAGTAGTAGTGATGATGATGTTGGGAATGTTGTTTGTTGTCGAGTTGATGATTGATAACCATTCAACAATCAATCAATCCACCTAATTCCTCTCTATTCTCTAATTCTCTATTCACTTTGATTAGTATTATATTGTTATGATATATATTTTATCTGTATCACTATCTTTATCTCTATATGTATCTGTATCTGTATCTGTATGAAACAAACAATAACAACTTGATGTTGAATGATGCAATGACCTCCATTCATGACCTTCTGAAGGAAGGGGCACTGCTGCAACCTTTGCAAATTAATTAGTGATGTGGGGGTTCCCGCCCAATCACTTCATGTGGTCAGATTGAACTTACCAGATGTGCCCAAATTAGGCCAGTCATATGATGACAATCATCGTCAACATCAAAGAATGAATGATCTACAAATAATAGATATCAATGTATACATATAATTATATACTCAAAAGATTAATAAAGTCAAATACCTAAGTCAACATTGAAATTTCATCGAGTATTCAAAGGTGACACTCATCCCCCATTTTGGTGATCGTCACTCGACTTGTTGAGTCATTTATTCAGAGACAATGTTGGCATTACTTTATTATTAGTTGTACAAATAGATATATATAATATATATATTAGGTACAAGTAATATAATGTTCATTACATTAATGCGTTACTTTAGACAAAAGTTTGGTAATGATGCGCCCAACATCCTTTGGCTCATTGGTCTATGTATGTTTGATTGATTGATTGAAGGAATGATTAAACACTAACTATATCTTATAGACTTGATACAGGGAATACCACTTGGACTCACATTTGGTACAGTCCCATTCTTCTTGCACAAGTCAGCGACGTACACACAGATTGGCATATTCTCATTCGCTACACTACCTTATAGTTTCAAGATACTTTGGTCACCATTAATTGATAGTATATACAATAAGCGATTCGGTCGTCGCAAGTCATGGATAGTGCCCACACAACTGGTCATCGGCACAATATATCTCGTCATTGCCTCACATATTGAACAGTTGATCGAGGATTCTACAACGCACATCTGGACACTGACCATTGTGTTCTTGGTCACAATCATATTGGTTGCCACACAGGACATTGCTGTGGACGGATGGGCACTCACCATCTTGTCCAAGAAGCACCTTCACCATGGCTCAACGTGTCAGACCATCGGCCTGACCACTGGCTACTTCATTTCCTACACGATCTTCATGATACTCAACTCGTCAAATCTTGCCAATCACTTCCGCGCGATCCCCACAGAGGAGGGCCTCGTCTCACTATCCGGTTACATCTTCTTCTGGGGTGTAATCTACATTGTTGTCAGCATCTACTTGGCATTGTACAAACCTGAGAATCCACCTGCAATAGACGAGTCTGAGACACAGGCACAGGAGGAGGTGGATGACGCATCGATCAGCCATCAATCAAAGGATAGTGATGGAGATGAAGAGGAGTCGATCGAAGACATATCATCACAATTGGAACCATTGCAAATTTATAAGATGTTGTATCGTATTGTATCGTTGCCGCATATCCAGACACTTTGCATAATGTTCATTGCTAGCAAGATTGTGTTTCAATCGAATGAGACAATGTCACTGCGACTTATGGAGAAGGGCATGGCCAAAGAAGACCTTGCCACCTTCTCACTCATTGGATTCCCCTTCACCATTCTATTCTCAGTGCTTGCTGGCAAGTTGGTCAAAGACAAGCCACTATCTTTGGTATGTCATCATTGTCTGATTGTCGGTTGGATTGGCATGTGACCCTAACACTTCAATCACACTACATTATAGTGGACAAATGCATATTTATTAGGTATTCTATGTATGTTCTGTAATATGATGACTGTAATATACTTCCAGAGAGGCTGGATGTACTACATTGTGCTTCTACTCTTCTCCCTCCTAACATCATTTGTCCACACAATGATGAGTGTCTCTCAAGTAAGTCCATTCAATCACTCAATCACATGACCACTCAATTACTCGATGGAACCATTCCAATCACTCAATCAATCATAACACCGATCACTCTCAATCTACTCCATCACAACATTCAGGGATCATTCTTTTTGAAGATAAGTGACAAGGCAATTGGTGGAACATATCTCACATTCTTGAATACTATTGCCAACTTTGCAGGTACATGGCCAAAGTTCCCAGTGCTCTATATCATTGACAAGTTATCAAAGAATGTCTGTCGCGTTGGTAGCACTGGCGAGGAATTTGTACACAACAGTCTGACAGAGGTGATCGTAAAGCAATGTGAAACGCTTGGTGGCGTAATGGAAAACATCAGCGACGGTTACTTCATTGTCACCGTTATATTCATTGGTTATGGATTGTTCATGTATCGCATGCTAAAGTCCAAGTTTGTGCCGATCCAGTATATCAAGCCAATGCCAATCGTCACGTCGCCCAAAGTGATGCATCATAAATAGCTGGTTAAACTTAAGCTTGGGTTTGCAATAAAGTATACTCTATTGCCAACTGGTGATTGATACATTGTTGTAGAGTGATCAATCCTTTTGAACACTCCAATTATCTCTTGATTGTTACCAATGTTCAAGATGTAGGTGCCAACATTTGGGAATAACCTTGTCATTGTAATGTATGACTCGATTATCTTTGTGTTGATCTCATACTTTCTGAACGTGACGAGATTGATTGCTGCACGGAAGCACTTGATATAGGTATGGCAAGGTGCTTTGATGAGATCATGTTGCTCCGCCAAACTCTTGGTGATGTGATAGAATAGTATTGACACCTTCTCAATCGAACTTGACACTTGATCGATGAGCCCCATGTACCTGTTGAGGCCAAGTTCAAGCACCTTGATGTTGTTTGGGAATGCGATCGGTGTGTCTGCACCCATGCATGCGCCAGGTGTAATGCAACTCAATGTCTGTGACAGAACACCTGGTGGGATCATACGCTTGTAGTTATTGCCTAAGTTGAGCGTCACAAGACGACCCGGTAATGAACCCGGTTCCATTGGCGAATTATACATGTATCCGAACCATAGCTCAGTGAGTGATTCGGGTAGCGTGCCTGGTTTGATGGGACTGTTGAACTTGTAAGAGAAACATAACTTGGTCAAATGACTGGGGAGTGCTCCAGGCGCGATAGGATGATTGGCAGAGTTGTACTCTGCTAGAAGATCGAGTGTGTCTGGCAAGTAGCCACTGGCCACCGTCACTGGATCAATGAAACCCTCTTCAAGAGTAAGACTGGTCAGTGAAGGTGGGAGCGATGCGAACATCTTCACAGGGTCCACATGTAGATTTGTTGGGAGGAAGTAAAGTGTCCTAAGAGTTGGTGGCAGCGCCAAGGCTTGTCCATCGGGGCCAAAGATCGCACCTCCGCCAACATTGAGCTCGATGAGCGTCGGAGGCAATGTACACGGTGACTTTAGATCGTATGCTGACAGAGAGGTCAGTCCTTGGGGAAGAATGCTCGAGTCCAGTTGCTTGTATCGATAGCTCAGGTTCAGCTTCTTGAGTGACTTGGGGAGGACATCAGCCATGAGAGGTGTAACAAAGTCCGCGCCAAACGTTAGAGAGTAGAGTGATGAAGGCAGCACTCCCGGGCAAAGAGGTTGGTTGAACGAATTTACGAACGTCAGGTGACGCAGGGAGGATGGTAGCGATCCAACTGAGAGTGGCTGGTTGAAGCATACCCCAAGAACCAATGTCTCTAATGAGTCCGGCAGTGAACCAGGCATGATCGCTTGAGAGAATTCGTAGCCAAAGGTCAGTGAGGTGATTGATGTAGGCAGTGTATCTGGTATGATGACTTTGTTGAAGTTACTGCCAAAGACAAGTGTGTCAATAGTTGATGGGATGTCCACAACATCCTCAACAACCATTGTTGAGAGAGGCTTTGACTTGAGTTTAGACTTATCATCATCATGATTGAGTGATTGTCCTGACACCATTGTCAGAGTTGACGTCGTCCTCATCCAGATTGAAAAGAGTTGCTTGCATGTCAGGGCGAATGAGACTTGATCAACTCGTTCAAGATGACCTCCATGTCGATCCAACAAATCAATGATTGATCTAATGATCACTAATGGCAAAGACTCCATTATTATCTGTTTCTGGAATGATGATCAAATTATAAAATGATCAACTTTGTTCCAAATTGGACAATAAACTCTGATCGAGATACGAATGCTTGGTCTTTATTATTCATAAGTTGTGACGGCTAGAGGAGGTCCCTGGTGCATCCATTTATAGTCATCCTATCATCAAACAATCCTCTACCATGCAACAGGGTCTTGAATACAGGGTATCCGCTCGAATGGTAGTGAGTCAGCTGACTTGTCCAACAAACTGGCGCGCTGCTGTGATTGTTGGCTCGACGCTGTGTCGTCTCCATGGTCGGTTGGAGTGGGGACTCATGTGACATGTGTGGCCCGGTTGGCTGGCTGGCCATCATTATGACTCAGCCTCTTCATTCTCCTGTTCGTCTCCATTCTCATTGTTGTTGTTATTGTTGTCCTCGTTGTTATTCTCATCCGAGTCCAACTCCATCTTTGCCACTTTACGATGTTCCTTTGTCTTTGTCTTTGGACACTGCATCATATTCCAACTGATTGGTATCATAGTAGCTCCAGACATACTCTGTGCAAACACGACGCCCAACTCATTCTTTGCCGTCGACAGATAATATGATCTACTGTCACCGAGTGATATCTAGTAGTTTGGTCAGTATGATTGATTGAATGAACGAATGAATGAATGAATGAATGAATGAGTACTTACAACTTGAGCTACAACGATATCACCTGGTCTGAATGATTTGTAGATCTCAACCTTGTCAATCTCTGTGGCGCGTACATCTTGTACACGAATGATGCCATTGAATGTCTCTTTCAAAGCTTTAGTACCAACACATAGTATAGCCACTGATGCCAATCTAGGATTGTTTCTAAGTACCTGTGCAGTCACAACACTACCAATATCCGGCACAACTCCAGGGTCCTTCTCCTTCATCACAACAATATAATCCTTCTTCAAATCATTCTCATTTGTTGATGCAACTATATCATCCTTATCCTGCCATATTCATTCATTAGTATGTCAGTCATCTAACGAACGAATGAATCAATATATATATACCTTAGTTTGATCATCTTGTTCGCTACTTTGATGTCTCTTGATGACATGTGAGAAACCAAGTACTGATGAGTAGATGGCACCTTTGTGTATATATGTACCTTCTGAGGCAATATATTCACTCTCTCTACATAGTCTCTGTCCAGGTGTAACAATTGTCGACGACTCCATCACTTCTATTCTATATTCGTTATCTGTTTCGCGTGAGTTTGAAGACGAATGAATCCAGAATCTGCAACTTCATGACTTTAGCACATTCATTCTTTCAATCTATCAGATCAATTAATTACTCAAACAACATAGATAGATAGAATGAGGAATAGGGAATCATTGACATTGTATAGACAGTTTATAAGGTTGTCATATAAGTTCCCTGTGTTTAGTGTACAGTCAAAGATTAGATTGAATGCTAAAGAAGTGTGGAGAGTGATGGCTGGTGAGACCGACAAGACAAAGACATCAAAGGCAGTGGCCAAAGGTCGAAACGTATTCAATATGATCAATAGACTTGTCACCTATGATCAGACAACACTCAATGGTCTAATGTTCAATGTTAAGCCAACAAACAACAACATCAACAAGAATAGATAGATAGATAGATTATTCATTCATTCATTGTATTCATTGAAGTACATTGACAATGTTATGTCATAACATTAGAGACTACGCTCTGTTGGAGGATAGTAATGCATACCGATGATATCGAATATCTCCTTCTCAGAGTTGACAAGGATGTCCTCTCCCTTCTTTGGTCCACTGACTGTATTGATTGAATACTCGCTCAGTGTGAATCCCTTGGACAACGCAATGGCTCTACATCAGATTGGATGGACATACATATAGAGTCAATAAAGAAAGCTTCATCGCCTTTGGGCTGGCATGCATAGGCTCGCCAGTCACGCACAACCAACTTACCTCATCTGCCTGTTGAACTCATCGCTTCCAGTGTTGTGTAATAGTCCAAAGTAGTACGACTCGATTGGTACGAGCTTGAGATCAATCCTCCTGACGATTGGTCGTCCACCTGTGTTGCCGCCAGTGCTGGCCTTGGTCTTCTGTTGCTTCTTCTGTTGTTCTCTCTGTTGTTTCTTCTGCTCTTTAGCCAGCTGCCTCTGCTTGGCCTTCCTCTCCTCAGCCTTCTTTGCCATCTCTTCATTCTCTGGCTCAGTTGCACTTGAGTCATCCTCCTCCACCTCCTCGCCAGAGTCCTCTTTGTCAACGTCATCGTCTTCGTCATGTGTCGTATCATTGTCTGTTGTGGACTCATGTTCCTGTCCACCCTCTGTTGTTGGCGCACCCTCGACTGTGCTGGGACATATACAGCAGCCCATGTACTTCATTGGTCCCAAACTGATGTCATCGATAATGATTCCACTCTTCTTCATTGCATCGACCAATCTCTTGATCAGATCGAATGTGTTCTTCTTGTCCTTCTGTTGCTTGGTGTAGCTTGGATGTGTCAGCAGGATATCAATATCGCCACTGGTCTTGGCACCACGTCTATAGCTTCCACATGTCTCTGCCATTGCCTTCTTATCAATTGACTTTAGTAGATCCTTGACCATTGCTTCAATACGTTCAATCTCATCCCTTGGCACTCTTGTCTCAATGTCATCAAAGTACTTTAGACCAACCTGTTGATGATGGTTCAAAGTCGCCTTGATCTTTCTCAATGCCTCTATGGTTGTAATACCATCGTCCACAACCAATTTCTTGGCGATCACTGGTCTACACTCGTCATGCTGTTGGTTAGTGTGCTGTTCCTTCCATGATCATCCAAGTCCAACTTGGTTGAACATACCCAATACCTGACACTTTGGATATCGTATTGATGGCCAACAACTTCTCATTGGAGTTCAACTTCTCCAGCCTATATTGATTGATTGATTGAGGTGAGTGAGTGAGTGAGTGATTGGTTGAGTCAATGGGTGTCAGAGTTGGTCCAACCATACTTCTTCAGTTTGCCAGTGTCAAGTATCTCTTGTATCTTCTTGGCCAGCTTGACTCCAACACCATCCAGCTCTAAACATTGAATGCGCACCCTGTCAGTAACAGTTCATTCATTCATTCATTTTAAAAGGTAACTTACTGTGACCTTCTGCGCCAGACTCTAGCTTCTTTGGATWAGGCTCTAATAGTCTGAATAGCCTTTCTATATGCGTTATACTTGTTCGTGGCACCAATGTTCTTCTCGAATGTGGCTACATCTGTAGAGGAGTATCAGTCAGTCAACATTCAAGGTCTGCATTCAGAGATATGACCAGTTTACCATTCAATATAGTAGTGATCAATTCATTGTGATTGATCAATGATACAGTTGGCAACATGATCAGACCACCAGTGTCTCTTGTTGTCTTTGTATTGTTTCCACTGTTCATCTTAATTGTTCCATCCTTTCCTCCCACCACACCAGGCGTTGACTTGGCTGCTGCTGTCTTTGATGTTGTCGATGATGTTGTTGTTTTGGTCTTGGTTGATGTTGATGATGGTTTGTTTGACTTTGTTCCAGATGAAGTAGCAGTGGCAGCTGAAGTCCTTTGTTTCTTTAGTACCTTCTCATTGACCTCTACTTCTTCTTCTTCTTCTTCGACATCACTGTTTACAATGGCATTGCCATAACCATCACTGTAATCACTATCCTCATCCTGTGTACTGCATTCATCATCGAGTTCAGCCTTTCTTTTTGACATGTCTCTAATGTATCTTTATTTGTTTGATTGATTTATAGATAAGATAAAGATATAATGACATCTATTGTCGTTTCGTCAACACAAAATATCTTCTAGACACCCAAAATGAAACAGTTCTAAGTAATAGTACCTTTCCTTTAAAGGAAAGATGTGTGAGTATGATTGCTATGTTGGTAAAATGTGATCTTCACAATGTTGTACAGCATGGGGACAATCCCCCTTGTTCTGTGCAATGAATGATGATCTCTAGATCATTCATAACCTAACATACATACACACATATAATAATAAGAAGAAGAAGATGAACAAACTAAAGAATCTACTATACTTGACACCTCTTGTCCCTGCTGCCTATGTATGTCCGTCAGAGTACATGCACTCATAGACATAGACATCAACGACTACCATTGTTCATACACTAACAAACAAGCATATTAATATGGACAGTCGATAAATGGAATGATCAGTCACTCTAGAGACAGGAAGGCCGCCTTCTGTATGTAACTATCTTGGACGATGTTCAATCCTCACACTAACTGAGTCGAGTCTACTACATATATACATGCATAGATAACTTCTGTGCCAGTATTGCATTTATAACAATCTACAGAAGAGCATTCAGGAATCCAATACCTGTAACTAGCTCGAGATGGTGCTTAGATAGATCGATCATGGTGTCCAAACATACTCACTCAATCAATCATTCAACCTAGAAATTACAACCAACAGATTACTTTGATAATCCAATCAGGTTAAGGAGTTTCATTCGCGGTGATAACATTGCCACTGTTCTTCCTGCATGCTGGCTAGTTCAATCATTCTGTTTGTAAGTATCACCTTTGATGGAACCGAATGAACCCTATCTAATCATCATTCATTCAATTATGGAACATCTTAGGAGTAATAATGCACTTCCACCAACTGACTTGGAAGTGGCCACTCATTGATTGATTGATTGATTGATCATTATCGAAGGCACGACAGGACGATGAAGAATGTAGGATAAACAACAACCTTTGCTTTGATCTTTATTCATTCCAAAGTGCTCTCTTACATTGGAAGTGTTCCTCTCTTATGTTGTTGCAACATTATGATCAATGTTGATGTGACAATGAATGGAAGGACAATGATCCACTTTAACAACCTTGAGAACTGAATATTGAATGAATAGGCTGCCTCGGTACTGTATATCAATCCATTCTTGTTGGTCATCTCTACACGGAACAACTTGGCCTGTGAACGCTCGGGCACTGGAACAGTGACATACTTCCAGCCAGGATACTCAAAGTTGAAGGTGAACAGCTGGCGACCACCGTAGTATCCACGGATCACATATGACTTGTCATTGGCAGTGGACCTGTTGTAGCTGGCATCAACAACGTCGAACGCCAGCGAGAACTCGCTGCCAATCACATCAAACACACCACTGCTGTCCTGTCTGATGAAAATACCTTCGACACCCTGCGAGAATATGTTCCTCTCCTGATTGAACGAGGTCCTTTCCTTTGCCGGTGTGAATGGGGTGTTGGTAGAGAGCGTGTAGAGCACGCCGCCAAATGTGCTGACGAGCAGGTCTAGTTGGCCATTGCCTGTAAAGTCCGTTGCCAGCACCATGGCGAATGATTGATCGCCAATGTCCAGCTTATTGGTGCAGCCCTCGCGAGTATCTATCATGTAGAGAACGCCATCACTACCATGTACCACGATGGACAGTCCGTTCGGGTCGCTCGGCGACAGATTGACCAGCAGTATCTGAGACAATATCGAAGACTTTGTCTTGATTGGGAAGTCCAACAATGACTCTCCCGTCGCCGCATTGAATGCATATATCACTCCACTTGTTGTACCAACAACAACATCAAGTTTACCATCTCCATTGATATCACCAAGCATTGCGGGCTAAAGGGGTAGGGCATGGCATGGCCTGTCAGTGGACCCGATCAATCAATCAATCAATCAATTTGAATAAGATACATACACTCTCAGTCATTCCAACAATCTTGTAACTCCATATTTCCTCGCCACGGTTGTTGAAACAGATGATGTTGCCATCTGCGTCTGTAGCAATGAGCTCTGCCTGACCATCTCCATTGACATCTTGTACGATCACTGGGGCATAGATAGAGTCCATGTTTATAGGCTCCATCAATGGTTCTCCATTGTGATCCAATATATACACCAATCCCAAATTAGTTCCAATGATCGTCTCCAACATTCCATCATTGTTGATATCGGCAACAGTCGGTGATCCATAAACATATCCATTGTACATCTTGTTGTCGGCAGTAAGATCCAAGTCTGTTGAGTGATTGAGTGAGTGGATGATTGAATGATTGATTGAGCGAAGGTCACTTACGTGTCTGCCACTTGATGGTCATGTCGGCGAGGTTGAAACAGACAATGCCGCCGGCGGCATAGTTGAAGATGTCAATTTCTGGATCAAGGGTTGAGTTGTGTACGGGGTCGGCGTAGTATTCATGATCGTAGTAGTATGAGGCTGCGACGATCAGCTCCATATTGCCATCGGCATCAATGTCCGCGATGATTGGTGAGGACAACACATGAGCATCGACCCAGATGTGCAACTTTGAGTGGCTGGAGTACTGTCTGTTGGCCTGGATGTAGTGCTCATAGTGCTCCGAGAACAATATCTCATAGTGCTCATGCTTCTGCTTGACGTATGGCGACATGGAGTACATCTCATTCTCTTGAGGCGTCTGATTGTTGAGCTGTTGCTCTTTGGCATTGGTCTCCCTGTACTCCTTTGATATCCTCTTCCTAATGTCACGCTCGTGCAGTGAGAACGACGCGTCCACATGCTTGTCGGTGATGCTGAACCAGTTCTTGGCGACCTTGAGTGGCGGTATCCTTAGCGTGGAGTTGAATGCCAGCATGCCGTTCGAGTGGATGAATAGGATCTCGCCCTCGCGCGTTGCCACAACGATCTCATTATGACCGTCTTGATCAAAATCGTAGAGTATGGGACTGGAGGAGAACGTCGACTCGGGCAGGATGAACGGCCATCCAATGGCACGCGTGCCACTCTTGCCTCTGATCACATCCACATAATTATTGGTATTAACCAATACAATATCCTTGCTACCTTCAGCAAACAGATCAGTTATAATAGGTGTCGATACAATCGATGAATGAGTCTCTGTAGACCATAATATATCTGCACTCTGATCTTTGCATTCAAGTCTAGAGTCACCTCCCACTGATACATCTCTTCCACTATGTTTGATTGATTGATTGATTGATTGATATCATGTAAGTATATGATCTGAATGCATGTCTCTTGATATACTATTCTTACAATATTAACTCTTCTAGTACAACAGGATGATTGTCTCTGTATGTTGGGTCTGAGAGTACTACGCCTACTTCGTCAACTGCCAGTACCAAGTTACAAATGAGCAACAAGCATAATGTTAAGACTGATCGTGTCAGTAGTGTACTACTACTACTACTATTGCTGTTGCTATGTTTATGTCTATTCACCATCATCGTCGTCGTTACATTAGCAAGTGTATCTAGTACAACTTGTATATGTTTGTTTGTTTGTTTGTTTGTTTGATTGATGGTTGCTTGATTGAAATGAAATGAATGAACTTCACTCTTTTGGGGTTTCCCCTAGTTAACTTCGGTCATCAAATTCCATGATCGTTAGTGAGCAGACAGTGGAACTACGATATATATGAAGTAAAAGGACAACTTAATTTAATTGATGGCCATCAAGACATGAGCAAGTACTGAATAAGACTGGATCAATCACTTGGCCTTCGCTGCCTGTGATTTTTTCGACTTGGTCATCTTTGATGTAGGTCGTGTGGACAGTTTGATCAGGTGATCATTGGTGAAGGATCTGGCATTTGTCCAAAGTCGTCTGGCATTGTCAAGTAGTAATGAATTCTGCTGTTGTATCTGAGGACGAACATCTTGTGCATTATTATCATCACCATCATTATTCGAAGATGTCCGCAGCTTTGCCAAATGATTATTGCACAATTCCAACAAGAATGATCCAACCAAATGATCATTCTTTTCGCTAATAGGCTCATCGTTGTAGAATAGATTGAGATGCTTCTCTTCATCCATCTCTGACTTGCTCATAAAGTACACTCGCAGTACTGCCAAGTAATTCCATGTGAATGGCAACAGCTTATCATTGACAACCTCGAATTTCCTACACATTGTGATTGATGATGCGTTAGACAACTTTGATTAATTGATTGATTGAATGAATTGTACACCAATCATACCCTTGCATTGACAGTCCATTCATTGATAATAATTGCTCCTTCCTCTCGGTAAGTCGATCGAGTTCGCGTTGCTCTTTGGTCGTGAGTGGCTTGATGTTTGATGTTGATGATGGAAGTGGCAATGCCTGATCACTTGGGATAATGATTGAGTCTTGTGGATTGTCATCAATGATGAAGCCATAAAAGTGAAGTAGAGTGGAGTTGGAATGATTGCCATATGATATCAACACTTGATCACCTTGATTGAACGATGTCTCTGTGAACACTTGATAACATCTCTGTGCACTATTATATGATGCACGTGTTGACACTGTCGATGAATGATTGAACAAGTCTGCCATGGGTACCAAGCATGCATTGTCATGAGCAGATGCCTCGTCTGATAGCGCCACAGTCTTCTTGTTGGCAGCGGCGGTCTGACTGCCACTGATGTTGTTGAAGTAATATGTTCTTGTTTGAATGACTCCCCATGCCCATTTGAACAAGCCAAAGTCGGCTAGGCCTTCTCTGATCTCATTGATATTGTAGTGATCATCAAGTTGTTTACATTTCTTTACGAATTGATCATAGGAGACCATCATCTCCTTCTTGTGTCGCTTGGCTTCGTCCATATAGTATGAGTATTGCAAGTTATCAATCTCATTGTCTGTGTACATTGAAGATGTATCATAGCGCTCTGGTATCGACACCAGATATCTATACCATCGTGACCTATCGCCCAACAATCGTTCAACAATCAATTGAAACACCAATCTCTGTACATTTGTCATTCTCTTTGTAGTCGCTGACAGAATGCTTGATGGCTGAACGCGTCATTCATTGATTAGTTAGGGATGAAGTGTCTGAGAGAGTCATCAGTTGTACATACACATCCTATATCGATTGAGAGAGTGGAGTTGATGTGCATCAGCATTGGTTCGGGCACAGAGACCAACATGGTACCAGCTGGAATGTTACATCTCGCGCGTACACCTCTTCCACCATGTTCAAAGTCGTGTATCTCCATATAACCATCATTCCACACAATACCATGTTGTTGTGACCATTGAAGTAGTTCACTTGTTATCGTTGTCGTTGTATTTGTAGTTGTTGTAGTTGTAGTCATTATCCATCATTAGTCAGTTTGTTTGCGAGAATGATCATTTTTCTCAAAGACAAGAAGAGGACAAACGATTGATTGATTGATTTGGTTTGGTTTGGTTTGGTTTGATTGCTGAATGTATGCTGCTTCCAACTACTGGTTGAAACAGATACAAGAGCACAAGTAAGTTACAAATGGTTTATTAGATTGAATCTATATAGAAACCTGAAGGTATATATCGATACGACTTGTTTGAATTGTTGTCGGTGCCAATGAATATGTTTGATTGATTGTGTTTGATTGGTTGTTATGGAATGTACAACTGGTGAATAATTGATTGATTATATGTATATATGGTATAAAGTGATTACTTGAACTTTGGTGACTTGGCAAGGAATGATGCAGAGATGGCAATGAAACCTGCGGCAGTGAATCCAACACCAGCAATCCAGAAGAATCCTTGCTGGAGATTGTTCTGCGAGGCATAGTTGTCCATGACACGACCAAGTCCAAAGGTAAGACCAGAGATGATGACCGCATAGCATGTGAACAGGAATCCAATGACACTGGCCAATGGCGATCCCTCGGCGGGGTCATCCTCATCGATAATCTCGTCGGCCTTGGTGGCGTACTTGACTTGTCCATTGTTGTTGTTGTTGTCTTCGTTGATCTCCTCAATGTCGTCAATGTCAGAGACATCGTCGGTGTCGAGCGACAGCTCCTCGAGACGGTCTTGCTTGACTTGGTCGTCGTTGGCACTGGTCAATGGGAATGAGGACTGCAAGAAGGAGAGCAGTGAGATGTCACCGGCGGCCCACGATGAGGAGACAGCGATCCAGCATGGGATGAGGGTGGCGGCAACACGGATTGGCACGCCAGCTGGTGGGTAGACGAGGACCCAGACGATCGAGCAGCACAGACCATCGATACGGACCCACCACATTGGGTTCTTGACGTACTTGCCAAACTTGACGACGGTGAGGGCGCCCAGCAACTCTCCAAAGTTGGAGCCTCCAGTGAGGATACCAGACAGAGAGCCGTCCTTGAGGACCTTCTTGGCAAACACTGGGAAGAGGATGTTCTCGAGCACACGGTGAAGCACCTGGGGCACGACGTAGGTTGGGATGATCCACCAGAAGTCTTTGTTGCAGATGAGGGCAGCACCACGACCGATGGTCTTGAAGTAGTTGGCGGTCTCGGACTTGATCGAGATGAGAACAGAGAGCACTGGGTGCACCATCTTGGAAGCCTCGGCCTTGATAGCCTCCTTGGCACGTGGGAATGGCTCGGTGATGGTGAACATGATGACGGCGGCAACCAGGAAGAATGGAGGCATGAGCACCATTGCGTAGACGGCGCCGAGCTTCTGGATGAGGACGGTGGAGAGGAAGGCGCCGGCAGTGCCGCAGACCTCGTAGAAGATGTGAACCAGACCGTTGATCTTGGCGAGTCCGTTGGGGTTGTTGCCAAGGATCTGTCTTGGGACGAGCTTGCGGCTGACTTCAACCATTCCGACGCCGAGACCCATCACAATGTAGACTGGAGTGACCAACCAGCGGTCCCAGTTTCCAAGCTTATCGACGGTACCCTTGTATCCAGCCTCAAGCACGAGCAAGAAGGCAGTGATGGCAAACATCATCAAGAACACCATGGAGGTGACACGAGATGGTCTAAACTTTCTAATGAATGGTCCAACAAGGATACTTCCAACAGACTATTTGATTGATTGATTAAGTGATTGAGTGAGTGAGTATGATCATGAGCTTTGCCCATTATGTTCAAACATACCTGCATAAGGAAGTAGACGATGTTCATGACGGCCAGGAGGGTGACAGAGTTGCCAGATGACTCGAAACGAGTGAGGACGATGAGAGAGAGTGCCGGGGAGAGAGTCTCAAAGGAGAACTTGTAGAACATTGAGGCAGCAATGAGACGGGTCTCGTTGACATGGTCGACAGAGTAGAACTTGGGATTCAAGCGAGAACGCTTGGGTGGCAGTGGAGTGTCGTCAAACTTCTTGGTCTCCTTGTTGGCGGAGCTGGTGGTGGTTGTGGTGGTGGTAGTTGTGGATGTTGAGGCCAAGTTACCAGACTCTACAATCTTAATATCGTCATCAGAGTTGGTCCTGGACATTTCGCGAGCATTATCATCGGCATATGATGTTGGAGCGAGCTCAATCTCAACGTCATTATTGTTGTTGTTGTTGTTTTCTTGAGTCATTGTGTATATGTGTATATATATGACTAAACAAACGAGAACATGGCAATAATAATAAATAAATAATATCAGGTGGAATCAGATATAGCCACAATCAATCAATGCGACATCGTTAATAAACGAGCAGATAGCATAGATGATGAATGTGCCATTGAGAATAAGAAAGAGAGAGAAAGAAAGAGAAAGAGAAAGAAAGAAAAGAAAAGAAAGGGAGAGAGAGAACGAAGAGAGTAGAAATTGAAAGAGAGAAGAGCAAAGAGAAAGAGAGAGAGAGAGAGAGATAGGTTGAAGATGTTAATACCTCGGCCACACGTCAGTGTTGATCAAAGGCTGGGTCAGACCGTACAATAGTAAGGCTGGCTCGGTGAAAGGGAATTGCACTTGAGTGAGTGGCAGACCTGTCAGAGAGAGAGGTAGGGAAAGGAAAGGGAGAAAGGAGAAATGGAAAGGTGGAGAGAGAGAGAGAAGAATAGAGAGATGTAGAGATTATCTCTTTTGAGGTTGTTCTTTGTACTTGTTCGCAAGTCTGAAGAATAATAACTGTCGCAACCGGTTCACTCTTTAAATGCCAGTACGAATGGAGGGCAGCGAAGGTGGATGTATGGATGGAACTGCTACCGTGCATCCTCCTTCATGCATTCACTGGGCACATCAAACATCGATGTGCGCAAGTGTTGTGTCAAGTGTGTGACAACCACCACTATCAATTATTAATATTATTATTTAATTATGTTATTATTTGGTGATGGTAGAAGGGGGTGGCACACACATGTATTTGAGGGATACAATGTATTCATTTGCGCTTGACCTGTCAAGAAGGTGATAAAGCCTATCAATGTTTTTTGGCAGGTTACACGCTTCAAAAAACCATACCCCACTCACCAGCTTTGGACATTGTTTTCGTTTGCAATTGTTTGGGATTGTGATTGCGGGTCTTTTGTCTCATTTGTAAAATCCGATGGCCTAGGACCAACTCACTCCCTATACTATGCTGGAATCTTTGCAAACCATCAGATCAGCAGTGCACTCGTTTGCCTTCTTTCTTCCACACTCACAATAATATTATGCCGAATAAGATTCTTGATTGATTGTTTGTTATTCCTATGACGATTACATGGTGCACTGTTGGTGGAAGACAAGTAGTGTGGAGAGTAAGTGACACTTTAGATATTTGTAATTCAACAACATAATCGAAACCCTTGGGTTGGGTCTAGATTGGTTCTAAAGTTTCAATTGTTTGGGAGTATAATTCGAATAGGTGTAGGATCATTCCTTAGACTTTTGTTGTCCAAGAAATAATATTATCCTTCAGTCAAGTTATTATCTGTTGTGATATCAAACGGTCTTTTGCGAACTCCATTCATTCATTAGAAAAATCCAAAGAACTACTGGTGGTCGTTAGTCGTGCCAAGATTATTGAGATACAGATAAAGTTATATATATCTGAGACAAGGAGTTATTGACTGTCTGTCCCATCTTCGTTGCATGTGTATGTTTTGAATGGAAACTGGATGGATTTGGGAATAATCAAAGATAGTTTGATGATGAACTTCACACACATCAACCAACTCAATTAATCTCACTTTGGTTGACTTCCGTCATTTGATTGATTGATCGACACACTGTACATGTACACAACAACAACATCTGGACGATTACAAAGTAGTAGCATTAGACTCTTCATTGGTATCAAACAACAACACCAACTACAACATCATTCCTGTACTATTAAACGTCAATACACCAACACCGCCAACAATATAATGACATCATCAGATTATCACCTCCTCACCAACAAACTGAAGCATCAAAGATCCTCTAAACAACCAATCGTATTACTGTCATGCGGTTCATTCAATCCAATCACTATAATGCATCTTAGGATGTTTGGTAAGTATGTCTATATGATCATCAACATCATTATGATCATCAACATCATCTCTAACGCCATGATCATTGAATGATCATTCATAGAGGTGTGTAAAGACTGGTGTAATAACAATGGATACGATGTAATTGGAGGATATTTGTCACCTGTTGGTGATGCCTATAAGAAGCCTACATTGATACCATCGAGATATAGAGTGGATATGGTGAACGCTGCACTAGAGTCATCGGATTGGCTCAGTATTGATACATGGGAGTGCAAGAGACCAGAGTTCACTCCAACTCGACAAGTAATGGATCACCTCTGTGATGTTGTCAACGAACACCTACAGACCGCCAACAACAGTGGACAACCTCCAGTTCAGATCAAGCTGATTGGAGGTGCAGACATGCTGGGCACATTCAATGTTCCAAAACTATGGGCAGAGACCGATGTATGTTGTTGGACATGTCTCACTCACCCTAGACACATATGCTAACTAACTCATCATCATTAGATGGACATCATAACTTCATCAAAGTATGGACTGTTGTGCTTGGAGAGGATTGGCTCAAACATTAGGGACATCATTGCTGAGAACCCGATACTCACAAAGAATGCAGATAATATCAAGGCGATTGATGTTGGTGTACTCAATGATATATCTTCGACAAAGTTGCGCGAGTTGATCAGGAATGACAGGTCGATCAAGTACCTCACACCAGACTCTGTCATTGACTACATCAAGCGCAATGACCTCTATCGCACTCTCCCTCCAACTCCCACGCCGATCCACACAGCTGCTGCAATCGATATCAGCAGCAGCAGCAGCAGCAACAACTAGGTTGATCACTCTTCCAGAATTTAGTTCAATGTATAGATCCATGCACATATCTCCATATCTCTCTTTGGTCTGTGTTGTTCTTATTTTATTGATGCTGCAAGCTACGAGCTTGGATTTCCTTTGTGCTTCTTGCTGGCCTGTTGCTGCGTCGGTTGATGATGATGGTGCTGCTGGAAATACTGCTGCTGTTGTAGCTGTTGTTGCATGTGGTGCTGGTCCAGCGTCTGATTGATCGAGCTCATTAGTTGGCCATTGTTGTTGTTTGGCCACTGTTGATGGTGCAGACCACCGCCACCTCCGCCGCCACTGGCACTGGCGCTTGCGCTGGCACCGGCACTTGTTCCATGCAGGATCAAGCTGATGTCATTGTAGGCGTTGTAACTGTCGGGATGATGTGACGCCAGGATGTGTGACTGATGATGGTGTTGGTACGGATTGATCGAGGAAGCGTGCTGCAGCTGGGAGAGCAGACTCTCGCCACCGCCACCGCTGCTGCCACCTGCGGCACCAGCCATCGCCAAGTTGTGTGCCGAGGTCGCCGTCGATGTCTGGAGGTGGCTTTGATTATTCGAGCTCTTCGGTTCCTCAAACACCAATCCTCTATATCGCTTGCCATTGATAAAGACCTCAGCTGTGAATCCCGGTCCATTGATGTTGCCCTGTACCTTACATGAGCCAAAGATGTCGTCTATCTTGCCCGACAAGAAACCACTGATATATCCTGTTGTTGTTGTTGTCGCGATGTGTTAGAGAACATGTGGATGGATCAATCAATCAATCAATCAAACAATCAATAACATACCATCACATGGGTTATTGTGATCAGTGAGTGAAATGAAATGCTGTTGACATATCTGATGGAACATCTCCACCTTCTTGTCGATTGTTAGCTCGGGTGGCTGATAGATCTGCAGCTGTGCTTGTTGTTGCTGATGTTGTTGATGTTGTTGTTGAAGTTGTTGAAGTTGTTGTTGTTGTTGCTGTTGTTGCTGTTGTTGTTGCTGCTGTAGCTTGCGCTGTTCCTCCTCCGCTGCTGCACGCTTCTTCTTGGAGCTCGATTTCTTTGGACTCTTGGTGGTGACTGGCGTGGTTGGCGTCGTGCCAGCGGCGACAGGGAATCCAGCAGCTACATTGGGTGCCACAGCTCCTGGAGCTGCGGCGGTAAGGGTGGCCTTTTGTTGCTGTTGCTGGCTCTGTCTCAGCTTCTTGCTCTCGGTCTGCTGTCGGATGTAGCACTTCTTGCACTTGTAGGAGCGATTGTAGAACTCGGTCGTGGGCAACTCAGGACTGGTGCCCCACCAGGCTTCGTGCTGGGGATGTGTGCAGGTCTGCGTGCCCACCTGGTCAGAGTTGGGTGCTTGCTTGGTATCAGAGAGTGGCGTGGATGGCGCCGAAGAAACCAATGGTGAAGATGGTGTGTTGTTGTTCGAGGGCGAACCCGCTGCCACTGCTGCGCCGGCAGTGACCTTATATGACAATATGGATGGTGTTGGTTTGGCGATGGATGACTGTGGCTGCAGCAGTGATTGCATCTGTTGTTGTTGTTGTTCAAGTTGACTATCTACAGGAGTGGGAATGAGTGTGGCGTCCGATGATGGCGCCGTTGTTGTGTTGCCCGATATGTTGGCCAGGACGTTGGAGAGCGAAGGAATGTCAGAGCCACTCTCGCTGATGCTTAGATTGTTGTTGCCGCCAGCGCCGTTGTTGCTGCCAGGATTGATTGTGGCACTAGTGTTATCATCGCCCTCGTCAACGACGAATCCACCGCCATCTTGATCGCCATCATCGTCTGCGCCAATAGTACCCAACGATGCCATTGGATTGGGTGATGTCAGCAATATATCATGCTGTTTGCTCTTCATGGTGTGATGACTCAATCCATTATGTAGACCGGACAGTACCGAAGCCGATGAGTTCAGTTCATCGACAGAGTTGTTCAACACATTGCTTATAGAACTCTTCACCTTATTCAACACGGACTTTTGTTGTTGATGTTGTTGCTCATGATGCTTCTCCTCCTCCATCTTTACATCCAAGTTCAACTTTGACGATGCTGTTGTTGCTTCAGCATTGGTAGAATCGGTAGTATCATTTGCAGCATTTGCAGCATTGGTATTAGCATTGGCTTCAGAGTTGTTGTTTGAGTTGGATGAGTTGGAAGTAGATGTTGTCTCTGTATCCATTTCTTCATCTTTGTCTGTGTTGTTGTTGTTGTTGTCTGTGTTGGTGTTGTTGGCTGACTCTGTCTCTGCCTCTACCATTGGCTCTGAGGTGTCTACTGCCTTGGTGTCTGCTGATGTCTCTGATGTCTCTGGCGGCGCATCATGTGTTGGCGTGGTGTTTGACGCCACTGGACTCTCAGCTGCTGCATCTTCACACTTTACAGAATCTTTCATTCTTTTTGATGCAAAGATTGTTGTTGTTATTAATGTTTATATTGTGTGTGAGAAGTGTGAATGGAAGTGTTGTTGTACAATTATTTATAATAATAATATATAATTATCTGTTCGCAATATATATATTTATATCCTATTATGGATGGGACACGCCTTTCCAATGAAGGGGTGCGGAAGTGAAGAGATCTAATCTTCTGGTGTTTATATATATATCTATATATCTTGTAACCAAATCAAGATTAGATTGATTGGTGAAGTTCTATTCTTGTTGTTTGTTGGTAAAAGAATGATGTTATATTTTGTTGATGTTGTTGTTGGTAAATGCAAGTGTTTGTTTGTTTGTTGTGAGTGCAAAACAGAGTGTTTGATAGTTTTGTCTTGTGTGTTGTGAGTGTTTTGAGCTGTTGTTGTTATTGTTGGTTGCGAACTTGTTTGAATAATGTTGTACGTGTGTGTGTATGAAGGTGAAGTGTGGTTTTTCAAAATGAAAAATAAAAATAAAAACAATTCAAAATACTACCAATTACAAAAAGTTAGTGAACTTGCTAACACTCGAACTTCACCAACTACTTCTCAAGTGTGAACTTTTGATTTTTTCAATCTTGGGTGAGTCATTGACGCTTTCAAGAGATTTGAATTATTGATTGAATGAGTGTTGTGGTGTTGTTCATGAATGCTCTGACGCGTTTGTGATCACTTTAATATACATATTACAAACATACACACACATACACAACATAGATATAATATGGCATCAACAAGAACAACAACACTGACATTGACTTTTGTGTTTGTACTGATGGCGTTGGTCGCCCAGTCAAATGCATTCTCATTCAAGGTGCCTGCAAAGGTGGAGGAATGCATATTCGAGGAGATAGAGATGGATGCGACATTCACCGTGATGTTCCAGGTCACACATGGCGGCTTCAACGACATTGATTTCTCAATCATCTCACCAGACAACCGTGTACTGTACAAGGGTCAGCGCGAGTCTGAGGGCACCAAGGTCATCAAGGCCAGTTTCGCAGGTGTCTACAGATTCTGTTTCAGCAACCAAATGTCATCACTCACCGAGAAGACAATCAGCTTTGCACTCGTACTCAGTGGTACTTCAGAGATTGCAGAGTATGCCAAGAAGGGTAGGTCATTGATTGATTGATTGATTGGAGCATGCACTCACTCATACATCACGCATCAATCACGCATCATACAGGAGATATTACCTCACTTGAGAGACAGATTATGGCACTTTCAGATGGTGTCCAGGCTGTCATGAACGAGCAGACATACATCAGAATGAGAGAGTCCACACATAGAAACAGTAAGTGATTGATTGATTGATTGATGATTACACTTTGGATTGTACATGGTTGGCTGACATTATTATTATTATTATTAGCATCGGAAAGCACCAACAGCAGAGTATTGTGGTGGTCAATCTTTGAGGCATTCATCTTGGTTGTTATGAGCCTTTGGCAAATATATTACTTGCGTAGATTCTTCGAAGTGAAGCGCGCTGTATAGACAACAACATCAACCAACAATATTATTATAATAAGCAACAGTAGCAGCAGTATATCCTTAATCGAGTCATCTACCAATCGAATCGATCGATGCGCATTCATTCATTCATTCATTCAATCATACACTACTCACTTACCTCACTCATTCACTTACCAAAGACAGCGCGATTACCACCACCTCAATATAGCCAAGTGACCAATCAACGATGCCAACCAGAATAAACCACAGCGATTGATTGACTAATTGAGGCGACGTATCTAAATGAAGTGGATCATCATTACAATGCAAGTTTGGCGCCCAAACTTATGGATGAATGGATGGATGGATGGAAGTTGATGAATCAGGTGATCATCATCAACAAACAACAGTCATCACACCAACCAGTCGATGATTTATACACGTGTCGGGATGGTCACCATACTAGAAATTTCGTGAAATCAAGCCTAACCCAAACCAAGGAAACAACAACCATGGTTGTTGAGAGTGAGAAAGTGAGAGAGTGATGGAATGAGTGAGTGATTTGATGGCAATGGCAAGAGTGAATGAGTGATTTGTGTTGTGATTTGATTGATTGAGGGGCACTGACAGCAACCGTCCTTCCGCCAACCGTCACACCCCTCAATCCATTGGGGTTTTATGTATCACTTATATTATTGCCAAATAAGGTCGTCCTTAAGGTTGTGTGTGATGAAGAGCACCAAGTAGTAGTTAGTTGGAAGAAATAAGGTGGAACATTTTACTTCTCCATCTTGTTATCTACATCAATCAATAGGTTGTGTTTGGAAGGTTGATTGGTGATTGTAGTAGTGTGTGTGTGTGTGTGACTTTAATGAGAGCTTGCCTCTAGCCACCACTCTAGTGCCTTACCCCCTAGGCCTGACAATGTCAACTTTCGACTGCTGTTGTTTGTTTGTGATTTGCCCAAGTAACACAACTATCAACACTCGACCAATATCTCTAAATCATTCATACATGATCACACTCTCAAACACACACACAATCCAACATACACACACAAACAACTTGATCAACTCAATAATGATTGGTTGATTGATCTCGTGACTGTGGATGATTCGCACAGTGTCCCCACATCTCTCACACACGCACATCCCATACAACACATCCAGGAACCATCAATTCTCAAGTCAGGTAGACACTATCGAAAAGGCATGTCCGACCCTACTAGAGGCACCTCCCTCTTCCATCAAGGTAAGTAAAGTGATTAAATGTGTGTGTGTGTGGACGTCGGGGTCTCTTTGATCACACATCCAGATTATATGTTGTTTGTTGCCATCACTCAATCCATCCATCAATCAATCAATCGAATGAATGGGATTCACCACCACAAATCCAATATTAATAGAGGACCTCTATTAATCAAACTTGGACCTGGCGAACTGGGCTTTGGTATCCCCTTCTCTTAAAACTATTTGTTGTATGGCTTGCTTTGTCTTTCCTCAAATTGTATCGTGTTGTAGGTGTGAGTTTGATGTAGTAGTTGTTGGTGGCCAATTAATCAATGTTAAAGTTGTGGGTGTTGCGTAGGCGTCGTTGTCATTGTTATTGTGGATCATCCCTGGCTCTACAAACACACACACTGTTCCTTCCTCACTTAATCACCCTACCACCAAAGCAAAGCCCTAAGGCTGTTTGTTATTCCCAAATCAACTACATACCCTGACTCTACCACCAACGGGTACAGTCTACCTTCGATCCAACCTTCCTACTTTCCTTCTACCATCTTAGGTATAAGTAATAATTCTTAATAATAATAATAAAGACTATAAGATTAACAGTAATAGTTTCTAAATACATACTAAATAATAATAATTACCAAAAATAAAAATAATAATAATAATAATCAATAATCCAAATATTAATTATATCAAACCGAAAGGATATCCAGTGTGTTCAACAACAATGTTATCAGTCACACCAGATATTTCGGAGTATGCCCATATGCGTTCAGGTCGTAATGCCTTGGTCAGGAGTACCGACTCTCCATGTTCACATCAATCACAATCACCACAATCATCACCATCATCACAACCATTACCATCATCACAACCATTACCATCATCACAACCAAAGAAAGTTCCAATCAGACCTATACAAGAGAGCCTTGATAATCTATACGAAGACATTGGTAATCCACACGACCTAGTCATCATCTCAAAATGTAGAGATGTTCTATTCAGAGTTACATGTGTTCTAAGGGTAATTATTTAATATAATTATTTAATTATTTATATATTTATTTAGTCCAACAACAATATCTAACTCAAGGAACTTATTAATATATTCTAGAGTATAAAGTCCTACTTTGAAGGATTCTCAAAGATACCTGTGTCCAATTGGAAATCAGTGGTTGCCAAGATCAATTATTATGTCAAGGTGTTGGATGATATTATATCGGATCAAGAGGAGATCCATAGCAAGATTATTGGTATTGTTTGTAGCTTGGACAAACCAAGCCAAGACAGACATTGCAGTTTGGTCAGCTCTATCAACATGGTCATTCCAATGCTTGGCATCCAATCTCGTATCATCACTCTGCTCGATCAGTTGTTGACTGCCCACTCACTCAAGGACACCGAGCTGATCAAGAGTTCAATCAATTCTCTGATACGTGTGTTCAATGAACATGACAACAACATCCTCTTTGTCAACTATGAGATGGTGTCCCAACTTACCAATCTCCAAGCCATCCTGGAGCAAGGCATTCAAGATGACACGATGGAGGAGGTGACCTGCCTCATCGACCTGATGATCAAGTTTGCCTCCGAGACAATCGAGACCATGAGGAATCACTACCAAATAAGTGGAATGCTTTGAGRAATGAGATAGTAAGTGAGTGAGTGAGATCAACTACAAGCACCGTCTTAGACTATGGTAAGTTGATCATTCATCCATCCAACTAATCGGTTCAATCAAACAGTGACTAACTTGAACTCATCTCATATACAGTAAATATTCCAACAACCAATGGAAACGACCATTCGGTGCCACTTGTATTAATATATAATGATTGTAAATATATATATAAATGACCAGCCAGTTACCTAAGTGTCCACTACATCCAGATGCGGTTTGACACACTGCAATGACGCCGAGCCGACAACGACCGAAGTTGCATCGACACTCTCTTCGCCAACTCCACTGCCACCAACTCCATAATTTCCGCCGACTACGCCAACGCCTACGCCTACGCCTACGCCCAAGCCCACGCCAACACCTTCGACAAGTCCATCTACATTGCTACTGGTGCCACCAAGTATTTTCTCCAACTCCTGTAGCAATTGATTGTTGTTTGCACTGGGCTTACTTTTTAAGAGCTGCACTGCCAGATCTGGTCTCCGGGCGGCCAGATAGCTATATACATCGCATCACAAGTAGATTTAAAGGTTGTTGTGTTTGATGTGATGTAAATGTTAGTCAGTCAGTCAGCCAACATGACGCCAAGTCCATGGTTGTCTCGATCTAAAAACAATAAACACTGCTCTCTGCTCTTCTTGCATCCAATCAATCAGCCAGCTAGGTGATGATTGGATGCCTCCCCCTCCTTTCAATAAACAACATACCATTTGATACTCTGCATTTGATCGGATTCTTGACTCTTTTGTCCCCATTCCAGATAGAGACTCTTGATGGTGTCGTGATCAGCCGGCAGTCTGAGACGTGCCAGTGCAATGGCCTCTTGGATGAAGCCACCCTGTCGATAGGTCTCAATGGCTTCGGCAACCTTGTGAATCGCCAACAGGTATGTAACAGCCATGTGAAAGTCACCCTCAACAATGAGTTGTTTGGAGTAGTAGTGGCACATTGATTGCCACAGTTCTTTGCCACCCTGTGCTGATATTGCTACATGATGAGCATTGAGCTGACCTTGCTTTACAACTCGATATAAAGCTTCCTTGAGGTTGCCACCCCACATATTGATCGAAACAAAGTGATCGTACTCCTTGTGACCAACATGTGTCGTCATCTCCTGTTGGAGAATATGTTCCAATGATTTGACATTGGGTGTGAATAGTCCATCCATCACTTCTGGGTTGGCCGCGTTTGTTGGGTTGTTGTCTGATTGTTGTAAGCTCTTGGCCAATGAAATGCATAGCTGTGTATCCTTGGATGGTACTTTGTTGTAAAGGCTCGGCAAAATGACTTTGGACTTCTTTGGTTTGGTTGTGGTTGTAGTTGTTGTTGTTGATGCGGGGAGAGAAGGACTCGAAGCTTGACTTGATGTTGGTGTAGTTTGAGGTGGTGATGATTGAGGTTGGGTATCCAAGCCACCTGCCATCACTTGTGGTTGTGATTGAGTTGGTGCGGTCGTGGATTGTACAATGTGATTGTCATTGATCGTTTTGACTCGATGCTTCTCTTGGGGTGGTTGTTTGAATGGCTGCTTGGTATAGTCCCACATCCTAACAGTTTGATCCTCACCACCAGTGAATATGACATTGGGATAGAGATAGCTCCAGAGAACTGTGAGTACACGTCCATCATGTCCACGCATGTTTGATATTGGCTGATTGCTATCAATGTTCCAGACCTGGGCCGTTCCATCCGCAGAGCACGCGGCCAAAAGATGTTTATCATGTGGCGACCAACACAATCCAAACACAGGGGCTCTATAATCCTTGAAGTGTCTGACCACCTCGAGCTCGGCAGCAGTGGCGTCACCACCATCATTGATGCTACCTCTGACCAGGCGATAGACTATGACTGTCTTGTCGAGTGATGCCGTTGCAAAGTAGTCCTTGTACTCTTTGTGTGGGTTCCAACGTATTCGATTGATCAATCCATTATGATTCTTGATTGTACACATTAGTTTGAATCCAGAGTCATACACCTCAATCGCACCGTTCGTCGTCGCAATAGCCAAAGCATCCATGTCATCATTCCAATAGAATTCGCTTTTGTTTGATGGCTGAGTTTGGATTGCGTTAGTTAGTGCAGTGCTATCACAATGTGATTGATTGAATGAATGAATGAACATATATACCTTGTATTGTTTGTTGTGAACTTTGATGTGATCATTGATGTTCTTGAAGCCACGATCCTGATCCTTGGCATCCCATTCATACACTTCATTGTTGCCAACACTGTATAATTTGTGTGATTGATCGGTCGCACTACCACCAACAATACAGCGCCACTGTAGCTCGTAGATCTCCTTCTTGTGCTGGCCAGGGAAGAATGATGAGTTGTTCTTGTCCGTGTCATATATGCCCACACGACCATCATCCAGACCAAATGCCAACTGCCAAGGACACGAGGGATTGATTGCCAATGCTGTGACCTTGGATTGAATGCCCTTCCAATATGATCGCGTGTCATAGACGTCCGAGGAGCAGTCGGGGTCACCATCAGCGCTGACTGATGGGTCGTTGGGCGACCATTGTCTGATTGTGTTGTCGCCACAGCCAATTGATATCGTGTTTGGATTGAATTGACTTGATGCCAGAGTGTAGACAAAGCCTCCAAGTGCTGCGATCTTCACTTTGATCTTTGAGTTCTCCCAACATATCATCTTCCTGTCCATTGACGTAGTGATGAATCGTGGCGCATATTGTTTAGATGTTGATGACGATGTTGTATCACTCGACAATGGACATTGAGTGATGCTAAAGATTATACGTTGATGTTGATTGCCAGGTAGTTTGTCGGGGGCTGGCTTGGTGTGAGTGAGGTTCCAGATGAGGAGATCGGCATTCAATGAGCTCGACAGGAGATAGTCGGGTGATGATGGGGACCATGAGAGTGTGATCCATGCACGAGACTTGTCATTGTAGTTGGCGCCACCGCCACCCTTTGAGTTTGATCCGCCAGACACATTCATCTTGCGCAGTGCAGTGAAGCCACTGTCCAGTGTGTTTGCGACCTGTTTCCAAACATTGATTGTCTTGTCCTTGGACGATGTTGCGAATGTCAACAACTCAGTGTCATTGGTCGAGCCTTCTGATGGCCCCTGTGAGTGAGGCAGACGTAGCCATACGATGGACTGCACCTCATCAGAGTGCGCATTGATCTTGCACTTGACAGTGAGCGTGACGACGTCAAAGAGGACGACTAGACCATTGAGATAGCCGATCGCCAAGAGGTTGTGGCTGTGTGGTACGGGACAGAATGCCATAGATGTGATGGATGATGCAATGGGCAGAGGTGTGCACACCTTGATCTCCTTGGTGAGCACACGCCAGAGTACAATCTTGCCTTGACGATCGCCCGACACTGCCAACTCTGCATCAAACAATGACGAGACGACACATGTCACCTCAGTATGATGAGCATCATGGAATGATTGACAAGTGAGTGTATCAATGTTCCAAAGTCGCACTGTCTTGTCCGATGATGCCGACAGGCACAAGTGTGTAGATAATCGATTGAAACAAACTGAGAGTATTCTATCCGTGTGTCCAACTAGCTCGCCAATGAACTGTCTAGATTGAGTTGAGCGAGTGATTGAGTGAGTAGATTGTCTTATGAGTGAGGCTGATTGGCTTGGGATACAACATACCTCTTCTCAAGGTCAAAGAGAAAGACGATCATCTTTGATGCATAACAATATAATTGTCGTTGTTGATTAAAGTCTGCTGTTTGTGAGCAGTACCAATTGGAGGATGATGGCAATACATATATGTGATTGATATTTGATCTGTTGAAATCATCTTCATCTTTGTCGTCGACATGATCATTATCATCATCAGTATCATGGTCGTCTATAACTTCAACATCGTTGACTTTGTCTGTGACTCCATCATCAACAACAACTTCGAGATTATTGTTGTCATTCATACTACTACTACTACCTGTATCATTCATTGTATGTTTATCAAACCTGATAGTTATTGATTACCATGATTGTAAATTAATGAACTATTCCTCGATGGTTGAAAGTTTGACAAGTGGAGGGATGTGTCCAAATGGCAACTAAATCAAAGTCTGTGGACAAATGCCAAGTTTGGTTGAACTTCCTTGTTTTGATCAATCCAAAACAAAAACACGATTACTACTTGATTTGTATCAATGAATGAAGTATTGATCAATACTTACAGATAGTTAGATAAGATATAATATACAAGAGAGATATGGAACAATACACAAGAGCAGAGTTGTTGGTGTCATCGGATTCGATCTGGTCTGTCTGTGATCAGTCGGTCCACGCCTTTGAGAAGTGTAAAATAGAGAAGGGAGATGAGCCAGAGGCCTGTATCAGATACGCTATCGCCGTTGCTGGTTGCACTCAGAAGATGTATGTTCATTGTTACATTGTACATTACACTCGCGATCAATCAATCGTTCACTCACTTATTCAATCATACTCAATCATTGTTAGAATGAGAGAGCTCACTCAAGACTGCAGAAAGGAGTTGGATGATGCTGTATTCTGCATTGAGGAGAACAACATGAGATCAGTTAACTGCAACAAAGAGATGACTAGTCTGACGAACTGTTTCTCAACAAAGTCATTCGACAAGTTCAAATAAATGACACAGGGGCAGCAGCAAAGCAGCAACAGCAGCGCGAGCTACACATACATACATATTACAAGACAAACAACAGCGAAGTAATGAGCTCCAACGATGAAGTTTATTCATAGGACTAATGTACATTTGGCAGATGGACGACAGATAGACAGAATGACAGACATTGTCATTCAATCAATCAATCAATCAATCAACGCGTTTGATTATAATGGAAGCCCTCAAGCAATGGCAGTGCGGTGGACTTGCGATACGTAAAGAATGGAATGTTTAGATTGAGGAATGGGTCACGCGGTCGGTCGGTCTCATCGGCCGGGTCATCCCATGCGGAAGGATCGTTATTGACTGCCTCTTCAAAGTATGAAGTGTCAATATCGCTCTCAACCTTTGGCTTGAACGGTGCCTTTTGCTCCAGTATACTATCCCATGTCAATCCATTGACATTGAAGAATGGATGAGCCTTAAAGTCCTCCAATCTACTCATTCTCTTTGGTGACTCACATAGCATTCTGTTTGTGAATATGAGTGGGAATGAGGTTAGACATGCGGAAACACGGAAACACGGCAACACTCGTGGTAACACGCGGAAACAACTTCAAACTGATACATACCGTTTCAAAATGTCGGCTGCTTCGGGGGATAAGTCTTGGGTGAAGAGTGGCCAGTCGAGGACCTCGCGATATTGCATGATGTTGAGGAATACTTCGCTGGGAGTGTCGGCACAGAATGGATTGAAACCGCACAACATCTCGATGAATACACATCCAAGTGACCAATAGTCACATGATTGATTGTATCCTTCATCGGCCAGGATCTCTGGTGCCATGTACTCAGGCGAGCCCACTGCAGAGTGTGCCACAGGTCTTCGATAGGCCACCACGCCGCCAGTGCCCCCGCGACTACTATTGAGTGTGAGGCGCGACGTGTAGATGCTGCCGTCCAGACAGCTCTTGCGGAAGTCCGACATGGACTTCTGATTGAGACCGTTGCGGCACTCAATACCCTCCTTGCTCAGACCAAAGTCGATCAACTTGATGTGGCCATGTCGGTCAATTACAAAGTTTGATGGCTTGATGTCGCGGTGAATGAGCTTGAGTACGTGCAGCGAGTGCAGCGCCTCAATCATCTCGGCCATGTAGAAGCGTGCGTCATCCTCATTCAGCATGCCCAGATTGTTGAGCAGTGTGCGGAAGTCGCCGCCACAATGATACTCCATGGCCAAGTACAGGTAGTTGGGGTCCTGGAATGCGTACAACAGACGGGTGATCCACCGGCCACTGCCCTCGCTCATCACGGTCTTCTCCTGCGACACCTGGAAACGCTGGTTGGCCCATTGGTACGCCTGCTTGCGGATACGCTTTAATGTGACCACCTGGCCCGTGTCACGCTTGATCGCCAGGAACACCTGGCCAAAGCCACCGCGGCCAATCTGCGTGAGGATCTTGAACTCGTCTAACTTCATGCCGGCACGCTTGTTGCGCAGGAAGTTGCTCTCGTTGTCATAGTGCTTGGACATCCAGGCGTGCGCCGCATTGTCGTCCAATTTTGACTCCTTTACAAACTCGACCACGCGTTGGTAGCGCCGACTTCGCTGATGGATGTACTTGAACAGCTCTTGGTAATAATGATTGAAGTAGTTGTCCAATATCTTGCCACGTTCGGTTGTTGGCGGGTTATTTGGCGCCACTTGCACGTTGTCCAAGAACTTGCAGTAGCTGTAACTTGATGTAGTTGTGGTTGGGGGAATAATGGGAGGCGCGACGGGTGGGTCCTTCTCCCGGCTGTTCTTCCTGCTCGATCCTGGAGATGTTGTTGGTGACTTGTCTCGAGAGTCTGTGCCTGGTAGTAATTGATTGTGTTGTTGTCCACCGCCATGGAATAGTCCCGGTGCCAGACTGGTTGGTTTGTAGTTGTCGTTCGGGTCATCATTGTGATGATTGATGTTAATGTTAATGTTGTTGTTAAAGTTGTTATGTACAAAGCTTGATGGTGAGCGGGGTGGAGGCGCGGGTGGTAGCTTCCTCAGACCATTGGGTGAGGTTGATGCTTTGGCACCACCAGCATGATGGTGATGTTGATGATCATCTACATGATGTGAGACGATCAGTGGTGATGACGGCTCGCCCGTCACACCCCTGCTGTTATGTCCTCCATTGCCACTGCCACTGCCATTATGATGACCGCCACTGATGCTCTCTATGTTGATGTCCTCAAAGACGACAAACTTGCGGCCGCCATGATGACTGATGAGGAGGTAGTCGTGATCCAACACCTTGCCCTCCGAGTCTGCCAGCTGAAGGAACTTGACCTCTCTGTTTGCTTTTTGTGAGATATACTTGAGGATATCGAGACTTGTTGTGGACTGATTGAGTGGGATTGTCCAACACGTGGTCCACTGTACACTGAGGATGCTGGAGAACGTTTCAACGGGGAGGAGAGGGTTGTGAGGTGTCAGTGGTCTCACCGTTATACTGGCGCCACTATGTACATAATCAATCTGTTGAGCTAACAAGTATACCTTGGCCAAGGACTTTTGTGGATGCTATTTTGGAATGATTCCAGTCAGTCAGTGTTTGGTGGAGATAGCGAGCATGGATCAAGTCTGCTTACCATGATTGAGATTGATGATCTGTTGGAGGACTGAGGCGATGTGTTTGCTGATGAGCCTGCAGAGTGTAGTTGTCGACTGCTGTTGGACCTCTGCATGGTTGCCATGGCTCGCGTTGGAGTTGAATCGCCACTGGTCGACATCATATTGGCTGKGGTGTTGGTGGTCGATGTTGAAGATGTCCATGTCTGATGCTGTGATGATAATGGCTGGTCCTCCAAGCTCAAACTGAACAAGTCCTCAATTCCACCATGTCTAAACAAGTTTCCCTTCTTTCTCAAACTATGTATTGGAGATGATGATGTTGATGATGTTTGATCAGTACTTGATGTACCAAAGTGATGATTCAACTGATGATTCATCTGATTATGATGATGATGATGGTGATGGTGTTGGTACAACATTGTTGTTGTATATGTGTGATGTTAGTAAAGTGACCAAGTCAAGTCAATGATAAGATTCATTCATACTCTTTAACTGATGGTCAGCTGTTTGGACATCCAAGCAAGCTTAGCCTCACAATGTATCAACAGTTGATCGATCGATTGATTGATTGTTTGATGGATGATGGAATGAATGAATGATTGGTGGACCGGTCCAAACAGGTCAAACAAGACTTGACTGATTGATTATTGGTTGTTGGTAGTGATGGAGTAGTATGTATTAATAATAAGATGGATGGATGGGTTGGGATGGAGGCTCAAAGTGACAAGATGATGTCCTTCCTTTTATATATGTCTATGTGGTGATGAATGATTGGTTGATTGATTGGTTGGATTGGAATGGTGGGTTATGGAGTGAGAACAAACACTCTGTCCATCAGGTGATAGATAGTTAGTTAAGTAAGACAGACAGATACAATGTAATGGTCATGCATGAATGAATGCATTGCTGGAATAGGAGGTGGAGAAAGCCAACATCGGGGCACTAGATAGCGCACCTCACTCATTCACCATCACCTCAACACTCAACATCATCAATAACAAACAATCAATCCCATTCCACCCTCTAACTCAATCAATCAAATCAATTAATGTGTGTTTGTGATTGGTTGGTGGTTTGGGTGAGAAACGATTCATGAGTGCGAGGTCCTCGGACATACTCTGAGGCGTGGGGTACGACTTTTTGATTGAAAGTGATTGTGCGGACCACACCAAATCTGGTCCCATCGAGATCGACTAGCCAACCCACCTGGATCGTGGCCCAAACGTGCCTATTTTGAGATACAACACTAAACGGAGAAAGGCTAGGCCTTGACTTGTCCGTGGTTGTGTCCAAGCTCTGGCTAAGATTGCAATGTACATGGACTTATCAATAAGTAACAACTACTACTTACTTATTTGAACTAAACATCACATGACTATTGATGATGATCAACTAAACAACTGTTAACTAATTAATCGTTTATGTGTGATTAATTGATTGATTGATTGGATTGTGGATAATGGATGGATGACAGGAGGGCCTGCCTGCCTGCCAACGCTTTATTCCTGTCTCTCCACAGAGGTGAGTGAGTGATTGAATGATTGATTTGGTTGATTGAATGATTGATTGATTGAGGGAGGGTGTACTACAGGTTACCGGTCAAGGATTGGAGAGGTGTCATCGTCAACACTGTTGCTGTTGCGGATACATGTTCGATATAGAGGTGGTTCGTTGCATTTGGCCATTCATACTATTTACAAATTGTTGTTGTTGTTGTTGTGGTAGTTGTGGAGGTTGTTGTTGCTGTTGCTGCTGCGGCTGCTGCATCAGTGGTTGTTGTTGTGTTTGGTAAGTGGTAGTTGGTTGTGATTGTGTCTGGATTGGTTGTTGGTAGTTGAACTGTTGTGGCTGTGCAAGTGGCTGTATCACTGGGTATTGTTGTTGTTGTGGCGGTTGTTGTGGCAGTTGTTGTGGTTGTTGTGTCTGGAACTGATTGTTATTCCTCAGTGGCTGTGTTGGTTGTTGTTGTTGTTGTGTCTGTTGTTGGCTATTTACATTGATTGATTGTTGTTGTTGTTGGTAGTTGGTTGTTACATGTTGTTGCGATGGTACTTGAAGATGTTGTTGATCAGATGATGGAGCAACTGCGTGAGGTGGGGGAACAGCATGGACCTGGACTTGTGATGGAGATGATGACGCTGCTGCCTGTCCGGCGACAGGATGGTGTGATGACAGACCGCTCTTTGGGACGATTCGAGCTTGTGCGGTTGGCTGAACACGCGTCAGACACAGCTTGTACTCGTCGGGCGTGAAGTAGCCATTGTTGGCAAAGTGTTGTAGCAGATAGTCGATGTACATCTCGTAGGACTCGGCCGGCGCCACCGTGGCGCCAAACAGTGGCTGCAGAGGCAGGTTGGGCATGTCCGCGAGGTGGCTCACTGCCGCCAGCAGGGGGTTGGCCTGGTCGATGGCGTATAGATGGCCGTATGTGCCATAGGTCGAGTTGAACTTGTCGTATTTGGTCAGTGTCAGGTTGCCCGGCACCAAGGTAACAATGCCATGGTAGAACACCTGACGAGTGAAGCCCAGCTGCTTGGCCCTGTTCTTAAAGTCGTCGGCCAGCTTGCCCAGCACGTCGTTGTGCATTCCCGCCGCCTGTTGTTGTTGCAGTGGGCTGTAGGTCTTGTTGCCGTTGTTAGGACTATGCGACTGTTGTCGGGGTGTGTGTTGCTGTTGCTGCTGTTGCTCGACCATCACTTGCGGCTGCTGCTGCTGCTGAGTCGGCAGGACCAGAAAGTCCTCCGCCACATTCGGTACAATGTTGACATTGTTGGCGTTGTTGTTATTGCTGGGACCAACAGTGTTGATTGTGTATATACTGTTTGGCGATGAGCCGTTGACAGGCACGGACGCGACACCAGATGGTGTGCCAGGGGAGTGCGGACTATATTGTTGTGGTTGTTGGATACCCATTCCAGGCTGCTGCTGTACCTGCTGCTGTTGGGGCGAGTAGGAGTGACCAGCTGACACTTGGACCATGGGTGGTGTTACATTTGCAGAGTTTGCCTGTTGTTGTTGGTAGTTTGACGCTGTCGCGTAGCCACCATTATCCATTCCAACAACTGCCACGCCAACATTATTATTATTATTATTATTACTCATTAGCATTCCATTAGACTCGACAGGACGCATCATATTATTTTGTGTTTGTTGAGGTTGTTGTTGGGTCTGTTGTGGCTGGTATGTTTGATATTGTTGTTGTGTCTGTTGTTGTTGTTGAGTTTGTTGTGGCTGGTATGTTTGATACTGTTGTGGCTGCTGTTGCTGTTGCTGCAATGGTGGCTTTACATAGTTGCCAACAACAACATTAGATTGTTGTTGGACCACCTGTGGCTGATAGATAGGTTGATAGACTGTCGTTTCCATCGTCGTCATTACATCTCAATGCTGCTTATATATTATAAATTATTGAACTATTACTACTCTTAATATTATTGATTGATTGATGGGGAGTAATGTTAAGTCAGTCGATCACATAAAGGTAGGGAATATAAATATAATGTGATTGATGTGAGTGAGTGAGAATGAATGAATGATGTTGTGTTTAGAGCTGAGACTCTTGTGGTGGGTTGATGTGATTGAAGGGTGCGTCTCACGAGACTCAATGTTACAAGAGGTGTATGTCATGTTTGTTAGTGTGTGTGTTTGTGATGGATGGATTGATGTTGGTGTGTAAACACAAGGTGAGGTGTGTGGACCCGGATCGGAACCCTTCCTCAAAAAAAAAAACGACGATCAATGGATTGATTGATGGTGTTGGCTCGACTACCCACACACACTCATTACGTGACGAGAATCAATGATACTATTTTGGGATCTGATTGGTATCAGTGCACTGGGAACACTGAGCGGTGAATCTATCTGGGAGAGAGAAAAATATGTTTGTTTGTGTGTGATTGATTGTGTGTTTTGTCAAAGACACAAAGATAAGATAGAGAGGCGACAGAGACAATATGTGAAGTACTTGTAGGGTTGTCTTTGGACAAATATATATCCATGTATGTGTACTTGTATTGTTTGTTTGATTGATTGATTGGTGGATTGTTTGCTTGATTGTTTGATTGATTTGCTGGATGTAATGAACTGGTTTTGTGGATACAAAGGTAGTCGTATGTATGCTCCACTTGGTCTATTACATACATTATTATCAATCCAAACAACAATAGCTTGAATATGTACCTGGAGTGTGAATTGAAAGTTGATTGATCGAATGGTAATACTATTAATTTAAATTATATTAGATAAGATAAGGAATTATTGATTGAATGAATGAATGAATGAATGAATGAGATTTCTGTATCTGTAGATGTTTCAATGTATCACGAGATGAGATTAATGGCATATGGCGGTTACCTGTGGACCTTAAGTAAGTAAGCAAGCAGGTCCAATCAAAACACCATCACAACAACAACAACAACAGCACTCATTCATCACAAGCAAGACCCACCACAATCATAATCCAAACACACAAACACATCAAACCAGTTAGATGGATCACGGATACGCAATTAAAAATAAATTTAAATATTTATATGTAAAAAGGAATCCCCATGATCACCGAATACTCTGAGACTGAAGGAAGCGGGTTGGACTACTCACTGTTTTGCTTGTCCCTGGGAGGGGACATGTCGACGTTTCCGAAATTCCACGCCTGTCAAACTTATGATCTCCAGCGCAAAGAACCACAACCGACCTTTGAAGATGCGCATTTGAATAAGATTGAATGAGACATTGTTTGTTTAATGTATGTATGTTTGATTGATTGATTGATTGATTGAATGATCGCTACACATCATTGATGTGATGGTCTAGAGCCACTCACCAAACACCTTGATGTAGAGACGCTTGACAAGTTGTGTGATCACAAAGTATCCGACGATGGCACCGGCAAAGCCAGGGAAATAGTTGGCTGGGATGTTGACCATGTTGAGTAGTTTGGTACCGATGGGTGTGTAGGGTATGGCAATGCCCAGTGCTAGGATCCATGCAGTGTTGACGAGCAGTTGCCATGAAGACCATCGTTGAATGAATGGTATCTTCTCTGTGCGAATCATGTGCACGATTAGAAGTTGTGTGGTCATACCCTCGAGGAACCAGCCCGTCTGGAAGTACTCCTTCCAGGCAACAGTGTTCCAGCCCAAGTAGAACCACATGTAGGCAAAGATGCCAATGTCAAAGATGGACGACGTTGGGCCGAGACACACCATGAAGCGCAGCAGCGACTTGGCACTCCAGGGATGTGGGCGGCGCAGGAACTCAGGGTCCACCTTGTCCCAAGGGATTGCGATCTGCGAGATGTCGTACAACAAGTTCTGGGCCAACAGTTGGAGTGGCTGCATTGGCTCGAAGGGCAGCCACGCAGAGGCCACAAGGACAGAGAACACATTGCCAAAGTTGGAGGACGCGGCCATCTTGATGTACTTGATGGTGTTGGCGTGAGTGATGCGACCGATCTTGATGGCACAGTTGATCACTTCGAGCGACTTCTCAAGCAGGATGATGTCACTTGCCTCCTTGGCAATGCCAGTCGCCGAGTCCACACTGATGCCCACGTCAGCGGCACGCAGAGCCAGCGCGTCATTGATGCCATCGCCCAAGAAGCCCACGGTGTTGTTGTTCCTCTTTAGTGCCATGACCACTTCATACTTCTGGATTGGAGTCAACTTGGCAAAGAGGGTACACTCCTGGACCAGTCTGTCATACTCTTGGGGCTCGACACTCTCCAGCTCGGGACCGGTGATGACATGGGTCACGTCGATTCCAACGTCGCGACATATCTTCTTGGCCACCTGGAGGTTGTCGCCAGTCAACACCTTGACCTCCACATTGGACTCCTTGAACTTTTGGATCGAGGCCAGGCAGTCATCTTTGGGCGGATCGAGGAATGAGAGCAGGCCGTGGAATGTAAGGTCACACTCATCTTGCTCCATGTCAAACACTTGGCCTTTGATATCATCGGCTGATACCGGGTCGAGCTGTTTTGTGGCTACGCACAGCACGCGAAGTCCATCATCATTATGATCGCGGCATAGTGCCAGGATGGACTCACGAATGTACTCTGTCATCTCAACTGGTGCGCTGCCACTGTCCAAGACGACATGGCTGCAGATGTTGACCATCTCCTCGACTGCACCCTTGCTCACCAAGATGTGCTCTCCACCAGCATCAGAATGAATGTCACGAAGAATGACCGAGACACGGCGGCGGACAAAGTCAAAGGGGAACTCCTCCACATATTGGTAGTTGCCAAGTGCAGCAGACAGTTGATCCTTGGCCAGCAGACGTTCAGACTCGGCGATAATTGACTCATCTAGTACATTCCTTAGACCCTTCTGATTGATAGAGTTGAGGAATCCATATGTCAACACTTGGAGTCGGTTAGCATTGTCCAATCCAACGAATGATCTGAGTTGGACATTGTCTTGGGTCAGGGTGCCAGTCTTGTCGGAGCACAAAATGTTCCTGATGTGATGGTGATGTTGAGGTATGTTAGTACAATGACTTAGTCATGAATGAGGAGTGATTGATTGATTGATCAAACTAACATACATGGCACCAATGTTTTGGATTGAAGACAGTTGCTTGACGATGGTCTTCTTCTTGGCCATGTCCGATGCACCTTTGGCCAAGTTAGCATTCAAGATCATTGGAAGCATCTCTGGTGTAAGGCTATATTACATGTTAGTCTTTTGTTGATGGATGATTGATTGATTATAAGATGGATACATACCCAACAGCAACCGACAGCCCAAAGAGAGATGCACCAATCCAGTCCTTGGTTGTTAGGCCATTGATTGTGATGACGATGGGCACCATCACCAGACCAAAGCCCATGATCATGTAGGCCACCTTCTTGACACCAACTTCGAATGAGTTGTTGGTCTTTTGTGTTCTGGTCAAGATCTCAGAGATGGAGGAGATGTAGGTGGATGTACCAGTGTTGACAACAACACCGCGGCCACAGCCAGACACGATGTTGGTTGACATCAAGCACATGTTGGGACAGTCAAAGATTGATGATGACGTCTGCAGCGAGTACGAAGCGGTCTTCTCCACTGGCAGGAACTCGCCCGTGAGTGAGGATTGTGACACATTCATACTCTTGCACTCAATCAGACGGACGTCACCAGGGAAGATGTTGCCTGCCTTTAGGGGCACGATGTCACCAGGCACCACGGTCTCAATGTCGACGGTCATCTCCTCGCCGTACTGATCGGCATCGTAGCGACGACGCACGACCACCACGTTGTTGGAGATCAGTGACTTGAGATGTTTGAAGGCCTTGGTCGACTTGCGCTCTTCATAGAAGCGCAGGCCAGATGACAGCAGCACCATGGCCATCACAATGGTGAACGTCTCATAGTCACCCGTAGACACTGTCACGATGGCGATTATCGTGAGCAGTATGTTGAACGGGTGAGTGAGCGACACCGCCAGCAGTTGGTACCATTGCATGGGTCGGGCCATTGCGATACGATTGGGACCAATCGTTGCCAGTCGTTCTTGGGCATCGTGCACGGACAAGCCTTGGTAGTTGGTACCAAGCTTGACGTACACCTTGTCCAAGTCCATCGTCGAAATGTCATTGATTGCCTCAACAAACATACGCTCTTGGTTGGGGTCTCTCACCAACTCCTTCTTGCCAAAGAACTTGTCATTGATCCAAGTTCTGACCCTCTGGAAGCACGATCTCTTTCCATCTGGAGGGGTGTTGGCATCGTCCACAGGTTGGAAGTCCAAGTTGACTATATTGGTTTGTTTGATTGATTTGATTGAGTTAGTTCAATGATCATTCAATCAATCCATCATTCAATCAATAACTTACCATCAGTTTCTTTCTTGGAGCGACCAAAGATGTTGGCCCGTCCTGAGCTCTTCTTGGGGTATCGCGACGATCTCTTGGATTGGGTCGGTGTGACTGGCACACTGAATGGGAGATCAGAAGCGTTGGAAGAGCTGGTGGAGCTGGACAGGGTACGGTTGAAGTTGAAATGCTCAGGTTGGACGATGGCATTGTTGTTGTTGGACGAGGAGTTATCATCAGAACCGATGATATTTGGCAATTGAATTGGTGATGTTGTGGTAGACATGACTGGATGGATGACTGGCGGTGCTGGCGATCTGGCTGGCTGGCTGACTGACTAATGGAAACGAAACAAAAAGGGAAGGTAGTTTAACCCATTAAAGTATTGGATTGATTGATTGAATGGAGTATTAAAGTTTAAGACTCGAGTGTATAATAGTACTACTGAGTATTAGGTAATTGCTTTACATGAGACGATGTATAACTAGTTATTAATTGTATGTATGCGTTGCAATAAAGAGTTCAATGACCTAGGTGAACTAGTTTGTTTGACTTTAAATACCTACCATCATCACAGGTGAATGGTGACAGGAGGTTGCCTTGGTCTAATGATGCATCATTTGACCTGACTAACTCATTGGCAGGCTGCCAACAATAAATCTATCTCCCTCTTTATCAGGTTATATCACGTACAAGGGTACGTCTCGGATGTTGGTTCCTCATTCAGACCCATGGTTAAGTAGTCCATGATTTCAATTGATTGATGGGGGTGGTTTGAAGACCAGACTGATGGCCCATTACCATTTTGGGAATGTGGGTGCGGGCGGGACAACGATCGTTGCTGTGCACTACTTATACCATTGTTGTGAGGTTCTCTATCGTACTGAGAATATTCACACTTATTGTTACTGCCCACTGCTATTCTCTGATGAGAGTATCGGTTTTATCTCAATCAAACTTTAAAGTTTATGATAGAGAAACATATTCTATTCATGGGTATGAAACCGTTGAGTCCTTATAAGGTTCGAACCATGGGAAAGTCTGCTATTAGTTAGTGATCACAATCTCGTCAATCCAGATACATACTCTTGGTAATGCCGATGAAGTAAGTTTTATTCATATCTAATCCGAGTCGGAACAAGTATGTGATGCGCCTCAGCTTTAATAACCGATTGATTACATCTGTTGTGTTAGTGTCTTAGCTCTAACATCTCAACTTGTTTCATTTGTTTGTTCAACAACAAACAAAGAGATAGATAGAACTTCATTATTATTATCTTTTCAACTTTGTTAATTATTTGTTTGAAAGTATGTTGGTGTGTGTGTGTGTGTGGGAATGAATAGATAGATAGACATTAAGGGCAATTGCCTTTTGTGGAAGACAGAGGTGGGTGTGAGTGTCCTTCTGTTGCGGATGTTCATTCATCCATTACAATGAAGGGTTGACACTTCAAACGAATAAAGAATGACATTGAGTACTCATTGTTGTGTTCAATTACATCTCACAACACAATGTAATTGATCCACTCTTATTACTTGTATTATATCTATCAATCTATTATTATTAATGAAATAATAACAGTCATGGACAAAGATAATAATAATAATAACCAAAGTAGTCAATTTCATAATGATGATTCCATTGTTATCAATGAGATAAAGATTGAGGATAGGGGAGGAATTGGCAACAACAATGAAGATAATAATAACAACAACAATAATAATAACATTTATAATAGTCATGGTAGACAACAAAGACCAAGATATTTAGACCCTTCATCTGCAAACTCAATTGGTCGGTCTAGTAACTCAGCTGCCCATGCTCTAGTGTCGGACTTTGCAGTCAACTCTCCAATGGTACCAAAGAAGTATGACTCATTGCCAAGACGTAGGAGAAGACCATCACTTTCATTCGATATGTTCCAACAGCATCAACAACCTCAACAGCAACAACAACAACAGCAACATATTCTTCCAACTACACCAATGCAATATGATGATACAATGAGTGATTATGAAGAGGAGGATGATGATCCATCAGGACTATCTTCCAGCTTCTTCCACAGGAATATGATGCACATGCCATTGCCAACAATGGCTAGCGAGATGACATTGGAGGAGGATATTGTCTGTACTGTGGCCCGATCCGCCATGATTATTCCCTTCCAATTTAGTAATCATCGTAGTCCAACATCCTTTTGGCTTCAAGGTCTACTGGACCGACGTATCCTTGATACGGACGGAGTGACACAGTTGTCCGTGTGGACCCAGCTCAATGAACTACCTCGTGAGATTGAGGAGCTCAGTCGCCAGTTCAAGAACAATCTCGGTATCCAACATGGCCAGCCATCCGACTCCAAGTCCACCTGGCGTTGTCGACGTCTCAAGATGAGTGACAAGGTCAAGGACATCATATTCCCCGAGCCAAAGTTGTGGACTGTGGAGAACAATGCGGGCGAGGCCAAGGATATCTACAAGAAGGTCAAGTTCGAGAGCGTCCACCTCATCGTCTTGCCGCTGGGCGTGGGCATCTTGGTGTTCAACATCGACTGGTTGACCAACTGTCTGCATCAACATTGCGAGAAGGACAAGTCTGGCAAGACTACATCAGCCAGTGACTACCACCATCACCATCCTGAGAGCTGTGCAAAGGGCTCCAGTGACCAGTTCCTCTTGGAGGAGTTCAGGACCTGGTTGTACGTCTCAAAGTTCCGTCATAAGGTACGCAACGTAGCCAACGGATGGAACTTCAAGCGGGCCACTGATCCAACGACACCACCAAAGCCTGCACCAGAGGCAGTGTTCAAGCCATCCAAGGACTACACGTCCATTCCACCTCCATCATACTCTCCACAGCCGCAACAGCAGCAGTCACAGTATCAACAATCGTCTCAGTTCCCGCCTGGTGCCGATGTTCCGACGCCTGACAAGAGGATTGAGGCACATTACGAGTCGATTGGAAAGAAGTTGGTCAAGGCGATATACGGGGACAAGTTGGTGTCCCTCAACACGATTGCCAATTGGCTGCTTCTGTTGTCTGATGAGAAGGCTAACAAGATCTTGCCAAAGGTTGGCACTGGCAGTCGTGCATACCATCACTCGACAGTCGTGTTGGATAGGAAGCCAAACAACAAGACGTTGCACACCTACTTGTTCCATCTTCGTCGCGCACTCGGTCAGAAGAACCGTCCTCCATTGACAGAGTTCAACGATGACAAGAAGGGCTTGTTGGACCGAGTCTTGATCCCTCGTATGAACAGGTACATTGGCATATCTCGTGAAGGTATTGCCTGCATCACATGGGCCACAGAGGATGCCGACAGGAACAACGTGCTCAACTGGTACAACAAGTTCCAGGGAGTCTACCTCGTGCTGGGACTGCATGCACATGCTGAGCGTGCAGTCCTCGAGGAGCTGAGCACCATGGCGTCGCTACAGGCAGAGAACATGAAGCTGGAGATTGAGCGCACCAACCTGGAGGAGCTGGCCACATCCAGGAGACAGCTGAGAGAGCTGGCCACACTAGTCGCACGTTTCACCATATCGATGAGCAGCGATGACTGTGGTGGCCAATCAGAGTTCTCCGAGTTCTTCTTGACAATGCGACAGGTGTTTGGCATACCATCACAGAGAAAGGAGTTGCGTGAGGAGCTAGAGGACACTCTGGCATTGCTCGAGAATGACTACCTGGAGGAGCGTCGCAAGATCAAGATTGAGGAACAACGTGAAGAGAGGACAGAGAAGGATCGTGCCAGAGTCCAGAAGTTAAAGAAGGAGAGTGCCAAGACACTCTATGAGTTCCTAATCTCTGCCTTCTCCTCATTCACTATACCAATAGTGTTGATATCATCAATCTATGGAATGGTAAGTGTCAAACATTATCAAACACAACCTGGCCATGACTTTTAACAATGTTGCTACCTTACCTTGTGTTCTCTAGAACTTGGCTGATCTGCCGATATTACCATTCTGGGCGATGATATTGATTATGATGGTGATGTCCTTGTTCCTGTTGACTCTGATCATGTTGTTCAAGAGGAGGATCGATAGGAATATTGATCAAGCAGGAGACTATAATATTAGAGCGCCAATATAGTCTTTCCTTCATTCAAAGCTAGGTCTGGTCGTCTAGCAATCCATCCACCAACAATATATATAAACCATCTAGATAGGATGTCCATAGGGATAGTTATACTCCATTCGATTGATTTGATTGGTTGTTTGATGTTGGGAGTTATCAGATTCGTGAATGATCAAAAGTTTGAAGATGAACTTGAAAGATGTCTCAGTCTTGTTATAACTTTTCAGATACAGATATATAGATATATACAATGAGTAGTAGTGCAGGTACACCAAATTCTACCTCATCGGTATCTAGTGCTGCTCAACAACAACAGCAACAACAGCAACAACAACAGTCACAACAACAGCAACAATCGGGATCAGCATCCACTACAAACCCCGCGACACCAGTGGCCTCATCATCATCGACCACCGACTATACAAAGGCTCATGTTGACACACTGACCAAAGAGCTCAAGCAACTCAAGACCAAGCTAGACAACTATGAGCGTGAGAATAAGGACTTGAAGAAGTCAATCTTTGATCTGACTGCAAGATACGACATGCTGGTGTACCAGACGGGCAAGACGCACAAGCCATTCAACATTGATGCCATCCTGTCCAACCAGGCACCAGAGGTGACCACCGGTGGCTCAATCGAAGTGACCACAGCCATCCCTTCGCCACCTCCATCACTAGTGTCCGATGTCAATGAGGAGAGTAAGTGTTGTTATGATCATAACAGGGCCACAAGACCATGATGATTAACTGACTGACGCGACAATAGGAGTGAGCTCAGCACAACAAAGAACAAAGAAGATGGATGAACGACACTTCTTCTACAAGTTCACACTCAAGGGACATAATGCCAGCGTCTACACTGTCAAGTTCTCGCCATGTGGCAAGATGCTAGCCTCTGGCAGCTTTGACAAGAGCGTCAAGATATGGGACGTCTTTAACCAGCGTGAGGTAAGGAGGTCACATGTCAGGTACACGTGTCCACCAACTAACATCAATCAATCAATCAAACAAACAGATAACAACACTATCGGAACATAATGTAAACGTCAGCGAGTTGGCTTGGAATAACAATAGCACTGAGATACTGTCTTGCTCGTATGACAAGACTGTCAAGCTGTGGGACTTGCAGACACAGAAGTCACTGCTGTCATACAGCACATCAGGATTCGTCCTGGACGTCATGTTCTCGCCAATCGACAACAACATCTTCTGTGCTGGCAACTCGCAGAACCACATCATTGGCTTTGACAAGAGAGCACCAAACTCTGTCTTTGTCATCGAGAACGACTCGATGATCAACTCACTGTATGTTACAATGTCGCCATGTTGATTGGACACCTTCACTCACCTCCCTCCCCTGCCAGACACATATACAAGGATGGCGAACATATCCTCACAGGAGACTCCGGCGGCAAGCTCAAGGTTTGGGACATTCGCAAGGGTACCAAGATCAATTTGCCCGAATCATTCAGCAGTGACTCGAGCGTAGATGGCATGGCTGGATCGCAGAGTGCAGTAGCACACACACCTCTTGATTCTTTGGAGACCTCTGTCGAGGGCAGACCAATCTCTGGCATCACACTATCCACCTCTTCGAACGAAGGTGATGACGCCAGATTCCTGGCAGTCAACAGCTATGACAATGGTATGTGTCCAGACAATGATTAATTGATTGGACATCCTGGAGCTGACCTCCCTTCCCTTCCCAACAGTGATCAGAGTATATGATAGGTCCAAGGTATCGATCGTCTCGCATCCATACTCCTTGTCACCAATGCGACTCCATCATTCTCTCACAGGACACAAGAATAAGAACTGGCCTATCAAGGGTTCCATCTTTGTTGGAAAGGACTTCAGTATGTGTCTCATGCATGTGACTTGGCATTCATTGTTGCCGACACTAACACTCAATCAATCATTACTTTGTAGACGATGGCAACAGTAGCATGAAGATGAGCAGAGAGCAGGTCAAGTCTGAGGAGGATGACGACGAGGAGAGCAAGAGCGACATCAACCAATCTGTATTGTTAGCAACGGGCAGCGCTGATTACAACGCCTATCTTTATGACATTGGATTCTCCAAGCAGTCGGGCAGGGTAATGCAGAAGCTGGAGGGTCACACCGACAGAGTGTACTCGGTCAAGTTCCATCCATCAGAGCCCATCCTTGCCTCATGCTCGGCAGACTCTACCATCCGTCTATGGACTCCAAAGAAGAAGATATTCAATCAATAGAGGACTCCATATTCATTCATCATTCATTCATTCAGTCGTTAAGACGACTACTTTGATGGGTTAAATCGCAGCAGCAGGTACATGCGCTGATACGTTTACTGTTAAAGTTGGGTGGCTGTCTATGATATACAGGAGGGTGAAGTGATTGATTGGGTCAAGGATCATGATTGTTGTTGCTTCTGTTCCTCGTTATTTGAATCCAATGAGACTGGCGTTGGTGTTGGGAACACCAACGAGTTGATCCAGCCAGACAGCTCCTTCGCCAGCTGCTTCTCAGCTCCTCCATAGAAATGATCCACATTAACAAAGATCCTTGACTCTAGAGGGTCGGGGAACTCCTCAATCCTGTTACATTGTGAGTTTGAGTTAGTTACGATGATGATGAGGGATGAGGACATGGTCTTACCTTGCTCTGAACCTTGCCAGTCCTGTAAAGTCATCACGATCGCCAATGACAAAGAATTTGGGCTTCTTGGACTTGGCCGCATCGAGCAGGTGACCGAGAAGCATGAGAGTGAGTGGTCCGAATGGATAGGAGATTGCTGCGTAGGCCATGATGGCATCATCCATATCTGCAACTGATGCGCCAATGACAGAACCATATGAGTATCCAATAATGATGACTCGCTTTGGTCGACGCTGAAGTGGTGCCTCGTTGATTAGGTAGCGCACTGCGGCCAGTGTGTCCTCCTGCTCGTACGAGCCGCGCCAGCTGCCCCTGCCCTCACTCTTGCCCACGCCTCTAAAGTTGAAACACAGTGTTGGCAGATGCATGTGATTGGTGAGGTAGCTGGCAACGCCCAGCACTACGTTGTTCTGGTAGTTTCCGCCAAGCATTGGATGTGGATGTGTGATTACGATGCCAATGTCGGACAGGGGCGACTCTACACCCTCTGGACTGATATTACTGTTATGTGATGGCTCTACAGATGATAAGAAGCCTTCCAACTGATATGTATTGTTTCCCGACTTTACTGGGAACATAACAACCTTCTTTCCCAACTTTGTAGGTTGTCTAAATGGTAGAGATGGTTGATATGGTGGTGATGTTATTGTTGTTTCTTCAACATTTGTTATTGATGACATGTCTTATTAATTATATGTATATAAATATAATAAGTAAGTAATAGTATAGTTATACTTATAAGTATTGATTGTGTTGTTTGTGGTGAATGTCGGTAATGAAAGAATGAAGCTACAAGTTGGACAAACCACCAAAGAACAACTTTGTCAAAAGTGTCCCATAAACTCAAATTCATAGATTCTCTTTGTTCCTTGGGTGAATCAACTTTGACAACTACCTCAGCAATGAATCTGAATAGTTAATGATCATTTTGTATTGTTATTATAAATATATATATGTACATAATCGTTTAAACATCATATTAACGGCAGGTCACATTCAATACCAACAACAACAACAACGACGATAGACCAGGATAGTTTGACACAACTCAATCAAGTGAGATATAGATCACACTCACTCAATCAATCGATCGATCAACTACATAAGTTGAAGTCTCGACAGGTCCCATCTATCTACATATACATATACATATACATACATACATACATCATATATACTCACAGCAATGGACTTATACTGTCAGAAATGCTCAAAGGCATTGGAACTTAATGAGTCTTTGTTGGATATCGATCATAGTGTATTCTTGAATAAGGGTACGAACCAATGACTCTGATGTGTGACTCGATAACATGCACTAACTCATTCATTCTCATTGAATAAATACAGACTGTGATCAAGTATTAGCAACAGTAAAGGAGTTACAGGAAAGGGCACTAAAGAGCAATGTACAACAACAACAACAACAGCATCAACAACAATATCATCAGAACCCTTCGATGCTACAGAGGACTGAATCATTGCAGACTATGATGATGGGAGGGCCACACTCTGCATCGATGGTGTCGATGCCAGGCACTGGCTCATCAATACCTCTGTCTTCATCGTTCGCCGCGACATCTGGGTACCTGCCCAACCCTAGCTATAGCACAAACAACATGTCGACGCTATCCGCCTCGTACGCAACATCACATCTTCATCAACATGACAAGGCGACGAACCAACCACTGATGAAGTTCAAGACTGGTCTGTTCCGCAAGAAGAGCTCCCACCACGCTCACGTCAAGCACATCGAGTATCAGCAGCAACACCCCATCAGCAACAGCAACTTCCAGCCACAGACCACGCTGAGCAGCAGCCAGCAGTCGATGGCCGCACCAACGTCTGCCGCCGCCCTGGACAACAGCAGCGGCAGCATCAACAACGACACCACCGCCAACTCATCCACCTCATCGTTGACCGATTCGACCGGCTCAGGCGTAAGCATGAGCACGTCACCGTCATCATCATCGTTTGGATCACTGTCCAAACATCGCACAAAGACCATGCCCACCCAGCCCAGACTGCAGAAGCAACACTCCACTAGCAGTCTCAACTCTGAATCACCCTCGGCGACCACAGACATGTCCAAGCAGTTCGAAGGCATGGACATCACTCAATCTGGTGGCGGTGAGCCGACCAAGAGAGCTGTATCATCGTCGTCGACGACAAAGAGACAGGGCAACATCAGATCGAGCACCAACAGGAGCACTCTTGGCATGTCGTCTCAGGGCACGCCACCAACATCGCCACTGTCCAGCAGCACAAGGCCCAACAACTTTGTCAGTCCTCAGCAGCAGCAAAAGAATAGCAAACTCAAGTACTTGCGATCCAACTCCAAGTCTTTCAGTCTGGCATCGCTGCCCAACATCCAGGGCGACCTGGCTGCATCGGCACCAATGTCCGTGTACAACAACAATCAAATGTCGCCGCCTCCCCATGGTGTGAGCAACTACAACTCACCCCAGTCGCCGCCCAACCACCTCGTCCCCAATGGCCTTCAAAACTCAGTGTCGTCAACAACGTCGCCAATCGGCTCGCCACCAGTTGCTGTCACTACTGGCGGTGCAGCACTCGGCGGCGTAGGCAATGGCGCTGTTCCCCACAACTCAATCAAATACCTGCAGGTGATCACATTGTTCAAGACGAGCACTGAGCTGATCGGCTACGACCTTCCCCTGTGTTTCGAGTGCGCCAAGCTCGTCCTCACCGAGATGGACTCGGACAACAGTCTGGCCGAGCGCGAGATAAAAGTGTACAGCGACATGCTGGAAGGACTGAACAGACAGGTGTCTGCACAGGATGAGGCCAGCGTCGACCGCGAGATTGAGCAGCTCGAGGAGACCGAACGGTTCTACTTTAACAATCTGGACGCGCTGCGAAGAGAGCGTCAGCACATCGCGACGATCACCGACGATCTGCTACAACGACAACAACAACTGGCCACATTGGAAAACAAGTATTGGAGCGCCTACAGCGAGCAGCAGGTCGACTCGTACCGACTCCAAGATGACCGCGACTCGGTGCTCACTCAGACAACCACCACCATCGACAGGCTGCGACGCCTCAAGGAGACAAACATCCTGAACGATGCGTTCCACCTCTGGTACGATGGACACTTTGGCACGATCAACTCGCTGCGTCTGGGCCGACTCCAGTCGCAACCGGTCGAGTGGAATGAGATCAACTCGGCGTGGGGTCTGTCCATCTCGCTGTTGGACAACCTTGCCAAGCGTCTCAACTACAAGTTCAAGCAGTACAGGCTGATACCCAACGGCTCAACGTCCAAGATAGAGGACATCACCAACAAGACCGTCTACGAGCTCTATGGCTCCAGCGACATCTCGCTCGGACGTCTGTTCTGGTATGGTCGCTTCGACAATGGCATGGTATCATTCCTGCAGTGTCTAAAGGAGCTGTGTGAGCACGTCAAGAATGCGCACGACCCAACATTCGAGGTGCCCTACACGATCGAGAACGATCACATCAATGGCATGCTGATCAAGATGCAGTTCACCAACGAGGACACGTGGACCAAGTCACTCAAGTACATGCTGACCAACCTCAAATGGCTGTTGTCATGGGTGGCCAAGAATGAGTCCACACAACCAATGGAGATACACTCGACCAAGCGATCCAACAATGCATCTGGCAACAGTAGTCTGTCCACAACGCCATCGCCACATTCAAACAACAACAACAATACACCAAATGGAGGAAGTAATGCGACAAACAATGGCGGCATCATCACAACGACCACAACATCCACTGGCAGTACACCAAGCAAGTCCTCTTCTTCTTCTTCCAAGTCCAGCCACAATAAATGAGTCAGTCAGTATTCCAGTTTGTAACATACACACATGTCGTGATCACGTTCATTCATGAATCTACCCCCACCTTTACGATCTCATCAAAAGACAATGAATGACACAAAACGGGTATTTTTGCACATTTTGTCAGTCTAACAGTTCATTCATTCTCTTTGTCAGTACACAGACATTTATAATTATAACTATTATAACATAACAAATCATAATACATACATAATAGTGATAGAATAGAATAGAGATAGAGGATGTTACACTTATCAGGCACGTTGAACGTGTTTGTTTATTTGGAGTCATTGCGTGTCATTGATTTGATACGTAAGGGTATCTATAGTGTAAGGATCAAATGTTATAAGGATAATGATACAAGTGTATTGTTGGCAACACCTCAGCTTGGACAATCAGATCGTCGTGGTGATGCAGTACACAATATAAAGAAGCCAGAGATACAGCAGCACTACTACTGTTCCAAACAGTTCTTTATCAGTCACATGAAAGAGATCATCCAACTACAGAACAGTTGTAACTTTATGATTGAACTACCACTCAATGTAAGTTGATGTACTGATTAGCTGATCTACACGCCTCCAGTCGTCAGTCGCGTGACTAACTCATTCAATCAATCAAACATATAAAGGCATTCTACTCGCACAGCTTATTCCTCGAGTTTGAACTCATTCAACATAATGAACAAGAGTAAGTCACAGTCTTGGAACACTACCCTCTCTCTTGTCTCAATCAATCAAGACTAACACAAAGAATGAATGAATAGTGGCGCAACAGAGGAGATGGTCGCGGAGAAGGTGGTTTGCCAACATAGAGTTAGAGTCAATAGGGCTGGAAAGGGAATTCAACAATATTATCCCGTGACGTTTACCGATTGGTACTTCTCAATACTCAAGATTACGATCAATACATCATTACAAAGCATTGGCTACAGGATACAATCACAGGCAATCAGCAACATGTTGAACTCATCCAGTGACAGCAATCCAAACTCACCGCACAAGTCACCAATCAGGACGACGCAACAACAGTATCTCAGGAGCTCACAGTCGCCTACCAACAGTCCGACCATTGGCCAACGAGGAGTACTACTCCCAGGACAACAACCACAGCAACCACAACAACAGCTGCCAACCCAACAGGTTAACGCTGAGGAGGAGAACAATCAATACGTCTTGGACAAGTATCAAGAGATACAATCATACATTGTGGAGACATACTGCAAGACGGTCAATCGGTACAAGAAGTTGCTGCTCCTTCTCAAACAGAGCCAGGTGAGCCAGATCGGCGACCTGGCCAACCTGCCGCCCCTCAACATCCCGCCCCTCGACATTTGGAGTTGGAAGAATGCCCTCAACACGGTGAGCGGCCCAGCCGAGCCATCGTTCCGCTCCAACTCCAACTCGCGCTCCTCAGATGTTGGCGCCATCAACATTGGCTCGTTGGAGCTGAGCAGCGACACCAACACAGAGGACGAGGACGACACCTACCATCTCCTGTCCAAGGACACGGCACTCAGCTTCAGCAGCTTCAGCAGCGACGAGAGTGGCGGCAGCAACAGTGCCTATCAGATACCGTCCACGGCAGCTGGCGTCATGACCATCCCCAACTACGTGGATCAGAGCTCTGCTGGCGATGACACCTCAATCATCCTATGGAAGAAGATGATTGAGAAMCCTGCAAAAGATCTGTGAGCAAGTCTGCACACTCTGGGAGAACTACAAGACCATCTTTGACATGGTGGCACGTGAGCACTGCTTCAAACTGTCCCTACACTACGAGAGCAAGTGCGTCGATCGCTGGGATCGTCGAACCCAGAGAATGACCCTTCATATCCAAGACATCCAGGACTTACTGATCATGGACTCATCGTATGTATCACTCACTCTATCAATCCCGATCAAACTCTAACACATCCTTCAGACCTCCATCATCAGAGTTCATCCAGGCATACTTCCAGTTCAAGCCACTGAAGATTGAGTCGATCCCTGCCAAGATCGACACGGTGTATGATACGATGCCAGTTTTCTTTGAACAGAAGATTAAGTTCCATCAGACACCAACAGTGCCAGTTCGTGAGGTTGATCTGGTCCAGCAGCAACAGGCCGCGCAGCTAGAAGCTGCACAGGTCCAGAGTGCACAAGAACAGATCACTGAGAATCTCAATCAGGAACACCTGAGCGCCAACAAACGCTTCATGTTGTCCATCTCCAACAACCCAGGTCGACACCTGTTCGTCTTTGTGCACGGTCTGTCTGGCACAAGCTACGACCTGCGCCAGTTCAAGAACTACTTCTCGATCCACTTCCCTCACGCCATCTACCTGACGTGCTCCTCGATCGAAGAGAACACCCTGGATGACATCCAACAGCTTGGCGAGAAGATCGCCACCGAGGTGTCGGCCTTCCTCCAGGAGAATGTATTTTATAACATCACAAGGATAAGCTTCGTCGGACATTCTTTAGGTGGAATCGTTGTAAGAAGTGCTCTCACATCACCAAGCCTGCAGGAATACCTTCCAAGACTACACACGTACATCTCATTATCATCGCCACATCTTGGCGTCAAGTTCTCAGGTTCCAACCTCGTGCCATCTGCCATGTGGCTATGGCAGAAGTTCTCCAACTCCATCTGTCTCAAGCAACTATTGATGCAAGACACCACCGGTCCAATAACCGATTGTTTCCTCTACAAGCTCAGTGAATGCAAGAGTATGTGTACATCCATTGATTGATTGATCGATTGGACATGTTACTAACACGCACTTTACAGCACTGGAACACTTCAAGTATATATTCCTCATTGGATCAGAGCAAGACTCTTATGTACCATACCATTCAGCTCGTATTGAGTTCCCTAAGGAAGTCAAGAAGGATAAACATAGTATGTATACATACTTACTTCATGCTCTCCCTCCCAACCATGCTCACTACTAACTATGACCACATAAAGGATCAGTACTTACTACAATGCTACAGAACATATTGGCACCAATTAAGAACAAACCAATTGAATACTCAAGGTATAACCTGCCTGTTGAGTCAATGATCAAGTTGAATGTTCTGTTTGAGGCACATAAAGGTGTCGATGGAGTCATTGGACGATCAGCACACATTCGAATGCTGGATCAACCATGGTTCATGCAGATGTTTGTACAGCTCTACAAGTCCTACTGGGAATAATAAACCTTGATTGACTATCATCATTATGTCCATGCATTCCTTGTCGCGAGTTGGCAAATGTGTCAACTTTGATGAAGTGTTGGTGATGTTCACTTTTTGATTCATCAAATTGATGTTGTGTAGGGTCATTCATTCATTCATTCATTCATTAACATTGAGGTAGTAGTTGTAGTAGTTAGTAGTAGACATTGACAGGACAGGACAGAAGGCATATTTACATCGATCATGATGGAGCATCAACAACAGCATGCTGGTGGTAGTCTACAACAACATGTTCAATCAAAGGCTGCCACAACAACCTCCTTTGATACAATGTTCAAGTTTAGATACAATACTAGAGTGGCACTTACACTAGTACCATCACTTATAATCGCCCTATTCTTGCGAGGTCACATTGCAATCTACTCAGCTGCTCTAGTTGTCCTCTTCACATACTTTGTAGACTTTTTAAACATGCCTCAAGTGTAGTGTATCATCAACATCGTCATCGATCAATCATTCAACTGACACTGATCAATCAATCAATCAAACATAGAACTATTACATGTATATGGGCAGGACTGTTTGTCGTTGACCTCTCGATTATGATGGGCGGAGTACTTCTGTTGCAGCACTCATTCGTCAATATATTTCTGTTGTTCAATTTGGCTATGTTGCTGGCACTGCTTGGAGTGTGGATAACATTGCAGTTCAAATGGATTACATCATCATTCCCAAATATCTGCACGGCGATGGGAGCGTATCCTATTCGGTTGTCTACCATATCCCACCGCCGTGTTCCTTACATGGTGCACGATCGTTATGCGAGGCATCGACTACAGTCCCTACTATCTACTCTGTATCCTCGCGGCCACATACTATCTCTATGGCATCCCACTTCGCTCGTTCCGTGTACGAGCTTCAAAGCCTGTCACTTCCGTCAATGGTATGATGGTGGAATTCCAAGCTCACTCAATCACGCATGCTAACACCTCATTCCCATCACGTCTAGACTTTGTCCTTGGCAGAATGGAATCTGGACTGATGACAATGTCACTGATCACACTGCCTGGCTGTTTGTACATTGCGATCTACAACTCGGTGTTCTTGGGCGCGGACTTTTGGCTGCACTTGTCGAACTTGACGCTGCTGGTCACTCTGCCCACGACGTACTGCTTGGTGCTGTCGGGACAGGGCTCACTTTGGTGGCTTCTGCCGCACTTCTGGGACGCACGTCTCCAGAACAGACCTCCACCACCCGACACTACACTATACTTTGCAGTTGGACGAGTGATCAAGATAGCCACACTGGTGCTGCTCGTGGCAGCAATTGAGTATAGAGTGATCTACAACTCGCCCACCTTTTACAACTCGCTGCGCCTGTCGTCGCGCCTTTCCATCATCGCTGTCACACTGGCCATGTACACAATGGGCGCGCTGCTCTATCTTGTGTTGTTCTCGGCACCTGACCACACGGTGATTGGACACGTGCCCGCTGGCTACCAGGTGGTCATGCACACACTGGCCGGCGCATTCAGTGTGGCAGCATGCTTCCTGCTCGAGACTCCGATGTACATCTTCCCATTAGCCATTATCGCTGCACTGGCCATCACACTGTACCTATTCCACCTCAATTCAGACATGCTCTTCTACGTCTTCCTGGCGTGCTCCACGCTCTGTCTGCAGTGGTTCGTCTACGATCGCTTCAGCTTCATCACGTACACATTCCCCATGCTGAACATCACTCTTCAATCATTCACATACTTTATCACGCTGCTCTACGTCGCGTCCATGATCGCGGCCAAGTCATCTCTGAATGCCTCGACCAACACCACGTCCAAGGTGGTGCTCAGCCTGCTCTCTGTGCTACAAGCCACCCTGTTGGCGCTGATCGAGATCACCCTCAACTCAACCGACGCCGATATGTACCCCGTGTACCTGATGTTCCTGACCTCTGCCGTGGGCATGCTCGTCAACCATCGTCTCTATGAGGGCAAGTGCATCTCATTCTTTATCCGTTTCGTCTCGGACTCTTTGCTCATCGCCAAGGTGCTGGCCACTACACTGCTCCCGCCCGCCACAGACACCATCATCCCAGTATCGCTGCACACGGCCACAGTCTACAGTCTGTTGATATACCAAGAGAAGCACATCGATCGCAAGTACGCCGCGCTACAGTTCTTCTCTAGCTTTGCCCTGTCAGCCGTGTACGTTGGCATCCCATACCGCATCCTGGCCATGTTCCTCAGCAGCGTCAGCTACAATGAGGACGGCACGCCCGCCTCCTACACCATGCTGTTTGCCAGCTTCCTTTTGTCCTTTGGTCTGGCCGTCTTCAACCTGCCGTTCAAGTTCTATCCCAACAACAAGACATTCCGCAACTTTGTCGTGATGGTGCTAGCCCTGGGCACCGTGCTCCTCTTCCTCAACCCATCCAGCTCACACATCCCCCTCGACAGTTGGTACCTGGCACTCATTGGCCTGGTCCTGTTGGTGGCGCTCTACACCAGTCGCGCTAGAGTATCAAGATCGACAGCACTCAAGATCCTCTACGCACTGGCCATTGGCACACTATTTGGTTTGCAATTTAGCTTTAACTACTTTGCCCTCAAGACACAAAGCGCCGCCACCAAGAGACTGCCCAGCAAGCTGCTCGCTGGTGAATGGCTGATCCACGGACTTCTCGTGGTCATCTTCAACTGCTTCACAACACTGCTCATGTTTGCACAGTACCCATCACTCAATTCACCTCGCTCCATGACCCAGTTACACATCATCTTTGTCTCGCTCCTTTCACTGCTCTACTCTTTGTTGCCCAGGATCTATCGTCCTACCACGATCAAGATGCAAGCACACCTAGAAAACACACAACTCTCGGCAATGGCACTGGCGATTGGACTCAACATGCTCATTGTACTATACATCAAGCATCACGTGTCACAACTCAAGCAACATGGTATCAAGAGCACAGCATACGGCTTGCACTCCCCAATCAAGAAGCAATCAGGTGGCGGCGGCCACTCACAAGCCGACTCAATACCAGGTGGCGAGACATGGATGTTCCGTGTGTCCACTCTCGCGTGTCTCTATGCCTACGTCATTAGCGTTGCTCTCAATATGATGTGGCTTGGTGGAAGCGAACTATGTGTCTTTGTCCTGTCGCCCATTCTCCTGCTGCTCAACACTGAGCGAGGCCCTCTTCGCAAGCTGGCCGAATCACATCGCTACACACCGATGCTGATTGCCATATCATCATTGTTGGCCATCTTTGCGCTGGTGGACCTGGTGGCTATTGCATCCAATGCCGAGATGTCCTACGAGTGGTACCGGTTCTTTGGCGTGTCATCCGGCTTCTGGCGTCTGTGGTGGAATATCAAGAACTGGGTGTTGTACGCGGGCACATTACCCTCTGTATATTACCTCAATCGTTATCTATGGAGGTTTGAACGACAGAGACATTTCATATGGCTACTGTGTACACCACCTGCATTGCTCTCAGTACTCTTTAGTGACATCTTCTCGATCAATCTTCTTGGAGTGATTGGTCTGAGTGGATCAGTCATTCGTCAATTAGTATCATCACATATCCAAAAGCGAGGAAACCAAGTCATCTAATAATGGATGGGTCAAATCAGTCAATCATTCGAATCATTCCAATCAATCAACATCAACCAAATCAAGTTAATAATAGACATACCAACTCAACCAATTGAAGCAAGTGACGTCGACACCAACTTGTTTATAATTATCCCCCAACAACTCAATCATTAGTCTAGACTTATGCACAACACAAACAATGGGCCGTATCTTTGCCTTGATCATGTCATCAAATTAATTAATTAATTGTGTGGGTTTGAACAAAAACGACGATCAGTGTGACGTTTTGAGATCTATCAGGTGTAGATGGCGATCAGAACTGATTTTAACTGAATTGATTCAAAGTATGGTACCATAAGACGGTCTATCTGACCGATAACTTATTCTTAAGGTTGATATCATCCCCATCGACATTTCATTACAGCTCGCACATCACTTCAAACATCTCATCTCATCTCAACCTCTCGCCTTGAGGACCATTGAACTGATCAAACAATGTTTGCTTGCTACAAGCATCTATCAACTGAATCTATGCAATCAATCCAGAGTTCTATTTTAAACCAAGTTGGTCCTGTGTCATTCATTATTGATATCCAACTTATACCAATACATACATATACATAAATAAAACAATGGCGTAAGTATAATCTCTCTTTGGGTCCAATCAATCAACCGATTCCATGTCCTAACCACCCGCCCTCGCCCCCGCCCTCGCCTTCGACCTAAACCCACGCACTCATACATAATAGTTGCTGCAGCTGCTTTAAAGGATGCAAGAGGATTATGTTCTTCTTCTATGGATTCTTCATGGTGAATAACTTTGCCACGACAATCTCATTCGTAGTGACATTATACAACTATCCTCATATTGATGACCTGGATGACGAGGGAAAGAAGAACCTAAAGATATGCCAAATCATCTCGACTGTTGGTCTGGGACTGGACGTGCTCACCCAAGTCTGGAACACAGTTCGCAAGGAATTCTGGGTATGCTCCATCGTTATTGTTCCACCAGTCTCTTTGATGCCCGGTGATAAATGGGTTGAGCTCAACCAACAAAAGGGAACATGGCCAGTGTTCAAGCTCAAATGTTGGACGATGTGCACGCACAACTTCCTGCTCCTGGCTTCGACTTCTTTCTACATCCATGTGTTGGCGCAACACGCACCGGTAGGCCAACGAATCTCTGTCTACTTCAAGATCATCTCTTTGCTGATATCGATGGGCATCTTCTTCTTTATCGAGCTGCCCATCAAGTGCTGCATGCACAAGACTGGCAAGGAGATCGACAAGAAGAAGGAGAAGATCAAGCAAAAGTTCTCAAAGAAGGATCCAGAGACCGCTGGAGGTGATGCTGTCGAGATGACCACCGAGGCTTAATCAATCCACCTTGTATCAATAGTAATAAACTCAATCAATCATTCATGTGATTGTGTGAAGACAACAAGTATTGACGTGTGATGGAATCATTCCAGGTTTGATCAAAAACTGGATTGGATTTGATTTGCATTATAATAGTAAGCAAGGTGTTAGGATAATTGTTTATTTAGTTCAAGACCTTGTGGATGATACCAGCACCAACAGTCAACTGTCCCTCTCTGATGGCGAAACGAAGACCCTCGTTCAATGGGGTTGGGGAAATGAGCTCGACCGTCAGCTCGAGGTTGTCTCCTGGCATAGCCATTGGAGTGTTTGGTGGCAACTCAATACGTCCAGTAACGTTGGAAGTACGAATGAAGAACTGTGGCCTGTTTTGTTTGTAATTTGATTGATTGATTGGATTGGGTTAGTCATCTGTCTTTTGATTGTGCCTGTATGTGTATCCTGCTGTTGATTGATGATGCTTACTTGTAGTTGGTGGCGAAACCCTTCTTTCTTCCACCCTCGACGTCGGTAAGGATGTAAGTCTTGGCAACGAATTTAGTATATGCCTTCATGGTGCCTGGCTTGGCAACGACCTCTCCTCTGAGGACGTCCTCACGCTTCAAACCTCTGAGCAAGACTCCGACGTTCTCGCCGGCCTGAGCAAAGTCCAATATCTTTCCGAACATCTCGAGACCTGTGACTGCAACCTTTGGATGTGGCTTGAGACCAACGATGGCAACCTCATCACCGACCTTGACGACACCCTGGTCGATACGACCGGTGGCGACGGTACCACGACCAGAGATGGAGAACACCTCCTCGACTGGCATCAGGAAGGGCTTGTCGACGGCACGATGGGGCAGTGGCACCTTGGTGTCGAGCACCTCGACCAACTGGTCGATGGCCAGACGACCGTACTCGGTTGGTGCGCTGGGGTCCTCAGCGAGGGCGACGGCGGCGGCACCCTTGACGAATGGGGTGTTGTCGGCATCGAAGCCGTACTTGCCAAGCAGCTCTCTGACCTCCATCTCGACGATCTCGACGAGATCTGGGTCAGCATTGTCCATCTTGTTCAAGAAGACGACGATCGAGGGGATGCCGACCTCACGCGACAAGATAACGTGCTCACGTGTCTGCTCCTGGGGTCCATCGGGGGCGGACACGACCAGGATGGCACCGTCCATCTGTGCAGCACCAGTAATCATGTTCTTGATGTAATGCTGATGGCCTGGGCAATCGATGTGTGCATAATGACGGTTGGCCGACTCGTACTCGATGTGAGACGCTGTGATGGTGATACCACGATTACGCTCCTCTGGCGACTTGTCGATCTGAGCGTATGACTTGAAGTTGGCCAGGCCTCTGTCGGAGAGCACCTTGGTGATGGCGGCAGTGAGCGTAGTCTTGCCGTGATCGACGTGACCGATCGTACCCACATTGACGTGGGGCTTGTTACGCTCGAACTTCTTCTTTGTCTCTGCGGCCAAGGCGACAGATGAAGATCTGAAAGATCGCATGCCGAGCATGCTGGCAGTGTTGAACAAGTTCTTTGATAACATTGTCTATTCTATATGTTATTATAATGAATATATATATATATAAGTATATGTATTATCGAGTAGTGCACTAACGCATTAGACACAAAAGCAACACGCAAGCATGATCACACAATGAACGAGACACAACTCCACTCGTTTTTTTTTATTTTTCAAAATCATCCAAGTATTCGTACTTTTGTTCATTCATCATTCATTCAAGTTTGATCGATGTATGATATCATACATACAAATAAGAACTATTATTATATTCTCTTTCTTTGGGTAATGTCAATCAAGTATCAATCAAAATGATTGGGAACAAAATTATTAATGCCCGGGCATTTATTTCAAATCACTCGTCTTTGTAAACACATCAACAACACACAATCCAAAACAACACCTGACTTGAAAAATTTATTTAATAGGATGTGCAAAAAAAACGAGAAAAAAGGAATTCCAACAACAACTACCCCACACATTGTTGTTCGCGACTCCTTCCATCTTCTATTCGTATCACTTGCATTCAAACAAACAATACAAACACATAATATATATTTATAACTATCTATATTATATATATTCCCAACATTACATTACATTAACTTAATATAACATTTATAAATACATTTGTTTGTGTTTTATAAACTTGTTATAAATTTGTTTCATAACTTGCTTGCTTACTGACATTCAAGTGATTGATTGACAGACAGATAGCTAGCTCGTTCGAACAAATAGCCTCCATCCCATCGCATCATCAAATAAACTACCCAGTATCCAGTTCAGTTTGAGAAGTAGAAAGAAAGAACGAGAATAATTATCTCTGTATTTCTATCTCTATCTCTCTATTTGTGAACTTGTGATTGTGTTGACGTGTAGTAGTAGTTGACAAAGTTGACGAAACGACCCAATCAGTCTGACGAGTACTTGACCCACCAAGTCGACGACTCAGGATAACTTGACGAACGAATACCCAGCCAAGGCTGCCACTTCAACCCCGCATAACCCTGTCGTTCATAACAACAACACAAGAGCATAACCTATAACCTCTTTGACAAGAGAATAGGAACAGCCAGACAATTATCGGGTGATTTAAAGTGAGCATACCTGACTCTTTATTCATTGCCTGCCTGTCTGCCTCCCCCATCAGTCAACGTCGCCATACGCCTTTGCGCCCGACGCTTTGCCATCCTCTCTTTAAATATTACCATTTACGAGAGTGACTGTCGTTGTTGACAAGTCAACGCGTTGACTGCTTTAATTTCGAACGAGTGTTTGCTTTGATTATCCTTCCTATAATAAGGTAGAAGCATCACCAGTGCCTGGCGCGCCCTTACCCTGCCCTTACCCTACCCTTACCCTTACCCTACCTCCCCGTGTCCATCTTTAACTTAAATTCATCATTCATTAATTCTTCCCGTCAAACGAACGAACGACCGTTCGAGCTTCAACACCCCACATTCACACCTACCATCATAAACTCGCCGACGAGTCATTACATTAAGGTAAGCAAGCAGAGGGAATGGATTGCGTGTCATGGGAGGTTCATTGCATGCTGACCATTCAATCAATCAATCAATCAATATTAGATGCCAATGGAAGTACGTATCAACCATCCCCAGCCAACACCAATACCATCCAAACTGGGCGGTCAGTTGACACAACAACAGATGCAGCAGATGCAACAACTACAACAGCAGCAGCAACAGCAGCAACAACAACAGCAACAGCAACAGCAACAACAGCAACAAGACCTATCATACGGTGCACTATGGAAGAAGGTCACCCAAGAGAGAAGGAAACTTAATCTAATCGATCGTAGGTATCATCCATGCATGTATCCACATTGTGAAGTTGGACCCAGTCACTAATCCAACCAATCATAACAATATCATAGTTGTAACATTCGATTGGACAAAGGATGAAATGTCCGCCAACAAGTTTATAGAGTTTGCCATCAACTTGGTCACATTCAATCAGAGCTACGTGACGGATGTGTTCCAAATGTTGACATCTATATTCGAACCATACAAGCATACGCAATCTAATAATAATGGACCTGGCAATTTCATCGACTATGACAAGTACAATAGGATCACAACCAGAGTGCACTATGCCATCAACAAGATACTGGCTGTTCTGCCGCTCAGTTCACAAGCATTGATTGAGGTCATCGTCCAGAAGTTCCCTCACTTTGCCCATCCAGTTGAAGTGCATCACTTCTTCATCAAGAATGCCCTACTCGTCACCCGTTACTGTCCCAGCATCTCCTCAAGAATGATCTCATCGGTCATGAATGCACTTGTCCTCATTGATGTAAGTACCCATGTCCATGGTCCTCATCCACATGGAACCATTCCACTCACTCAATCAATCAATCATAGACTACTATAACAATTGAAGAGTTACCTGATGAAGAGGACTTGCAGTTTGATATTGATGAGAAGAAACAGGATGATAATAAGAGCGCTACTAATGCCAACAAGTTGGATATGTTGATGTGTTTGATGTTCCAGTATTTGGACGCATGCTTCTCCGTGCCCCAACAAGATGGCACTGGCAATATATTCGTGTTTGAGGGAAGCGCCGAAGCCGACCTCATGTCGCAGGACGACCTCTTTCACAACCTGATCAAGGCGTTCGATACCAGCGTCCTCCCCACCTACAAATCCAAGTACACCCAGTTCCTGCTGCTCTATGTGTGCCGCATCTATCAGCGCAAGAACGCCTTCCAGCCACTCAACGTCAACTCCTCTCTCCTGCAGGCTCAGTCCCTGCTGTCACCATTTAAGCAGCCGTCGTCGCCAGGCGGCATGGGCCTCTCGCCCAAGAAGTTCTCATCATCACCTCGCAAGCACAAGACCTTCCTACACAACGAACCGGTCCAAGTGGGCGACCGCTCACTCTACGCCGAGTCCTACCTGCGCTACCTCTTTGGCAAGCTCAACAACGACAGGAACCCATCGATTGTGCGCACGGCCTGCGCGGCATACGTCGGCGGCTTCATCTCTCGCGCGCGCTACCTGCCGCCCCATCTGATCCGTCTGGCGTTCAAGGAGCTGGTGCTCTTCTCCGTGCAGTACGTAGACCGCAACGACACCAAGATGGGCAGTGACTTCACATTCAATCCAAAGCTACACTCGGTCTTCTACTCAGTGTGCCAATCTGTATATTATATCTTCTGCTTCAGGAACAACATCATCCTGGACTTTAGCCAGGAGAACGACGCGCAGGGCGAGAAGAAGCGCGAGTACTGGCAGGACCTGCATGAGGCCTTCCGCAAGGTCAGCTCGTCGCGTCTCAACCCCTTCCACGTGTGTCTGAGGAGCGTCGTCAAGCAGTTCTGCGCGGTGTGTCTGCGCGTGGGTATCTTCACCAAGTGCACCAGCATCTTGCAGGCCAACAAGAAGGTGACCAAGACCACAGCGTCTGGCTTCCAATCGCAGTTCCAGTCACAGCAGCAGCAGAACCAGCAGTTCGATTCATTCTTCCCCTTCGACCCATACTTGCTGCTGGCGTCCAACAAGTACGTGGAGAACACATATCTGCATTGGAAGGATGTCATGAAGGATGAGGACGACATTGACCTCGAGGAGATGTCCGATCAGGAGGACGACGACAACGATGCCAAGAAGATGTCGTCAGACTCTGACTCTGAATTCAGTGACTTTGACTCGGAGGATGATAGTGATGACAATAACAGTGATGAAGAGGTTGGATCTGACTCTGAGATTGATCAACTCACCGAAGACTTTATGTCATTCACTCCCACCGGTATGCCAGATGCCGCTCATCAACACTTTAAGAACAGAGGTCTATAATTAAAGTCGACTTATAAACATAATATTATTATATTATTGATTGATTGATCGATTCGATCAATCAATGGATCAGGAGTGGTCAAACAGGAGTGTCCCAGGAGTGTCAGCTGATCGATGGATGCCATTCGCCGAGTGGACCTGGCGCACGAGCGCGTGTGGTCCAACCCCCTTTTGAACCCAAAGGGGGTTGCTTTCTCCCCCACCTTCCTACTTCGTTGACTCGCCCTTCATCTTCAACAACATCAACATTCATTCATTCACTATCAAGTGATCCCAACTTGTACATACTTATAAATAACATATATATATACTTTATCAAACAAATAATGGGAATTAAGTCATCAAAAGTTCAATCAAATAATAACAATGTCAAAGATGGAGATGACACTACAACAACAACTGATGCAACAGGTCAAGTGGATAATGTTGATTCGGCACTGCATAGATTACCAATTAATATACAACAGATTATTGTACAATATGTTTGGATATATCGTGGAGAGTACCCTTCTAGATGGTTGATACCAATGAGTTTAGTTTGTAGACGTTGGTTTAAATTCATTGGATCAATGGTGGACCAGACATATACATTGTACGATGATGCCTGTCCCAATGACCATCACCTCACCAAGTATGTCAAGCATCTGTCCAATCCACGTTGTTTGTGGAACCACGTCCGCAAGGTCATCTGCATCGTTCATTCTGACAAGCAGCTGGCCCGACTGCGTCGCCATCTCACCTCAAAGAGCACACAGACCATCTTGCACAGCGTTCAGAACATGCGCATCGAGACCTCAATGGATCTGTTTGAAAAGGTCATCGACACTATATCTCTGGCACAGTGGTCATCGGACATTGTGATTCGAATCGATCTCTTGGATGTGATTGACATCATGCCAATTGATCTGGGTGTCTTGGCGACGGTGTGCGCCCAACTGCCACACACTATCGAGGTCATTGGCAGTCACTCGTTATCCACACCCCACAACTCTATACAATTCCCAGCGAACCTCTCTTTGGTGGACCTCCACGTGGACCTTCGAGCAGACATCAGTTCATTCATCGACACCTGCGCGTCCACACTCCTGTCCAACATCAAGATCTTCAATATTACATTCCACGACATTGAGATTGATCTGATGCCACTACTGCGGCTTGACACACTGGTGTCAGTCTCGCTGTGCACTCCGTCCGACCTAGCAGTACCTCCCAACGTCATGAACTATCTGCAGCAGATGCCAGAGAGCATCACTCGTCTCTACTTGGCTGTGTGGACAGTGGACGATGCGCTCAAAGGTATCATCGAGCATCTCAAGTGCACAACGTTGTGTCTATCATTCCGCCGAGTGACATGTCAGCCCGACATCCAGCTGCCTCAATGCATTCAAAACTTCTCGTTTTCCAATGGCAGTATGACACCGAATCCGGACTGCAATCCAGACGTGCGATGGCTCCGACTTCATGACAATGGACGCAATCTACGCAGTCTGAGCTTGAGTGGAGTGATCGGTCATCTGATTGGACTGGATGACATACTGGCGGACAGTGGCTGCACGCTGACCAAGTTGAAGATCAGTCTTCACTCGACAAACATCGGCTTCACTCCACAATTCTTTGAGCGATTGACTGGCTGTGCCACACTGCAACACTTCATACTGGATAGCAGTGCCGACATTGATGTTCAGATGGTCAATCAATTCATTCAACGATTGGGTTCAGACTACCAAGTGGCACCACTTCTGACTTACATCGAGATCAATCTGTATGATCTGCGGAAGGGATCATTCCCCAAACAACTCACAAGGTATCGAACACTAGAGTACCAATGTGGCTATGGCAAAGGCATCAAGTTGTTCATGAACTATCCAACTCTCCCTTCTTCCTCCTATTCTTATACAACTCCAGTATCACAACATCAGATTGTGATATAAATTTTGGATTCAATTATAAATCAAAGTGATCAATTTGTTTGATGAATACTGTTATGATGATTTGTAACAATGTGTAACATCTATCAATCAATATGATTCGGAAGGAGGTCAAACAGGAGTATCCTGGAGGTGTAGTTCACCGCGTGGATATCGTGCATGAGCGTGTCATCATTGCGCCAATAGGCCCATCAATGATCAAACTAGTTAAGTGAATGATATCAAACTAACTCCGACAGGTAGGAGATAATTTCACCCAGTGACAAGGAGACGTTGCATTCACAGATCTAGATTGCCTGCCCATTATCCTAGGCCAATCAAACCCGGTGGCCTTCAAAGATATTTTCAAACTTGATTCCCCTCATCAACTTCACAATTTGTTGTCTTGCTCAAGTTCATTAACCTTCATTCTTCATTCATTCATTCACTACTAATATTTATATTAATAATATATAGATAGAATGGGAATTACATCATTTCAATCAAATAATAATGTCAATGATGGTCAGGACACATCAATACATGACATTGTCATCATAGATGAGGACACATCAATACATAGATTACCAATTAATATACAACATATTATTGTTCAATATGTTTGGTTGTATCGTGGAGAGTACCCTACTAAATGGTTGATATCAATGAGTTTAGTATGTAGACGTTGGTTTAAATTCATTGCTCCAATTGTAGACAAGACATACACATTGTATAAAGGAGCTAAAGGCTATGGCCGTCCCGAAGTCGATCACCTCACCAAGTGCGTCAAGCATCTGTCCAATCCACGATGTTTGTGGAGCAATGTCCGCAATGTCGTCCTCATCCTTCTCGACCGCTATCAGATAGCCGGAGTGCGTCGCCAGCTCACCTCAAAGAGCATACAGACCATCTTGCACAGTGTCAAGAACATTCGCATCGACACAGCAATGGACCAGATTGAGAATGTTATCGACACATTGTCTCTGGCCAAATGGTCTCCAGACGTTGTGTTTCGAATCGATCTCAATGATGTGTATGAAGGCATAATACCAATTGATATGGGTGTCATTGCGACTGTGTGCGCGAAACTGCCACACACCTTCGAGATCATTGGCCAACACGTGTTGTCTGCACCCCACAGCTCTTTACTATTCCCAGCGAACCTCTCTCTGGTGGACCTCCGCCTGGACCTTCGATCAGACATCAGTTCATTCATCAATACCTGCGCCCCGACACTCCTGTCCAACATCAAAATCCTCACAATTAGCCCCAACGAAATTGAGTCTGATCTGACACCTCTGCTAAGGCTTGGCACACTGGAGTCAGTCTCGCTGTTTTGTTCGTCCAATCTACCAGTACCTCCCAACGTCATGAACTATCTTCAGCAGATGCCGGCGAGAATCACTCATCTCTACCTTGCTGTAAGGACGGTGGACGATGCGGTCAAAGGCATGATCGAGCATCTCAAGTGTACATCGCTGAAACTGTCATTCAGTAACGTGACGTGCCAACCCGACATCCAGCTGCCTCAGTGCATTCAACACCTCTCGTTAATCGATTTAAGTAGGACACCGAATCAGGGTTCCAATCCAAACATGCGTTGGCTCCGACTGCATGACAATGGACGCAATCTACGCAGTTTGAGATTGTATGCAGTTGCCAGTCATCTGATTGGGCTGGATGACATACTGGCGGACAGTGGCTGCACGTTGACCAAGTTGGAAATCGGTCTTCACTCGACAAGCGTGGGTCTCACTCCACAATTCTTTGAACGATTGACTGGCTGTGCCACACTGCAACACTTCATACTGGATAGCCGTGCCGACATTGATGTACAGATGGTCAATCAATTCATTCAACGACTGGATTCAGACTACCAAATGGCACCACTTCTGACTTACATTGAGATCAATTTCTATGAATTGCGAGAGGAATCATTCCCCAAACAACTCACAAGGTATCGAACATTAGAGTACAAAAGTGGACATTATGGAGAAGGCATCAAGTTTTTCATGAACTATCCAACTCTACCTTCTTCCTCCACTTCTTCTTGTTCAACTCCAGTATAAATACCATCTTGAGTGTCGTGATTTAAATTTTCTTGGTTGATTGAATGATTTTCTTGGTTGATTGTTGAACATCAATTTGATGAATACTGAGATGATTGTTTTTGATATGGCAATACTGTATTTATTGTTTGTTGCAATATGTTGCATCGATTACATATGTACAGAAACGATCTTTCTCTGCTCTGCTCTCACTGTCTTCACAGACGGCAGTGACTGCTTCATTCTTCAGACTGACACAGAAGGCTCTCCAAAAGTCTTGGTATGATCCAGTATCAATGCCATAGTTGCACACTTCATGTAGACGACATACACCTGATTTTCCACTACCAACTGAAAGATTTAATCTCTCTCCAATTGAAGAGATCAGATCAGATGGTGCAACACCACTGGTGTATACATATATTGACGAAACCAATATGATGATTGAAATAGCTATTATAGATGTCTTCATTCTGGAATCATTGTCAGTCAGTATATTTCATTCTAAGATTCTTGGACATGGTTTGAACAATTACTTACTTATAATATTTGGATTGAGAGTGTATTATATGAATGAGTGATTCAAGCGAAGTTAAATATTGGATGGTCGAATATTTAATGAATGGACAATTATGGCGCTAAATAGTCTTAAAGTTCTATCATCTACACAATAAAGTACTGTTCAATGCAAATATTGGATCTAAATTCGAAACGACAAAACGAGCCCTCGATGAGTCCTCCATATCCTTTTTATAGAATCAATTGATTGATGTTGACATCATCAAACGAATGTAGGTACCTCAATTTGAAAATAACCAAAGTCTATTCATTATAATGATAACTTCACGAACCATAAACATAAAGTACTACTTTTATCACAATGAATAAAAACTATTATCTCTTTTTGGGCGATATTTTGAAGGACCTGTTTTGATCAAAACAGACCTACCACATTACCACTTTGAGTCCTCAAGATTGACACAAGTCATTCAACAAAGTAGATACAGATAAACATTAATTTTATTTATATGATCATGTCTCATACAAACAATGGGAAGCCTCATTTAGAAGGTTGGCTTGACAAACAAGGTGTAAGTGTCGTCTAAATCACACCAACCTAATGTCCAACTTTAGTTACTGACTGATGACAGCACTGCATCCAATAATGTAGGAGAAAGGATTGTATAGATCATGGAAGACTAGATACTTCAAACTGGCTGGAAATCTTTATGAGTTGCACTACTATGAGCAGGCACCTGCTGATCGATCTCATTCATTGTCCAAGGTGGTCACACAGTACTCATTGGGATTCATTGACTTGCGACAGGTCGAGGGCACCAAGATCACAGACGCTGCCACCTTCACATTCTCAATCGATATACCAAACCGATCGTACATACTCAAGGCCAAGAGTGAGTCGGACATGCAGTACTGGATACAGGGCGTGGACAATGTGCTCAACTATCACCGCACACTCAGTGATCAAATGGCCAACAACAGCAACACGACTTTATTGTTGGAGAGCACCATCCAGATCAAGGATCAGGAGTTGAACAAGTTGAATGAGACCGTGGAGGCACAGCGCAAGCAGATCAATCAGATGACCATTCGTCAGCAAAAGGATGAGTTTGACCTGCAGTCACTCAATGAGAAGTTGGACCTGTCACGCAAGGAGCTAGAGTTGGCAAGGCGCGAAGCACTGGTCGCGAATGGACAAGGACTGGAGCGATTGGCTGCAGAGATCAGTGAGCTGCGGAACAGGGAGCAGGCAACAATCACAGAGAAGGATGCGGTGATCAGACAGCTGGAGCAGGACTTGCTGAGCAAGGTTGGCGAGTTGGGTGACAAGGCAAGGGAGGCAGAGAGTTTGTTGATGGAGCAGCAAAACAGCAAGGACAGGGAATCACAACTCAACGCGAGATTGTCAGAGAGCCAACAAGAGTTGGATACTCTGAGACAACAGTCATCTATGATCAAGAAGGAGGCCGAGGACAAGGAGGGAAGATTGATCAAGGATTTGGAGGAGCGAGATGTTGAGATCCAGAAGCTTAGAGATGATATGTTGAAGAAGACCAATGAGATTCGTTCTCGTGTCCAGGAGAAGGATGCCGCGTTGGATCAGGCACAACTTGAAGTTGCCACATACAAGAGCATGGTCAAGGAGTTGGAGGACAAGGCCAGTTCACTCCACAAGGAAATTGGCAATTTAATGGTTGTGATGAAGGAGACTTGTTCCCAATCTGAGGATACAGTCAGCCAGTTGAGCGCACAACTCACAAACAAACATGAACAGTTGGAAAACATGGAGAAGGAAGCACATCAGAAAGATACAGAGATGCAGCAGTTTCAACAAACAATCGAGTCACTCAAGAAATCATTGGATGAGGAGAGATCCAAGTTGGACATGCACTCTGGTTCACTTCAACAGATCGATCAGGAAAAGACAAAGGAGATTGCTAGATTGCAAGAGAACAGTGACAACCAGATCAAGGAGTTGGAGGCAGAGACAACCAGAATGAGGGAGGCTCTCAGACAGAATGAGTTGGAGATCACTGGACTGAGGAAGGATCAAGTGGATATTAACATCTTGAAGCAACAACTTGAGGAGAGTGGTGAGAGGATTGAATCATTGAATGGAGAGGTACAGAGCAAAGAGACATCATTCAGAGAGAGAATCCAGGAGTTGACCAGGATCAACGAGGAGCAAAAGGCAACAATCGATCAGCTAGAGCATGCGAACGAGACAACCAACTCACAATCAAACAAAGAGACAATGGTGCTGCGAGCCGAGATTGACGTGCTGAAGGGCGAGATCTCATCACTCAACACAATCAACGAGAGCAGGACAAGCGAACTGGAAGGACTCAGAAGTATTATATCAGAAAAGGACATGGAGCTTACAAAGTTGAGTACATTGGTGGAGGAGCACAACAAGGATGGTGGAGCACATGGTATTGAGATCGAAGGTTTAAAGGCAACAATAGAAAGAATGGAAAAGGAGAGAGAGGAGCAGTTTGGAAAGATGATCAAGGAGCACGAGCAGACACTCGTCCAGAAAGAGGAAGAGTTGGCAAAGTTGAGAGCCGAAAGTAATGCAAACTCACTAATATTGGAGAGGATGAAGGATGAGACAAAGGACAAGGAGACACTTCAGGTAGCAAGTGATCAGTTGAGTGCAGAGGTGGACAGTCTAAGGATACAATGTCGAGCGCTTGAACATCAATGCTCAGAGATTGAGAGCATCAAGGAACAGTTGTCCACAATGACCCAGTCGAAAGAGACGTTGGATATCAAGTTGGACACAGTCCAGCAACAAGTATCATCGTTGAATGAAGAGTTGGCAAAATCAAGGATCACCTCACAACAACTAGAAACAAGCAACGCCCAACTCAAGGATGATAAGGACCGTTTACAGGCAGAGAACAACAACCTGGTATCATCCAAGAGTGATGTAGATAGTGAAGCTGTAGATGCGATGGCCGAGAGAATAGAGTCTTTGAATCAACAACTCAAGAATGTACAGGATAATTATGAGGTGCTACAAAGCGAGAGAGACACAATGGAGAAGACATGTCGAGATCATTTGGCCAATATCAACACTGTCACGCAACAAACAGAAGAGCAGGTACACAAGATCAAGAAGTTGGAGAGTGACAACCAAACATTGTTACAAACAAACGAGGCACTTGGAAAGCAGTGCAACACTCTTTTAGATCGTATCAAACAGTTGGAGAGCACCGAAATCAGTGCGACGGACATTGATCGTCTAAAAGAATTGTAAGTAGATTGAATGATTTATCGATTGATGGCAGAGTACAGGACGTAGAGTTTAATGTCTAACCTGTGATTGATTGAATGAATGAATGTATGTTCAGGCACTTCTTGACTGTCGCAAAGAGCATCAAGCTGCAGGTTGCAACGCTGGGCTGGGAGTTCAAGGGTAACGTCTACGAGATGTACGAAGAGTTCAAGCGCCTTCCAAAGATGCGCTTCGAGGAGTGGCCAATTTGGATCGCCAAGCAACTTGAATCCAATAAAGTTCCAATGTGAAGAGTAGGTCGAGCAGAACGTAGGTGTGCGTGAGTGGCACTGAGGGATGGAGGGAGGGCCTTTATCAATCAATCAATCATCAATCCAAGTCGATGACCTCTGCGTCAGAGGGCAGTGGAGCAGGCTTGGTCGCTCGGTTTAGCGGTTTGGAAGGGGTGGTCGGTTTTGATGATGATCTGTAGTCATCATTGCTAATGATTGATACAAGGCGTGCAGGGGATGGCGGGCTGACCTGCTGTACGATCTTGGGCTTGGATGGGGAGAACACTGGGACTGGGAAGTCCAGACCCTGGTCCTCGACGGATGTTCCACCGTATATCTGCGGAGTCTGCTTTGGCTTGGTGGGTGTATCCAACTTTGTCCCTCGTGAGACGTTCTGTTTGGTAAACTGATATTGGGTATCGTCAAAGTCGTCTTGGATTGGGTCCTCATCGTCAACGAGGTTGTTGCTGCTGATTTTCTTGATGGTGAAGTTGCTTGAGCGAGTGGTATGCAGAGGTGCCCAATTGTCTCCATCATCGTCACGTTCCTCGAGCGTTATACTGATGTCATTGATTTCAGTGTCCATTGGTGGTGGCCTACTGAAGAAGGAGCCTTCGCTTGATTGTGTGGCGATTGGGAAGTCTTGGCTGTTCTGATTATCGTTGAAACTGTAGTCATTGTAGTCATCGTCATTATTGCCATTGTTATCGACATTGTTGTTGTTGTTGTTGTTTGGTGGTGATATGGGCGACAATGGTGGATTGTCATCAACATCGTCATTCTGTGAGTGTGGCGCCGTGGCCAATATCTCGTTGTCAAAGAAGTTGGTGTTGATGACTATGGGTGACATTGGTTGTGGAGATGTTGTCAATGGAGGAGGAGGATTAGTTGTCATTAGAGGAGTTGGTGAGGCCCAAGATGTTGATGATGATGAATTTGATGTCGTTGATGTTGGTGATTTCATAGTGTTTGAGGCTGTTGTCGTTGTAGTTGTGGTCGTAGTCGTCGTGGGTGGTGCGGAGGTTGTCATTTGTACATCATCGTCGTCATCCACCAAGTGAGAAGATGTCGTCAGTTTCTCTATTTGCTTGACTGACACAGTATACTTGGCAAAGCTCATTTCCTCGAGTGTAGGCTTCTGTCTACTCTGATACACTGTGTCTTCATTTGGGTTTAGGACTATATAGAGAGTGAGTGATCAGTTGATTGATTGAATGATTGAATGAATGGAGGTGATATTGACTTACTCTTTGCATTTGAGTATCTTTGTTTGATGGCGACTACACTAGGCGGTATGTAGTCACAGTCAGCGGCGAATAATAATGAGTTTGCATCATCTACGTCATGATAATGATTCAAAGCCTCTTTGGCCTTCCTCTCTTCCTCCAACTTGACATTCTCGTGGTAGATGTGTATGTTTGACAATACCTCATCCCTGTTGATAACGAATGCATCACAGTCTAATAGTTGTTGATCTTGTAGACAGTGCACAATCCATTGATAGTCGATCGCTGATACATATTCACCGTCTGACGATGTGATCACCTTGTAAGCATCCACTTGATAAGGATCCTTGACGAACCAAAAGTATGCTGATGATGATGTCTGTGTAGTCCCTCCGTGTTCCCCTATTGAATCATCAAAGTGTCAGCATTCATTCATTCTTTGATTGATTGATTGATTGATCGATCAGCTGATCATTCAAACACATACTCCAGGAGACCTTTACTTCATAAGGTATATCCTTTGAGAACCAAGCTGTCAGTGGGCTGAACATCTGCATGTTAATGTAAACATGTATGTGTATATATAAATATCTATCTCTATGTATTGATGAGTGTAAATGAATGAATGAATGTATGAATCTCAAAAGATGGACATGGTCAGTTTTCAAAGAAGAGGTCGTGACAGATTGACTGTGATGTGTGAAGTTCATTGATTCGTTCATTGTCGTCAAACAAACAGATATTAATACAAAGAGATATTAGAGATATCTTGATATTACATTATTATTATCATTTTGATTGATTCAATCAAACCGATAACTTTGTTTCCAAAGTTACAAATATGGGCAAACCAATGCACATCACCACCAATCAATCTTGTTGCATGCAATCATTCATCATCTAAACACTATTATCTGTAATACAAATATATATAATATTATACAACAGGATGAACAACAATAATATAGTCATTGGTATCACAAAGAAATCAAATAGACAATTATGTTGTAGAGCAGCCGAGATCAAGGATGTTGATGCATTGGTTGACTTGATAAACTTTGCATACAGAGGCACTGGAAGAGAGGACAACGACAAGTCAGTCCAATCAAAGGGCTGGACAAATGAATCGCACTACATCTCAGGGAAGCGTTTGACTCACGACTCACTCAAGCCTCGTGTAGAACAACAGAACCCTGCACGTGCACTCACATTCGTCGTGGAGTTTGCAGATGGCAACGATGCAGAGCGCAAGCCAATCGCTTCGATTGGTGTTGTCCGTGATGATGATGTCAATGCACATTTGGAGGCTCTCAGCGTTGAGCCAATGTATCAGAGCGAGGGCATTGGTGGCATACTGATGGCCTATGCCGAGGAGTACATTGTCAAGCAATGGGGATGCCGCGTCATCTCAATGTGCGCCGTATCAATCCGCAATGAACTACTGAGCTGGTACTACCGACTTGGTTACAAGCCCACCGGTGTCTACGTGCCCTTCCACAATGACGACCATGAATCACGACCATTTGTACAAGACATCAAGTTTGAACAGTTATCAAAGAGCTTCAATTAAAGTTGGATGGTTTGTTTATTTACTGTTATAACATATTGATTGATTAGGATGCATGGGATGGAAGGGATGGGATGTAAGAGAGCGGTGTGAATGTGGATGGATGTCTAGACATATGCTGATGTGACGAATTCATTGACGATCTCATCCTCTGACTTGACAGTGAGCTCTACGTCTGTGTTCTGTCCATTGCCATCGATCTTCATCCTGGCACGCACCAGAACACTGACTCCATTGACAAAGCGTCCAGACAGATAGAGAATGTGCTTGTTGGCCTTGGGCTGTGCAACCTCGGACTTCTCGCATGGCGCCATCGACAGCGTCTTGATGAGCTCCTTGATGGCGTCGTCGATGGTCTTGATCGTCACGAGCTGGAAGGTCTGCACCGATTGGATTTCCTCGGGCAGACGCTTCCACTCCTCCTGGAAGTTGGGACACATCGCGCGCTGCATATAATCCTTGGGCAGCAGCTCCAAGTCCTCGATCTTGTACTGCTCGTCAAAGCCTCCGTCGTCGGGCTCGCCAGTCGATGGGTCGATCTCGCGCACCTTGAACTTGAGTGTGTTAGCAAAGGCCAGTGTCGGAGTTGCATCGGGTGGGATGCGGATGGCGACGTAGGACGATGCGGGGTCGCCATAGGGCAGAGAGTCCACAGGCAGGTAGCACTCGAGCTTCACCAGCTTGGGGTTGGATGGTACCATCTTGACAAAGACGTTCTCCAACAGCTGATCGTTGAGTGTGTTGGTGATGTTGAACTGGAAGACGATGTGCTCGGCAAAGATGTGCTTGACGCAGTTGACCACGTACTCGGTCTCAGTCTCGGTGAGCTCGACAAACTCGCTGGACTTGAGCAGCTTGCCATAGGCGGCAAACTGTGGGATGGCCGACAGCTGGGAGGCGTAGCTCTCCTGTGCCGATACCTTTTCCTGTTGCTGTGACTGCATCTTTGGTGTGGATGGACCACTCGCTTGCTGCTGCTTGGTTGGTGCTGACTTGTCGCCCATCACTGGGGACACGACCTCAATCACCGTCGACACCTTGGTGATGTCGAATGGCTCTGCTGATGGCGACTCGACGTAGGCCTCCAATGAGCGTTGGAGGTTTGCAAGAGGCACGGGGATGTCATCCATCAGCAACTTGTTGAGCAGCTTGACGTTGTCACTCTTGAGCAGTGCCAGGTAGAGCGTGGCTCTGTCACGGACCTCATCGTCCTCGTCCTGCAGACAGCGCTGAATCAAGATGATGATCTTGTGTCTCATTGGCTCAAAGAGCAGTCCAAACTTGGCCAGCGAGGAGACGGCGGCAGCACGAATCGTGCCGCTGTCCAGCGATATTCTGTTGAAGATGTAACGAATGTACTTTGATGGTGACGATGTCAAAGGGCCTTCCTGGCCCAGCAAGTGAAGGATCTGGACCGACAAGTCTGGATACTCGCAATCCTCGATAAAGTCACAAAGCTCATTCAAGGCTAGAGTGATTGAATGAAGTCAGTTAGTCGCGATGTGAATAAGGTCAGCCTTGCGTGGCGTGATGATGTCACATAACATACCAATCTCCTTGGACTCTGGGATATGATTTACAACATTGAGAATGGCATCGAGAGTCTTCTGCTTGAGTTGGAGTGATCCTTCGTCGCGAAGAATCTTGTTGAGGAACAGGATCAAGTGCTTGTACTTCTTGGGGAACTTGATGCTGAGCATTGTGATCGACTCGACCACAACAACCTTGAACTCATCATTGATGTCGCCCAAGAAGTTAGTAATCTGTTTAATCAATCTCTCTACATTGGATTCATTGCCAATCTGATCGTCATTGGATGGATGGATGGATGGGAGTGTGAGTGGATGTGATGGGCCAGGAAGGACGGATGATGGACTTAACATAACATACCTTAAGCAGTGTGGTGATTGCGAGTGTAGCAATGCTTCTGTTGGAGTCTGTGATGAGGTTCTCCATGTCGAGGTTGCATGGAACAACTGCGACTGGATTGGTCTGTGCAAGTTTGTTGAGTGTACGTACGGCGGCAAAGCGAAGCGTTGGCTTGGATGAGCTCAAGAACAACTGGAGCACGCCCACTGCCGATGTGAGCTCCTTGAGTGAGGAGTTCTTGAGTGAGCATACCGAGCGGGCTGCTTCATAAGCGACCATTTCGTTCCTATCTCTCAGACGACTCTCAATATAGTCATAGAATGTACGGTCACTACAGTGGCAAAGAGTTAGCATGTGATTGATGTGATTGGATGTGATGTACATACTCTGTGTTGGTCTCTTCGATCACTTCGACAGCACAACGAATGAGATAGCATTGAGCATATGGTGATCTTAATGATCCACGGATGAGTGAGCTGACCAGCTTGGTAACGGCCAGACGATCATGCTGCTTGATACGGTGCAGAAGAGCGAGTGCATGGTATTGGACCATGTTGGATTTGTTTGAGATGGCCTCCTGTACCTCGTTGGCCCATCGCTTGACAGTCTCTGGACTGACCTTGAGCAAGTGAATGCTGGATACCAATGCCGCAGACGATACATGTGGATCCTTCTCGACAATCGACTGCTTGAAATGTCTCTCAACCTGTGGCAGTGATGATGCCTGTAATGTATTATGGTCGACCATCAGTACCTGCTGTTGTTGTTGTCATTGCTGTGCTGTGGATGATCAACTTACATCAATAATCTTACAAAGTACTCTAATGGCATTGGCACGATATAGTTCGATCTTGTGCGACATATCCTTGATGAGTGAACTGGTGACGATGATGGCGTCCTGTGAGATGGTGGAGAACTCCTTGAGCAACAGATAGGTCATTCTACGCAATGGTATATCCTTTGATTGGAACAACTTTGTCGCAGCAAAGAATATATCAGTTGCCTCTGTCTTTGTGAATGTATCTCCACGTGACAACAGATACAAGAACTTTGAAATAACCAACGCGCACTGTCTTGGTTGCAACTGTGTATCATTGAATGCTCTCTTCTCTTGAACTACCTGTCCCTTGTCCAAATTCTCGAATGGGAACTCTGTACATATATACAATAATAGTATTGTCAATATAACCTGTTGTACCTGATGTTGATTGATTGATTGATTGAATGATTGATCGCGATCACATACCATACTCATCGTCATCTTTCTTTTCAAACCTGTTCATTCTTGTTGTTGTTGATGTTAATGTATATACTTTGTTATCTCAAACAAAGTACATATACTTGTATATATAGTGTAAGTCAATGAATGAATGAATGAGTCAGTGAGGTGATGAATGCAAGTCATTGATTTGACTTCAAGTTCATCAAGCCCACAGTGACTTCATCACTTTGTTCATAAAAAATAAATTTATTAATTTACATTGTGATGTGCTGTGGAGGAGATTGATGAAAGTGATGTGTGACCAGCCACCTGTGCAGGTCAAAGCTGGACACCACACACATCCTCCAACCTTGTGATCAAATGACCATGTTCATCCAGTCTCTCTCCAACTCTTGGATAAATCGGAAATATATATATACATTACATCATCACACCACTGGTCTTGATCTCCTCCAATAGTACATTGTGTATCTGTTGTAGGTCTAGGTTCTCACCTTTGAGTGCGCCAATCTCAAGTTGTTTGTTCTCCAGGTCTTGTTGAGTGGTGGTCAACTGCTCGTTGAGTGTCTGCACCTCAGCCTCCATCTCATTGAGTCGACCGATGAGTTGGTCACTGTTCTCCTTGAAGCGTGTGATGTTCTCTCCATTGTTGATCTCCAAATCCTTCTTCTCCTTCTCAAGCTGGACGATGGCCTCATCCTTGGTGCGCAGTAGATGGTCACAATGCTCCCTGTACTCCTTGTATTGCTGCTCGGCTTCGGTCATCTTCTTGGTGAGCTCCTCTTGTGAGTTGATCATCTTCATGTTGATCTCGGTGGTGATGCTCGTCTCAAACATCTGGCTCTCGAGTTGTGCCACGCGATTGGCGCTCTCTTTCTCGATCTGCTTCATCAGCTGTAGCTGCTTCTTCAGCTCGGCAATCTCTGAGTCCTTATCGGCCATCTCCTTGTCCCGCAGCGCCTTCTCCCTCTGCGCCTTTGCCGCAGGCACGTAAATCTCTGTGGTCTCGTCCGATGTTGGTTCGACTGGCGGGGCCTTTGTGGCTGCCCCGCCTCTATAGATGACTGATCCCTGGTCTGAGCCCACGTCCACATCGTCAACCTCAACATCAGCGTCAACGTTGGCAGCATTGATATCGGGTTGGGCCTGTCCAGTGAGGACTATCCTCGAGCATAGTAGCTCACCGATGGTGTCGCGCTTGGACCACTCATGGTGGACGGCAAGAACATTTCCAGTCTGTCTCGGCAGGAACTTGTGCAGCACATTGTCAATGCGTTCATTGATCATGGGCACAAAGTATTTGGGACGCACGGAGGACTTCTCAAACATGTCCCTAAACTCAAGCTCCATGCCAATGAGATCGTTGTACTCGATGGCCGTTTGCGTTTGGCGACGGAGGTAGTTGGCCTTGAAGGCGGCGCGGCGTTGCAGCTCGGCCTTGCACAGGTCATAGTAGTCTGGTATGCGGTTAAGCTCGTCTATGACCTCCTTGGCATCGGACAGGTGGCTGTGGACGCCGCCCAGATACGAGACTGACTTGATGAGGTCGTTGGTGTAGTTCTGCAGGCTGAGAACGGTCGAGCCGAGGCCAGCAGTGATCTCTTGGAATGTTTCGCAGACCTTGTCAAAGTGGTCGTTGCTCTCCTGAAGCGTTGAACGAGTCGTCAGGATGAATCCAATGTCGCTGTCCTGATTATCATTGTTCATTGACACCAGTTTGCCATTGATCTTCTTGTGCTCTGTTGTTAGTTCCACCATCTTCTTGACAGTTTGGGAGAATCTTTATGTTGGTGCGTGTAATGGAATGCATTGGTTAGTGACATGTCCAGACTTTGTTGAACAACGACAACAACAATGTGATGATAGTTTACACTTTGGAGAAGTCTTGAGTAACTTGATTGTCAACTTGGCTTGAGCTTTGGATGAAATTGGCATAGTGTGTCAAGTTCTGATCAATGAATGATCGAATAAACAATGGAAGGTAGTCAATAAGTAACTCATTAGTGTCCTCTCCATTCTCATCGAAATTCCTAAGTTGTTTGATCTATTTTGTAGTCATTGATTGATTGATGTTGATTGATTGAGTGAGTACGTAATGTCATCTGTAATGGATCAACTGGAACATACCTTATCACATGTACTCCTATTTGATTGGAACACTTTGGAGAGTTCATCCTGGCTGTTTACCAACTTCTTCAAGTCTACATTGTTGCCAAGTACTCCACGAACCTGTGATTGATAATAGTCTCGCAGCAGTATGCAGTAACTGTTCAACTCGTTCGCCTTCCTCAACAACTCATTCAAGTATCTAAGTATCTTCTCCGAGTCCTCTTGCTTCTCCTAAATGATTGATTAATTGATTGATTATGTATTAGGAATTATTCCATTGACAACTCGTTCCTCCAACAGATACTTACAAACTCTGCTTTGATCTGATTGACCAATGTTGATTGAATGTCGCCATAATCCCTCACACTTGGTACATCTTCGTGCTTTGTATTGGTGTGGCGACTGGTCAGACTTCCAAGCTCGCTGATCTTTAGTGTGACCGTCATCTTGTAGAGGTCAATAAGGTAGACACGATCCTGTTTATAAGTATCCGAAGTGTTAGTAATGATGAGATAATCCAGCCGGCTGTGTAGTATCCAATCTACTTACAATTGTATATAATGGTCGAGATGGTGTCACGTTGAGTGGATGTAGACTGTCCGAATCAAAGTATGTCACCAATATCAGCTGATCCTTGAGCGACAGCTTATACTTGCTCTCAATGTTGCATGCTGTGAAGTTCTTGTGGCTATGGGGGGATGGATGTCAGCGACTCACTCAAACATACTCAAAGTACAGTATACATACTAGATCTGATAGACATCGTTGAGAGTGATGACATCTTTGTGCTGTCCCAATTGTATGTCCAGGTAGACGATCTTGCTCATGACCCAGTCGGAGCGAATGATGTCGGCCATCGTGATTCGCTTTGAAGGGTCTGGCTCGACCATCCTCAGGAGCAGCTCCCTGTACTCATCGGTACATCTATCGGCGGGCAGATCATTGATGCCCTGGACATAGTTGATGTTGTCCGATGGCTCTGGAAGTGAGATATGATAGAACAATGCACCCATTGCATAAATGTCCACTGACGATGTATATCCGTATGGCAAGAATTGTTCTGGTGCCATGTACTTGAATGATCCAACACGTGACTGTGCCATATCATCGCCATTGATCGCTTTAGACAATCCAAAGTCTGACACTATTGATTGATTGATCGATGAGTGAGGGTCGTGGTCATCAATTGTTCGCGAACAATGAAACATACATTTGAAGACTAGTCTCTTCTTGTTTACAATGTTCAGGAGGATGTTGCCTGGCTTGATGTCTCGATGAATGATGTTCTTATCATGCAAGAACTGTAATGCAGAGAGTACTTGAAGGAAGATAATCTTGAGTGTGCTCTCATCCATCTTGCCTCTGTTTGTATGATAGAACTCATACAATGTCTTGCTATTGCAGTACTCAAATACATAGGTATACTTGTCCTATTATATATTGAATAATGTAATGTAATGTGTCAATCAAATGTGAAGTTGGATGGCCATGATAGTGTAACGGGTGATATGAGAGAACCTACAAGTATATCATGGATTGCAACAATGTGTGGATGTGCAATTCCTTGTAGACTGGCTAGAAGAGAGTGCTCGCGATCAATGTAGGGCTTTAACTCTTTGCTGTCATAAGCTTCACGCTTCAACAGTTTGACTGCGTATAGCTTGTTGGTGGCAGGGTCGACTGCTTTATAAACGTAACCAAATGCGCCTCTGCCCAGCTCATCCTGTCGAATGTATGTAGTCGCATTAAGAACAGCAGTCGATGATGATGAGTCTGTTGTCTGTGACGAAGAAGATGAAGATGATGATGCCAGTGGACCTGTCCTTCTAAAGAAAGGTGAATGAGCTTCATTGACATGCTGTTTCTCTGGTGTTGATCTTTGAGGTGATGATGATGGTGATGGTGACTGAGGTGTACCATTCTGGTTCCTTGTCCATTTGAATATATTCATTCTTATGTCTATGAATACATATATAACTATACAGATACAGATAATAATAATAAATAGTAGAGAATAATACAAGGTGGTGAAGATGTAGTTGTGTTTTTGCTTTGCACGTGTGGTTTTTGAGTTTTTGTCTCAAGTAAGTGGGAACTTGAAAGTATGAAGTGTGAGGGTTAGGGCAAGGGTAAGGGTTAGGGTTAGGGTAAGGGAAGGATTGATCGATCAATAATAATAATGATATTCTTTAATCAAGATTGAGCATTAGATTGTATTCTAGATGTGTGGAGAGTAGTGACTCCAATTTGTCACGTGATGTAATTGTTCCACCTTCAAGCCGATGATTGAGTACTAATATATCACATTGTTGTTGTTGTTGATTATTATTACTATTACATTGTCCAATCTTCCTAATATATAACTTTTGGAATAATCCATCTACTAATATAAGGCTATTAACCATGGAGTCCATTAACCATTTTACCCATTCTTTGCTCTTGAACATGAATTTGGTTGGTGGATAGATGTTGTAGTATATAGTCAATTGCTTCAGGTTGAGATTGATGTTTGGCAATGTCTTGATATCACCGCTCAATATTAGTTCGATTGGATGTTTGGCAACTGCGGCCATGAAACGATCGCATGACTCATCCACCACACGGTTTGAAGAGCTGCGCAGCCAAGAAGTAAAGAATGATGTGATCTTGCCTGTAACTGTTGAGCCCATTGAGTTTGACCCGATCATCCAATTGTACAAATGATCGAGAGTGAACTTGTCTGTGTAGGTCTTGAAGAAGTCTGTTGCAATGACAAGAATGATTGTTGTAGTGCTCACGACGGATCCATGGCCACTACCACCATCGTGATCAATGGAGAATGTCAGATTGGTGAGTGACACGGGTAGAATAGACGCTGAGAGTGAATGAGTATACTTGCTGCCAAGGGTCAACTTGGCTAGACTGGCTGGGAGTGAGCCCTGTTCAAACTTTCTCTTGTAGTTATGACCGAGGACGAGCTCAGTGAGTGAAGGTGGAAGGACGCCAGGTGGAAGTGGCATGTCGAACCCAACTCCAAACCTGAGCACTGTGAGCGATGAGGGCAGTGATCTAATCTCAATCGATTTGTTGAACTGTGCGCCTAAGTCGAGGCTCTTTAACGAGTCTGGTAGGATGTCTGGCGGCAGAGGATGATCATACATGCCAAGCCTCAACTCTGTGATTGTGTCAGGCAGCTCTCCAACATGTAGTGGTTGATTGAACATCTCCAACACCAGCTTTGTGACGCCTGGCGGTATGGCGCCAACAGAGAGTGCGTTGTTGAACTGGAAACTGAACAATAGTTTGGTTAATGATCTAGGGAATGTTTCAGGTGTCACAGGTTGATCGAATCTCTTCATCAACTTTAGAAATACAAGAGTGGATGGTAGTGATCGAGGTATGATGTGGCTCACGTTCATGGACAGCTCCTTCAGGCCCTCGGGGAGCACTCCGCGAGCCAGGGTTTGATCAAAGTTGTCCCCCAAAGAAAGGATGCTAAGTGAGTTGGGCAGCACACCAATGTCCAGTGGCTGATTGAACTGTCGACCGAATATAATGTTTGTGATACTGTGTGGCAACACGTCTGGCATGATTGGGCTGTTGTAGTTCTTGCCAAAGATCAGCTTCCTCAGGGACTCGGGCAGGACACCCTGACCAATCGGAAGGTTATACGACATGCCCAGAGATATGATCTTCAGTGACTGTGGCAGAACGCCAATGTCGATGGGCTGGTTGAAGTTGGCGCCCATCAACAGACTGGTAAGGCTCGATGGCAAGGCATTTGGTGGCAGTCTCTGGTTGTACCCATCACCAAGTATCAAGATGATGAGGTTCGGAGGCAACACCGGTTGTCCATTGTAGGACATTAGGTCATAGCTCCTATTGAATCTAATCATCTTTAAAGTGTCTGGCAGTATACCTGGCGATATATATTCAACTTCGCCGAAATATATACATTCACATGACTTCACAGACGAGGATGACGAAGATGATTGATCGCTATTACTAAGCTGTCGTCTATACTCATCGAAAGTAATATGAGTCATTGTCTCTGGGGTCGTTGTCATTCTCAACATTGATCCGACCTTAAGATCCACAACTACGTAGGTAGGTACGTTGTAAGTTGAGTTGGGTTGAGATGAGTTGTTAACAACATTCATTCATTCATTCTCGATAATGACTCCAATGACGTACCCAACACATCTTTATCAATCTGTTTCTTGATAAGATCACGATACATTGGAATCAGTCGCTGTGTCTGAGAGAAGTAATTGGAGTATTCAAAGGTGATGTATTGTTGTCGCTGACCATACATTCTCCTACAAGTCAATGACAAACAGATCACATCCACCGGATTGTCGCCCAACATCCTAACAACATGCTTCAACAGCACATTACTAAGATCATTCAATGATTGCATTGGTGTCGTGGTTGGTACTTCTGAATGGATTGAATGATTGAATGATTGAATGAATGAATGATGAATGAGAGTGATTGATATAAATAGAAGTAAGTATCTTATCTATATATCTATCTTGGGATACTAAGATAAGATAAGATTAGTATAATTATGTATCTTTGAGTTGAATGTTTAAAGATATTATTGTTAATGACGTGGTGTTCACTTTGGCTCGGAAGTTTAGTCGCCACTTCCGACCCCAAGGACCAGCCCAATACCGAGCAAGAAAAAGACAACTCCACTTCAGTTGATCATGTGAAACGCTCTCGAACATTCCATGCCACAGTACATTAACCATTCAACAACAATGCACCCTTTCATTCATTCACTCAATCACCTCAAACATCTCAATCAAACATTCAATCATGAATAACAACAAGTTAATCACCATTGTAGCACTCATTTGCTTTGCAATTGCTGTTACTGCTGCCGCCAGACCAACAACAACAGAGACAGAGTACCGCTCATTGTTTGCTGGATGGATGCTAAAGTACCAACGTAACTATGAGCACCATGAGTTTGCTCATCGTTATGCTACCTTCAAGGCCAACCACCAGTACATTGTCAACTGGAATGCTCGCAACAGCCAGACCAAGCTCGGTTTGAACAAGATGGCCGACCTCACCAACTCTGAGTACCAAGCACTCTACCTCACCCTTCGTGCCCGCACCGTCCAGACCGAGGTCGAGTCATTTGTTCGAGAGACACCAATCGTTGGAAGTGATGTCACCATCGTTGACTGGAGGTATGTTGTGGTGAAGAGTGGGATAGTTAACATAAGGTAGCGAGTCACTAACATGATTGATTGATAGGGCTCATGGATTCGTCACACCTGTTGACGACTTTGGTATGTGTGCTGCCAGCTATGCCTACGCCGCTGTTGGCTCGATGGAGACAACAGAGGCCATCGTTAATGGCAAGTTGATCCCACTGTCTGACCAACAAATCATTGATTGTTCGGCCAAGTTTGGTAACCAGGGCTGCAACAGCGGTCTTCCCCTCTACACCTTTGAATACGTGGTCGAGAACAATGGAATTGATACTGCCGCCGCCTACCCATGGACCGGCAAGTCGGGCAAGTGCAAGTTCTCACCAACTGAGATCGGCGCCAAGTTCTCAAGCTACGTCAATGTCACCACTGGCTCCGAGGCCAGTCTCGAGGCTGCCGTCAACCTCACATCAGTCGCCGTGTTGGTCGACGCCTCCCACTCCTCCTTCCAGCTGTACGACGGTGGTGTCTACTACGAGCCAGGTTGCTCATCCACCGAGTTGGACCTAGCCATGCTCGTCGTCGGATATGGTATTCAAACACCATCGACTGGCTACTGGATCGCCAGAAATGACTGGGGCGTTGACTGGGGTGTCAATGGATACATCATGATGGCCAAGGACAAGCACAACAACTGTGGTATTGCCTCAGCCGGAAACTATCCAATCGTTGCTTGAACAACAACACTGTTGCTATATTAAAGAGAGTAATCCAGTTTATTACATCATCATCATCATCATCGTCATATTGCCACTCGCTCGCTCGCTCGCTCACTCACACCTCCTAAGATGCAACTGCCGCTTTGATGGGTGGACATGAGTTGATGCATGAATGAACATTGTTGTTGGCCTTGATAGAGGGACTACTGAGTTGTCTACGATTGTATACCTCCACTTGGATTGTAGTATGTTCGATGCCATAAGTTTGTTGTAACATTTGATTGGCGTATGATAGGATGTCTTCACCGTCAGCACCATCTTTGACCTGGATATGACATGTGAGTGATGGCTTGCCAACTGTGATTGACCAGATGTGTAGGTCATGTACCTCGACCACACCAAGCAGGCCGGCCAAGTCATTGTGCACATCTGATACGTTGATACCATGAGGCACAGCCTCCAACAACACCAATAACGTCTGTTTCATCAATCTAACTGTCGTCAACATGACAATCACTGAGAATATGAACGTTGTGATTGGATCGGCTATCTTCCACTCTGGTTTGACCCAGATGATGATCGATGCAATGATCACTCCTATACTCTGGAAACAATCACCAAGCACATGAATATATACCGAGTGTACATTGATATTCCTAACATGTCCATGATTGTGAGCCACTCTTTCTGTCTCTGAATGTTCATGTTCATGTCCATGATCATGATCATGATGCACTTGTTCTTGTCCATGACCATGTCCACTGTGTGAGTGACCGTGACCATGATCTTTGTTGCTGGTATGTGCGACATGTGATGGTGCACTTCCACCATGCGAGTGTCCATGTGAGGCACCTCCAAAGTGTAGTATGACAGCATCGACAACATTGATTATTAATCCAATACATGCAACGATCAACATTGTCTTTCCATCCACTTTATCAGGTGGATATAGTACACGATGTACTGCCTCATATACCAATATGGCTGTGAGTATCCATATCATCAGTACACTTGCCAATGCACCAAGTACTTCCACACGATGGAATCCAAAACTAAGTAATGCAGTTGGTTGTTTCCTTGCCAGTAACATGGCACATATACTGTATGATTGATTTAGTCAGTGAATGTACCATGTGATCAAATGTATACATTATCAATGTATTTACCTTAGTATCATCGCGCCAATATCTGTTAGAAGGTGAGCTGCATCAGACATCAGGGCCAGGGAGTTGGCCAAGTATCCTCCAATAACTTCGGCAATCATAAATAGTATAGTAAGACATAGTGCCAATATGAGTGAATTCAATGCTCTCTTCTTTGATCTCGTAGCATGATCATCCTTCTTATGATGATCATGATTATGTCCGTGTCCCTCTGATGATGTTGATGTTGATACAACTTTTTCATCATCATGGTGATGATCATGATCGTGTCCATGATCTCCGTGATCTCCGTGTCCATGACCATGTCCTTTGCCATGTTTATGACCATGTTTATGACCATGTCCATGTCCATGTCCATGATCATGATCATGGTCATGTTCATTATGATGTTCGGTGGCAATATCAAGAGGAATGATAATATCCAATTCTATTTGGGAATCATGTTGTTGTTGTGACCTGTTTGCTAATGTATCCCTGTCTGCCAATGTTGCCAGGTCATTAGCCTCACTAATACTGCTATTGGTACTCTCTGACATAACTATAATATATATAATCTCTAAATATATTTATTTATGTATTAAGGATGTTGATTGAACTTAAGATAGGATAATGTTAATGTGTTGATGGAGATCTCAACTGGTCCGCCAGACCATGCTTGTAGCATGAGTGGTATCCCCTCCTACACAATCTAGGCTGGCCATTTGTTCTCAAGTGAGTGATTGATTGACCACTTAGGTGTAAGTGGTCTTCTATATGTGTGTTGATGGTGTTGTTGTAATGTATCTGTGTCATGTGCTCCAAGTGAACTTATGAGGTGGACCACACTCTCTGATCACTTTTGGAGTTTGTGATAAAACACACTCAAGGTTTTGATCACTGGTCCCTGATTACTGATCATTCAATCTCAGTATTGTTAAATGAAACAAATAGTTTATTATTAAATAAGATAGTAACTCCTCGCTCTTATATATTGCAGCTTGGGAATCCATATGACCATTCAACAACACCATTACAAGATTGACAGGTGTTGCCATAGAAGTTTGATCGGCATGTGCAAGTTCCTTGTCCACAGTAAGCAAATGGTACCTGGAGGCACTCATAGTCATAGATACATGTCTCTGGCTGTCCATTTGGAAGCTTAGCAACACACTCTGGCACACCATCAACCCAGCGTGTGGTACCAGTGCATGTCTGGCACTGAGCACCGGTGAAGCCTCTGGCACACTTGCATTGGCCCAATGGTGATGCAGCTGGGTCAAAGATCACAACACCACTAGGTGGTGGGGCTCCTGGTCCGATCTTCTTAATCACTGATCCAGTCTTGTAGTAGACAAAGGTGGCGGTGCTGTCGACAACCATGCTCTCAGACACTGGATCGGTCGTTATCCATGCTCCAATAGCGCCTCCAGTGTCGGCATAAGACTTCCAAATGCCAGACTTTTGTGTCGTCCATTGCGATGGGTGTGTTCCAAAGTAGAGATAACCAAGAGCATACTGGAAGGAATACACCTCGAATGGAACAGATCCCACCAGGATCAAGCTGGATGATGAGCAGTTGTGGCAATTGGAGTCAATCTTGTATACGTTTGTCGAGTTGGTAGTGTAGTTGAAGTAGTCGACAACATAGAGCAAATTGGGAGCAACAGACATGAAGTTACATCTCATGTAACCGTCCATCAGAGGCTTGCGGTCCACCATATCAGTTGAATGAAGGATAATCCTATCGAGATAGTTCAAGCTCCAATCACACCAGTAAGTCTTGTCCTTGGGGCCGTCAAAGGCCAGACCAAGGTTGTATCCTCTGGTGAAGAAGATGCCATCGTAGGTGTTGGAGGCATGGTTGTATGGTCCAATAGCAGGGGCCATTCTCTGGTTGGTCTTGATGTATGGGAGGTTGCCCAATGGTTCATAGGCAAACAGAGCAGAGGTCACACGGTATCCAGATCCTCCAATGATATCGGTGGTGATCTCATACTCTTTGGTGAGGGCACCGCCTGATGTTGAAAGGCTGACCAATGTTGGATTACCATTTGGACCTTGGCTATTATTATATTTGCCGACCATTACCAATTTGTTCTCGGATTCGTCCAGGCCCAGACCAGGGAAACTGTCAAAGTTGGTCAAACAGAATGAATATGGAGGGTTTCCACATTCCCAATCTTGGGAACATCCATATATTAAATGTGCCAGGCACAATACAGATAAAAATAATATTAACTTGTTCATATATTATTGATTGATTGATTGATTGATACCTTTATGTATATATATAAGTATAAAGGATAAGTAATAAGTAGAATGATTTGATAGTCAATCCATGGATTCCGGTTTATATAACTTCCACCACATAGTCGACTTAAATGGAACACACTCAAACCTCACATCTTTATTGATATATTTAGACATAATTGATAGCCTGTCAATACAAGTTTAAATCATATAAGTTGTTGTTGTAAGTGTGTGTGTGAGTGATAAAGTGTCAGTCGATTGGATTATGTGTTTGTGTGTGTGTGTTTGAGAATGTGTTGGCAATGACACCTCCAACACCACGCCACACTACATACACTAGACTAAACAAACCTCTAAAGTTGGAAGTGGTACACCACTTGGCAACAACATCTCTAATGTCATACACTGACATTGACACTTCAAATCAAACACTCTGGTGTTGTGGTTGTTCCATGAACAGATAGATGCCATACGTCACAAAATTCTGTAACCCACCCTGATGAAGTAGTAGGTAGTAGTAGTTGATTAGCCCTCAACTCAAATACTCGATTCCCTTCCGATGCATGGAACCTCATACAACAAACAAGCCCCCACACCTTAATCGTATCAATTGATTGGAAGGAGAAAAGAATAGAACAAAACAGAACTGACTCATATCCCTTTATTGGCTCTTTCGAGTTGTTGTTGTTACCTCGGGCTCATCTGGATCGAGCTCGGCCTCGACTCCAATCAATTTGCCCAACTCCAAAAGACTCTCCACTTCAAAGGGGTCCAATTGGCCATCACAGTCAGGTCCCAAGTTAAGAAGGAATCGACCTCCAAGTAACTTTACTTGGTTATAGAGGTCGAAAAGCCCTTGACCAGTTTTGTAATGTTCTTTGGTCTGTGATCTATTCCTACCCCAACTCATTCCAATAGTATTGATGTGCTCCCATGGGCATGGAGGTCGCTTGGCTGGCAAAGCACGATCATCATAGACTCTGTAGTTGGAACGTCCTAGGTATCTTGGACTTTTGAACTCCACCTTTGATCCAATACGATCATTAATAAGTGCATTTGGAGTCATCTTGTGAATCTGATCACATATGTTGCTCATCATAGTTTGACTATACTTGGTGTTCATTGACCAATGTCCATCGAACCACCATATATCAGGTTGGTGAGCCATCAACTCGGTCATTTGTGGCCGCACGACATTGTCACAGTACTCCTTTGTGCAGCCAACTTCAAACTCTGACCAAGAGTAGTAAAGACCAAACTGTAGACCATGTCGTTTGGCAGCCGCTTTGAATGTGGACACCAGGTCTAACTTTGGTCCGACCTCAACCGAGTTCCATTGATTGGCCGTTTTAGATGGCCATAAACAGTAACCATCATGATGCTTGGCAGTAAGTATTACATAGGTGACGCCTACCTTCTTGCACAGGGTCATCCAGGCATCAACATCCCAATTCTCAGCGGTGAACAGTTTAGCCAAGCCTTTGTACTCCTGGTTTGGATAATGTGACTTGTGATACAATTGTGTCTCTTTGTATCCAGAGATAGGTCTGAACGAACCAGTCTCAATCAATCTCTTCAAATACCATTCACTTCCATTCATTGTCTTTCTACGTTGGCAACTTGAAGGGTCGTCATAAGCAGGTACTGAATACACTCCCCAATGAAATATGATTCCAAATGGAGTAACATCATCAATTATTTGATTGTTGATGTTGGAAGCATTCTTAGGGATTGATTTGGAATTTGAAATTGTTGTTGTTGTTGTTGTAGAGGACATTGTTGTAACTAACAAATAGTTATTACTGTTGGATTGGATTGGAGTTACCGAAATAATTACTAGACCCTAGGGTCATATCCATTATAACCATAATGTTGACAATAGTGTTGAGATATCTACAATGTGTAATTCCTGGAATTGAATGTATCACTTGTTATTGTCAACACGCGTGAACTGAGAATTGTTTGAGTTAACGCCAAAACAAACAAACACACATTGAAAGAACTTCAAGAATGGTCAGATCCACTACAAAATCATTGACGCTACATAAAGACCATTGACACAACAAGTGTGTTGGGCTGCCCATAACATCGACTAAATCAATATGTTATGTTCGATAATCAGTCGTATCGAGGAATTAGAGATGTACTTGGACCTACCTGAGTTCACTCACTCAGTTGACAATTGTAAGACCTTTGGAGTGACCCACCCCAATGAAGATGAGATCTGTGGCATTGGTATTGCCTACCATCTACTATCACATAAATGTCGTACCCAACTGACCACGACCACTGTCCGTATCCAGACGACCGTTACGATTTCATTTGATTTGATTTAGGTTTTATTTGTTTTTAGTGGTTGGGTGTGAAAATCAATTAAAAAAGAATTAAATTAATCAATCGACGAGTCCAATCCAACAACCGAGTCTCACAACACATGTTCTCGCTCACTCGCATAACACTCGTTCCTAGCTTTTGACCATTGCCATTGTTAGTCAGTCTATACAACTAAGCAAACGTACACACAAGTATAAACATATATACTTACACTTACACTTACACACAAACACTTATATAATATATACACAATGAGTTTCAGAGGTGGTTCATCAAGAGGAGGCGGTGACTTCAAGTTCAGAGGTGGTCGCGGCGGTGGCAGCTCGTTCGGCGGTGGCGGTCGTGGTCGTGGCGGTGGTGGCCGTGGTGGTGGTCGTGGTGGCTTTGGCGGTGGTGGCAGCGGTGACTGCTTCAACTGTGGCAAGTCCGGTCATATGTCCAGAGAGTGCCCAGACAAGTATGTAATTCAATCAGTCAGCTGATCAATCAGCTGACCGACATCATATCACGTGACTTAAAACAAATAATTAACATGTTCAACTTCTCTCATTCTCATTCTCATTCTCTTATTCTACCAACCTACCTACCTACCTACCTACCCATTCCTTCCTTACTTCCTATTCGTATCACTCTTTAAAGGCAAGGAGGTGGTGGTGGCGGTTACGGTGGCATGAAGTGCTACACTTGCCAAGAGCAAGGCCATTCGTCCAGAGATTGCCCACAAGGAAGATCATGCTTCAACTGCAAGAAGCCAGGTCATATGTCTAACGAGTGCCCGGAGAAGAAGGGAGACGGAAACAACTGCTTCAACTGCCAGAAGCCAGGTCATATGTCGAGAGAGTGCCCAGAGAAGAGCAGCGGCGGCGGCGGCAGAGCCCCAGCCACTTGCTACAACTGCCAGAAGACTGGCCATATGTCCAGAGAGTGCCCAGAGAAGAGCAACGGCGGCGGCAGAAACGGAAACAACAACGGTGGCAACAGCTACTTTGCTGACAAGAACTCGAACAACAAGACCCCAAGAGACACAGTGACCTTTGACTCTGATGAGGAGGAGGATGAGCAGCCAAACAAGGTAAGTCATACATACATTCATACAAACATTCACATAACTACAATGAATGAATAACATTGCTAACAATCATTCATATACATTCTACTTCTCGTTCTACCTACAACAGAAACAAAAGCCAGACAACAAGAAGAAGGCTCAAGCCGAGTCTGAGTCCGAGGAGGAGAAGAAGGATTCCGAGTCCGAGGAGGAGTCCGATTAGAGAGGAGGTAGCTGGAGTTGGCGTGTAGCTCCTTCATAAAAGTCTTAGAAGAACGAACGGCGGAGAGGTGGCTGGCAGGACATCAGGTCAAACGATCGGATTGTGTGTGGAGCCGTGGTGTGGTCTGGTTGTTTGATGAAGGATGTCGTAATGACGGAGCCGTGGAGGCTGTCAGAGAGAGGAGAGAGAGAGAGTAGAGTGAGAGAGATAGAGTTGGCACTGCCAGAGATGTAATAAGTTGGTGGTGGAGATAGAAGTAGTCAGCTGGTTAGCTGGACGAATGGAAGGATGCACAAATTGAAGGAAGGAAAGACGGAAGGAGAGAAGGAAGGAAGGAAGGAAGAGGACAAGACAGAGTTGGTCAAGTCAGTCAAAGGTAAGTTTCCACTCGATATACATGTAGTAAGAGAGTTGGTAGTGATGGTCAACAAACGAACGAACAATTAAGTAACAAAGGTAAGTATTATCGATTGATTTGATGGTGTACATTCAATAGCAACTGTTGTTGGAAATCAATAAAGACAATGTCTTCATGCCCAAAACAAAGTAGTCATCATCAGTGGCGCGTATGTTTGGTTGGGTTCAGAGCTTGGGTGATCAATGGTTATGAAGGAAGATTGGTGTGGAGCGTCTTTACGACTCTTTCGTGCGGCTAATTGTTCGGACGCATATTGTAGTCTCGACGCGATAACTTCGACTCACAATGTTGGACGAATGCTTCAGTGCAAGCACCAGCAGTGGACTGATCCACTTCTTTTGACATGCGATCCACTTTTTATTTGATTGATAGATAGAATGATATGAACATGTCCAACAATAAATAGGAACAACTTACCCTCACAGACATACCCTCTCATTGATTTAAATTATTTTTTTTGACACACACCCAACAGAAACATTCATTCTTCAGGCCCCTCCAACATCATTATTAACTTCCAACATCACACACAAACAAACAAACATTCAAACACACACCTCCATTTAAATTTATACCACATACATACACACACACACATCATTCATACTAGTTGTCTTGCCTTGCTTGTTTCAACCCAAGACATTCACGTTCACATCATTCAAACAACCAACTATAAATCATAACACACTTCACGAGCAGACACACAAGTACATATATATACATTCATTTATTCATACATTCATTCATACATTCATTCATACATTCATTCATACATACAGCAATTGCGCATAATCAATCAATCAATCAATCAATCATTCAATCAATCAAACAATCAAACAACATCAACAAACCAATCATAGTCTATATCAATCTATTATCTATCTAGCAAGTCAAACAAACACACTCTCGACTCAATCATATCAAACAGCAGCAGCAAGCAGTAGCAGCAGCAGCCGTATTAGAAACATCTTTAAAGAAATTTATTATTATTAATCAGTTAGATCATCACAATCAATCATTAACAACTTATCATTATTATTATTATTATCTTTTTTTTTTTTGCAAATCGACACTTAAACAGCTAGCTCTCTCTCTTCATCATTAATTACATTATATAATATTTATATACATACATACAAACACATCACAACAGCCATCATCAACAACAACTCATCGTCACAACAACTACAACAATCACCAACACTCTCTCGCAAATACATATAGGATCAGCTCAGCTGTCACACCTCCCCTTTGGCGCCATAGTTAATATCTAGAATCGAACAACAATTACATTCATCAACTCGTCGACGACATTAGTCAAATATTATATATAGATATAACTCAACAACAATTCGAACATCAAACAAACATACATAATATACATAGATACATACATCACTCAAAAAAGAATCGACATTGACATATTATTATAATTATCATCATCTTCAATTACATTACATTGATATCTTGTAAACATCATTCTTATATCCTAATATAAATTTATATAATAATATAGAGGAGTCAGACATATCATTAGTTCGGTGTTCTCCTCATTCACATTACAACGCCCAAAAAAACAACATCAACATCAACATCAACATCAACAACAACAACAACAACAACATCCACAACGACAACAATATCCACAACAACAACAATAATACTTCAACTTCAATTTTAACGCACCTATTGATTCATAATCATCATCAACATCATCCAAAAGGGACACCCTGCCGATTGTATTGAATGGAGACCTCTCTCAGTAAGTGTCACACAACACATTGACCAACAACTACACATCCTTTTCATTCACTTACACAATGTACAACTATAGAAACTTCAAATGGTATGAGCTACCCCTCGTCAGGAGGTTTCGTCAAGCCTTTGAGCACTTCGGGAGGAATCCCATCTGGAAACGGCAGCGCGCCACAGCAGAAGCAGCAAATGCAACAGCCTCAGCAGCAGCAGCAGCAGCAGCAGCTACAACCTCAGCCACAGCAAACGCAGCAGCAACAGCCACCGCATTCAACAACAGGTAGTGGTGTTGTGAAGACTCACACCCCACTTATCAATGCCAACGCTTCATCTGTGATGGTGTTCCCGACATTCAAGCACAAGAACCCTACTGATCATTCAAAGGGTCCCTTGGCCTCGTCCCAGCCCCCCACCAAGCTGTCCTCTTCCACCACGTCCATCTCATCCGGCTCGCTGTACAAGGCCAATGGCAGCGGACAAACCCAGCAGCACCAATCAGCGACGTATCCCCAAAAGAACACAGGATGGGGATCAAGCGGGTTCTCCCCTCAAATGAAGCCGAACTTCTCACCGACGTTCGGTACCACCTCCGATCAAGTTGACAACAAGCAACAGCAACAGCTTCCACAACAAGCTCAGGTCTCACAGCCAGTGCAGCAGCAGACGCAACCCCAGTCCCAACAAGCACAACAACCACCGGCACAGCCGCCAGCCCAACAAGCCCAGGTCTCACTGCCAGCTCAGCAGCAGCAATCACAGCAGCAACAACAACAGCAGCAACAACAGCAATTAGACAACCAACAATTGCGCAAGAGTGGACCCAACCAACTCAATCGACACCCTAGACCTCCACCACTATCACCCTCGCCAACCAGCAGTGGATTTAACAGGTCCAACAGCGAGACCTTCAAGTACACACCAAAGTCAACGAGCTACAACAGCAACAGTAACAATGGTGTATCGATGCCATCACCAGGCAGCTACAGTCTCAATGGTAGCATTGGCAGCAACAACAACAGCAGCAGCGGCAACAGTGCTGGCAGCAGCGGCGTGAGCACAAGCAGCAGCGGCAGTAGCAGTGGCAGCATCAATAGCAGCACCAATAGTATAAACACCAACACCAACAGCAATAGCAACAGTGGCTTTGCTGTACCCAACACCAACGCCAACACCAATGGTGGTAACAACAAGACAATCAGTCATGCCAATGGCACCACGACCACCAGACAATTCCCACAAAGATCGACATCAACTCCATACATTGAGTACAGGGCCCCGTATCAACAACGATCACCATCCCCGCCTTCCGAGAGCACCATTCCAGACAATGTCTACGAACAAACTGCCGACTACGAGTACAGACAGCCATCACCAAAGGAATCAACCTCTCCAAACCAGCTACACTCTTCTCTGTCCTCAGAGGAGAGCTTCCCCACACCATCCCACGTTGTCAGCAACAACAACAACAACATTAACAGTAACATCAGTAACAATATCATCGGCGGTGGCAAGACAACAACCAACACAATCAACAACAACAACAACAATGCAGATGAAGATATCGATGCACTATTAGATAAGCTTCACTTATTCACACACAAGGCCGACGCACCATTGTCGAATGACCATCCTCTGTTCCTGTCCCGACTGGACCATCACGACGACGATGAGGACTACACTGGCTTTGATTCAGTCTCTGCACCTGCCACACCCATGCATCACTCGATGTCCACATCCAACCGAGACGTGTTCTCCAATGGATTCGTCACCAGCACCTGGGTGCCGCGAAGCAAGTCACAAAACTCCAACTACCTCAACGCTACTGCTCAGCTCAACATCAACGGCAGCACAAGCAACCCCATCACAGGCATTCACCGTCCTCCACCCCCAGGCTTCACCGCCTTTTCCCTTCAGCATGATATCAACAGTAATCATGTCGATATCAACAACGGCAACATCAACAACAACATGCTAGCATATCCCAATCATGGTGACATGACTCATCCTTTAGTTAATTCGAAAGGAATTCATCATCAACAACAACAACAGCAACAGCAACAAACATTGCTACATCTACAACAACAGCAACAGCAACAACAACACTTGAAGCAGTTGCAGATGCAGAAGCTCCTACAACAACAACAGCTTCAACAACTTCGTCAATTGCAACAACAACAGCAACAGCATCATCAGCAGCAGCAGCAGCAACAGCAGCTACAACAACAGCAACAGCAACAACAGCAGTTCTACTCAATGGCACATGCCAACCCATACGAGGTTGAATACTTCAACGCCAACAACAACCCAAATCAACAGTCCTACAGCCAACCACCACCACCACAACAACAACAGTCCTACCCGAATGGCTATATGGGTTCCTACGGACAGTTCAACGAGTACCATCTCCAACAACAACAACATCAACAGTTGCAGCAACAACAACAACAGCATCACCAGCAGCAACATCCAACAGAGATGGGACACTACCCCACCGTCGGCAACCACTATACCAACGGTGGCGCGCCATTGTCATTCAACAACATGGACGGCAATGCACACCTCCACTACCATCCAGCACAGCAGCAGAAGGACACACCGGGTCTGGAGAAGTGGTTTGGTAACCAAATCAACTCATCATACCCCATGATCCCTTCGACAGTGAAGATCCACTCACTTGAGGAGATAGAGCAATAAACAGAGCACCTCATCAACATCTCCACTATTAGAGATAGAACCAGTGCCTTCCTCAATCCACCAATACCTAATTTAATTGATGATTATTCTAAGTCAATGATTGAATATTGATCTCAGCTTGGAGATGTTGATGAATCCAAACTTTGTGATGTCTCCATAGGATCTGTTGAAGAATAGAGTACTTGATAGCCTATGTAAATCGAATGTTGGTCCTAAGGAATCGATGATCATCAATTCCAGCTCAACAATGAAAGAGGGAACATGTTGGAGGAAGTTCTCAATTATTCTACCTTTGGGACTTGACAATGACAACCTGCGTACAGACTTGGGGATCACCCCTGGTTCCAAATTGTTGAATCTTAAACCTAGACATAGATCTGTCAATGATTGAGGTAGATCTCCAGTTTGAATATTATGACCATAGTTTCTAAGATCAAGTTTAACTGTTGATTGAGGTAGTGAACCAGTGTCCAACTTGAAATATTTATCATGATTTGTTTTAATTCCTTGGAAAAATTTAATTTCCTCTAGTCTTTGGGGAAATCCAGTTATCCTAAGAATTGTCATACCAGTAAGTTGCAGAGATGACAGTGACTCAGGAAGATTTGATAGGTCCAATTCTTTAGTGTCTAACTCATCTCGAACCATCAGTATAAKAAGTAGGTTGGGAAATGAATTTGAAGTTATGTATTTCAAAGTATGGCAACCAAGTATGTCAACCTAATTGATGTCAAAGATGGGAATATTCCTTGTAGATGTTGTCGAAATTGATTGTCCAATAATGATCCATCTTCAAGGAATAAAGTATTTTTGAGGGCCATTGGGAGAAGGAGTTCTGATCCAGAATCTCTACTACCATGAAGTTTCAATTTTTTAAGCGACTCAGGTAGGACATCACCTTCCAAGGATTGTTCAAATTCATCTCCCAAGGCTAATCTAGTAAGTGAGGTAGGGAGGGCTCCCTGGACAATAGGTTGGTTGAATAAGTCTGGGAGGCTTAGATATTCCAAACCTTGTGGGAGATCTCCAGGTGCAATAGGTTCGTCCCAATCAAATGATAAACTAAATTTGAGTACCTTCAAGTTGGGATGTAAAATATGATCCAATGGTTTCTTAAAACGTGGACCATCAATGTAGAGCTTGGTGAGAGTACTTGGGAGTTGACAAGACTCTAGTGATCCATATAGATGAAGTATTGTCAAAGGTATAGTCCATTGGGTATTTCCACTTGTAATGGGATTGAAGGTAAAGAGTTCTAGCTCTACTGATCGATTTGATAAGGATATAAATAGGTTGTCTTTCCAGTGTTCCCAATCAAATTGTTCCCGATTCCTTGAATTGAATACAATAGATTTAATGTTCGGAATTGTTACTATCTTCTCTGCAACCTCCTCATAAGATAATTCATCTGTCCAAGATATATTGGCAATGTTAGTTGTAATTCTTCTTCATTAATAGAGTTCACCTTACCAAGACCTAATATAATATCATGTTTATAGTCTACACTTTGGTATTTCTTATGAATGTAGATATAAATAGAAAATGGTCTATTATTAATAAAGTCATTATGAATCAATTGTTTATATGATAACATTCTGATGGTATCTGGTTTGTATTTATATCTTGTAGGTATAGGAGTTGATTCAATATCCATATTAAAATGAAGATATTTATGACGACTCTCAAAAAATCGCTTTGACGTCAGTGAAAAAAATATACGGTCTTCATTCTTATCCAAATAAGATACTATATTCCAAAATATAGTTGTAGGTAAATTTTCTAAGTTACTCATATTTGTGATAAATAAACAATAGTCATCTGTTTTATTTAGGTAATAATTAGGTCCATTCATAGGACACTCCTCAGATACTTTATTAAACATTGGATTAAATAATCAAAATTATCGTCCAAATTTGGTAATATAATTGAGCTCAATTAAACCAATAACTCTAAATATTATTATTAGTTGGATTACATGTTCATAAGCATTGACCTCAACTTGTCAATTGAAAGGAATCCAAATTTGGTAATGTCTCCATTTGATTGATTAAAATAGAGTGTATCTGTTATCTTGAACAGGTGGAGCATTTGATTCTGGTGGATAACGACCAACACTATCTCTACAATGATTGGAGTCTGCTCAAAGAAGTCCTCCAGGACATCCATATTTGATCTGTCGCTGGTCAATGTCAGTTTGCGTAATGTACTTGGTAACACATCGTGAGACAGATAGAGGCAAGTGTGTAGTCGCAGGTGAGTGAGGTATGGAGGTAGTTGATCAGGGGTGATTGTACTATTGTAGTTGATAAGTTCAAGTGAGCGTGTTGACTCTGGAAGTACTCCTTTCTCCAACTTGAAGGGGCCATTAAGAATGAGATAGATTTCCTCGAGTTGTTGAGGATATCCCTTGATTAGTCGTACATTGAGTCCTTGGAGCTCAAGAGTCTTCAGGGAACCTGGAAGATGTGACAGGTCTATTTCTAAACCTTTGGGACATCCACTGATACCATCTCGTATAAATAGTATGCCAAGACATGGAAATGAATGGGAGGTGATACCATCTAGCTTGTCCAAATTGATCGACTCGAGTCTCAACTCTTTGATTGATAGGAATGAGAATTGGGATGCTGGATTGAGGGAGAGTCGAGTGAAGTTGTGTCTCAATATATTATCATCTTTATCATCAAAAATGAATAATGATCCATAGAGATTGGTAGGTAGTGTGACCTGTGATCGGTCGTTGCCTGAGCCTCTGAATATCAGCTTGGTCAAAGACTTGGGCAGACAACCATTATCAAGACTTTGATTGAACTTAACTCCAAAGCTTAACTTTGTTATTGATTGTGGCAGCATACCCTCGACAAGAGGCTGGTCGAACCTTCTCGAGAGGTGAAGTGTTCTTAGCATTGGAGGTAGGCCGCCAGGTGCAATTTGTTGATTCCAGAAGTTTGAGTAGCGCAATGAGAGTTTATTCAAACCAGCGGGGAGTATGTGATTCAAAGGTTCGTTGAATAAACTATCATAGATTGAAAGGCATGTGAGTGTGCTTGGGAAATAATGTGCCTCTGGTATCCAATCATCAGTGGCATGGATAACAAGTTTGGTCAGTGGCATGCCATTCCAATGAGCTGTATTACTGGGAATTGTGAGCAATGTGCACCTCAAATCAAAACATCGAGCTGCTAATGCTGTCTGGAAGTTGCCCCTCCACTGGCTCCAATCAAAGTCATCGCCTGATTCAAACTCTATCAACTTTATGTTTGTGATGTCCAAGACTTTCTGAGACACCTCATCATAGGTCAACTCGTCTAAAGAATGAATGAATGAATGAATGAAAGAGTCAATCAATCAACCAAACACAAGTACTTACTTAAGTTGAATGAACAATCATAGTCATCAATATCATTGATTTCGTCTGGTTCATTATTGTATATGTATACTGATAATGGTCGATTGGTCATGGCATTGTCGATCAACTGTTTGTATGATGTCAGGTCGATGTTGTCTGGTTTGTATCGATGTGCCAGAGGCAATGTTGATGTGTTGAAGTGAAGATATGAATGTCTATACTCAAACAAACTCTTTCAAGTCATTGACATGAATACTCTATCGACATTATCATCCAAGTATGATACAATACGTCTTAATATATTTAGTTGTAATGTATCAATGTTTGTCATTGTTATAACATATGTCATCTGTTGTTGGGTGATCTGATCGCATGTCATCATGTGAAATGGTCCTTTGACTTTGTTTTGGAAAACCTGGAACTGGATAAAGAGGTTACAGGACCATGATGATGCTCTTTATTGTCTGATTAGTTACGGCACTGCACAAGTTGATTGGGAGACCATCAGCACTTGATGGTAATCAATCAATCAATCAAATCAATCAAAGAATAACGGAGGGACAGCTGAAACTACTACTCATCTGTGTTTGCCAGGTGTGGCGCCAGAAGAAGCGGTGGGAGTCCGTTGTGACGCTTTCTCCAGATCCTCGACTCCACTAATGTTACAGAACTGCAGTATGGAGTCCTGTTGATGGAACAATGAGTTCCGCTTCACGCGCCTCTTGATCACTGATGCTGCTGCTGTGGGCGGCAGTGGCAATGTTGGTTTGGGTGATCGAAGCTTCTTTACAAATGGTACGAAGGGTGGAGGTGCTTGTTGGGCAGAATCCGAATGGACTGGTCCACCATTACTGTTGGCACTGCTATCGCCTCCTAAACTGCTGCTGCTGCTCGATGATCCAGTGACGATTGATGGGAGTGTTGGCAAAGGTGGAAGGAGGGGGGCGGTAGCGTCGTCGTCTTCGTGGTTGGCGTTTGTATCGGGCTCGTCTGAGATGTTCGTCAATATGTTGTTCGCCTTGGCTTGCAATCGATGTTTCCTTCGCATTGATGACAGAGGCTTGAGTAGGGTTGGTGTTTTGGGCACGTAAACCTCCTCAGTCGCCTTTGTGTTTGCACTTGCGGTATCCACGACGCCTGCCTTGTTACCAGTGCTGCTCCTCGTACGCATGCTGGACTGGAGAGGTGGGGCTGGGGATGCATGGGGCTGAGCTGCACCCTTCCGCCTTCCATTCATCTGTTGTACAGGTGTGATTGTCTTGGATGGAGTGGATGTTTGTGTCGTCGCCGTAGACTTCTTGCTCTTGGGGTGCAGTACATGCTGTATCTCTTGTTGAAGCTGCTCTTGAGAGATGGTCATCTCCTGATCGTGGAGCATGGTCACCACGTCCTCCAAATGCTTGGCAGCCTTGTACACAGTGGACTTGGGGTTGTTGTAGAGCTTGGCGTTGGAGCACACCAACTGGAGGTCCTTGAAGAACTGCTCGCTGTCGTCGTCATAGTCATAGAGTGTGATCTTCTGATTGATGTCAGAGAATGACATGGGCGTGGCCACCACCGTGAAGTAGTCGGGCGCCAGCGCCTCAGAGACTGGAAGCACAAAGTGCGAGAACTGCTCCACACTGGACAGGGCGTCGATCGTCGACTGGAAGAAGTGATAGTCCGTGTGGCAAAAGAGGTCGATGATCTGCTTCATGTTGCGAAGCTGGTCGCGCTTGGACTTCTCGCGTTTGCGCATCACCTCGAGAATGGTGCGCACGCGCTCCAGGTCCTTGCGAATGTAGATTAGGTTGTTGAAGTGAGAGATGGTGTTCTCGCCCGACTCTAGCGTGTGCAGCGTCGGACGCAGACTGTACAGGATGGAGGGTTGGAAGCGCTTGATGATCGGCAGGCCGCTCCTGCTGATGCGCTTCTTCACCCAGAACTCGTAGACGCTCGAGACGAACGCGGCCGGGTGGTTCTTGATGAGCTTGAGCGCCTTCTTCAGTGATATCAGGCCGGACTTCTTTGCTGTGATGCCCGTTGTCGTCTCTGCCTTGGCCAGTGATGCTATTCTCTTTCGTTCGCTCGCACTCTCACGCTGCTTCTTCCCTTTGTTGTTTGTTGTTGATGTGGCGTTGGTAGTAGTGGTGGTAGTTGTGGTTGTAGTGGTGGTAGATTTGCCCTTGTACTCGTCCTCTTCTTCGTCCTCGTACTCCTCGGCGGTGGGCACTGATGGTGCGTTCCTTGATGCTCGCACCTTCTTCTTCTTTAGCACTCTCTTCATACTTGGTGATGATTGTGTTGATGATGGTGTCTGTTTGATTGGTACCATTGGTCGTCCAGCCTTCTTCTTCTGTTGTTGTCCTCGCTTCTTGAATGATAGTCGTTGTTGCTGTCGATGCTGTTGTGGCCGTGATGGTAGTTTTAGCTGTGGCAGTGGTGGTGGCGAGAGTGGGGCCGTGTCTGGATCAACTGGTTCGTACTGCAGCCACAGTCGCTTCTGTGGGTCCTTGAATGGGCGTCCTCTCTTCCTCTTCAATTGTACACCATCATGTACTATATGTCTTGTTGTCGCTAGTTTTGAATCTGCTTTAGATGTCTTTGTTGTTGATGCTTGGTATTCGGCATCATCATCCTCCTCTTCCTCGTCTTCCTCTTCTTCTGCTTCCTCGTCTTCTTCCTCTAAACTACTACTACTGCTACTACTACATTCGTCATCATCTTCTTCTTCTTCCTCATCGTCGTCGTTGTCTTTGTCATTCTTGTTCTTCTTGTTTGAATGTGATGTTGGCTTGATGGTATCCTCAGTGTCCTTTCCTTTGTGATGTCCCTTGACATGCTTGGAACAGAATATCAGGAATGGCGTGGGACTGTCCTTCAGGATATCCTTCTGCTGTCTCTTGATGCAGTAGGGATGGAAGGCCACGGCACAGTTGCGTTCTCGACATTGAATGCATGCTCCACCCTTCTTCTTGCAGACTGTACACATGATCTTAAATCTCTGCTTGGGTATCATTGAGAACAACTTTGTCGGTCCCATCTTGTCCTTGCCAAATCCAGTGATTGCCTGTCGACCAATCTCTGGCATGTTCAACACGCACACCAAATGCGCCCATTCTCCATCAACAGTCTGTTTGAGTGCACCGCTTGACTTCTTACATAGTGCACATGTCTAGGATGGGTGAGTGGATGTGGTGGCGCGTCAGTCAATCAATCAAAGTGATCAATCACATCAATCAATCAAACCTACAATGTTGTCCTTGTTTGCAGACTCGCACTTCTGACAGAACCAATGACCCTCGGGTATTAGTACAATGCCATAGCACTCTTGATGAACCGCAATGTCGCAACCATCACAATATACTATCTGGTTGGTGTCATCCGATGTACCGTCGAAGCACACCGAGCACACATCCTCCGCCTCGTGTGCGCTAAAGTGTGGAAACATGTCGCTTCCAATCGATTGTTTCTGTTTGAGCGTGGAGTGTAGTGAAGAGTGTTAGCTAGCTGCCCTGCCCTGGCCTGGCCTGTCCTGTCCTCCAAGTGACTTACATATGCAAAGGTCTCCTTCTCCAAACGATCGATGACCTCTTCAAAGTCGTCCTCGGTGAAGACGGTCTTGGACGTGGCGTTGTACTCTTCGAGCCACTGCTCATCCTCGCTGTCCATGTCATACTCTACTTGTTCGTCCTGCTCCTCCACCGACTTGCCCTGGTAGATGATATAGTTGGTAGGCTTGTTGAATGGTGCTGTCTGCTTCTCATCGGTGAGCTCGCGGTATGATGGCTGGTTCAGCGCCGACTCATTCGCTTTGAGGAATCGATATCTTTGAATGTACTCGCGTTCGTTTGGCATGTGATGGTGATGATGTGCGTACAAAGGGTTGCCTGGTGATGGTGGTGGTTGCAAAGTGAGCTGAGGCACGGGTAATGCCGGTCGAGGTGATCTAGCACTACTGGCGCCAGCCTTCTGTCTTGGTGTGCTTGGTGCCTTGGGTGTACCCGGTGCCTTTGGGGTACCTGGTGCCCTTGGTGTACCCGGCATCTTTGGTGTGCCAGGTGTCTTTGTGAGTTGTGGTGGGGCGTCTTGTACTGTTGGCTCATCTGGTAGTATGACGCTAACGAGCTGTAAGGTGGGTGGAGTATGTAAGTATGGACAGTCAGTCTGTTGGACACCTCGAGGGAGGGTGTGTCAGATCATACCTTTGATTGATGTATGATGTCATTGAGGTCGATGCCATCCAAACCAGAGTCGGACGTGATCACTGGCATTGAGAGGGTGATTAGATCGAGGGAGAATGGAGGTGGTGGCGTTCCTTGGCGATCGTCATCAACATCATCGTCAGATTCGCACATCGATGTGTCACTATCAGCATATTGATGGTGATTTCCATTGACTTGTATCGTATTATCTCCTCCTCCTCCTCTTAATGGTGTCGTACTGCCTGATGCCCTATTCTTCCTTCGTCTAGTCATCTCTCTCTCACTCACACACTCTCTTCTCTTTCACTGTTTGTTTTTGTTGTCTATCTCACTTTGTCTCAATCTATCTATCTATCTAACTATCTAATGTTCTATCTCTAACTAACTATATGTTTGCGAAGTAGTATGACCAACATGCAGTCAAAACTACTGATTCAACTACGATACTCTATGTATCGTATTGTGATTATATCTCAATCTCCTCTCGAGTATTATTATCTTATTGTTATGATTGAATGAATGAATGGTTTCTATGTATATATATGTATTACTTGTGTTTCAGTCTAATGTAATGATCATTGATTGTTGTTGTTGCTATTGTTGTGTCTCCAACCCTCGTGCATTAGATGTGATCATTCACCCCACACCCTTTGAATTTTTATTGGCGCCACGAAGATCAACGACCACATTGCAGAACTTCCATCATCAAAGACTATTGATTGAATGATTGATTTATTCATTGATTGATTGATTGATCTATACATGTTTGATGGTTTGTGATGATCCAACTGATCTCAACATTGAATTACTAGAGTCTATTTTAAACTTGTTCTGTTTGATGGATGGATGATTAAGGAGAATGAGCATGAGTATGAGATTACTTTGACATTGACATTGATTGATGATATGATGACTTACTTGAAAGAATCTGGCCACAGGATAACCAAGTTGAGTTAACAGATGCTGTGGTTCAGAGAAAGATAGCAACTCATAATATACATCGCCTTCGCCATTCTGATCGCGTCGCCATTCAATGACGAATCGTTCTTCTCCGCGCTCCAAGTGATCGAGTGTGCCATAGGCAAAGCCGTAGCGGATGACGTTCTCGTCCTCCTCCGGCCCGTCAATGACGTAGACGATCCGACAGAAGGACAGCGCCCAGAAGCCAAACTGCCGTGATGCCACAGCCACTGTGTTTCCGACGGCCACGGGCACGTCGTTGAAGCAAAAGTTGACCCAGTCGAGATCGAACTGCTTCCATGACTTGAGGGCGGCCACTGCGCGCTCAAAGCATTCGCGACCCTGTCCCAACTTGACTCTGAAATGATCTATATCATAATTCTGGTACTTTGGATCGTTCTCATATTGTTCCTTTGTATCATACTCCTTTGTACCATGAACAAATGCATAAGGGAATGGTGTCTCTCTTCTCTGTGTCATCATATCTCTAATCTGACTATCAGGTGGTTTACGTATGCAAATCATTATTATATAGTTGTAGTTGTTGTTGTGATGTTGTTATTACTAGTTATTTATATATTGTATAAATTGTGAAGTTGTAATAATGATTCATCATCAACAACACTCTGGTGAAAGAACCAAAAAGGTGGCAAACAACCCCCTTTCTTTCAACAAAACACACTTGTTGGGTCCAAACAACTAACACCCACCTGAGGTATTCGGAATTTCAGGGGGTAATTTCTCTGTGGGGATATTTGTGCGTGAATGATGAAGGTTACAGGTCTGAGATAGTTGTAGACGTGATTCATTTAATTAATTTCCCAAATTATTAAACAAACAGATAATATTGTTGTTCTATAGATCATATACTATCTAATCATATATAATATATCTTATACAAATATAATTATACGATCATTTTGATATCATCTACATGTACTATTATAACAAAAAAAAGAAAAAAAAAAAAACAACAAAAAAAAAAAAAAAAAAAAAAAGGATACAGAAAAAGGACTATAAAGAGAGAATGGAGGAAGTCTT